TTTTGAAATCATGAACATGGATCACTTGTTGTAAAGGATGGACTTTGGTAGTACGTCACACCAAGTCAGTCTCAGTCAGCACCAAAAATGTTTGAATCGAGAACGTGCATAACTCAAAACTGAGTTGGTCCGTCACCTAAAAACTATACAACAGGTTCCAGTTTTTGGTTCTGCATTTACTTAATTTAAAAAAAAAACAACAACTGCCATTACCTCTGTCTGAAATCAAGGAAGCAATGTTTCGGGGTGTAGACAGCTGATATCCAAATAATTGATAACAGATATCCAGGCTTCCAAAAAGATTGATAAAAAGCTAAATAGTCATCAGACCATAGCCAATGGTTTCTGGGATTGCATTTCGGCCATTGTCCAACTCTTTTGCTCTCCACACAGACTGCATGCAACCAAAACTCAGACTACAAACAGAAACCAGAAAGCTTTCAAACCCAAAATCTTGTCCCTTGCCTAAAGATTCTGCATTTATATAAAAGGTTCAAATATAGAGATTAATTTGTTGTAAATACATCATGTGGAATTCAGCTTCTAAATGCATTGCGAGTTTTCCTCCAACAACTGCTGCTCATTTCTGAAAGCACTTACAGCATCAAATCTAAATGTGATGTCATCCATCAGCTGTTTGGTGACACAAGAGAAAACCAGCAGTTTGTGCTTCTCTAAGACTAAAACTAAATATGTTGTTCAAAACTGGAACATCTGAGGTTTCAGAGCAGGACCACGTCAACAAACAGCAGTGCAAGTGTTAACACGACATGAGTGAACATTTTTAGGTGAAACGTTTTCTCTTTAGGCAAACTGGACCACAATGAATTTACTTTGTGGCTTTGGGTGTTTTGTTTAAATGTGGATATTGCACAGGCCTTCCATTTAACCTCGGGTATAAAAGCTCCACACAACTGGATTCAGTATCAAGTTTCCAAACAAAGCCATAACAAAGCAAAATTAATTTATTTGACTGTGGACCGTGTGCCAGGACATAGTGTGCTATAGAAACTCTGAGAAATAAACAAAGAAACCTTTTTCATGTGTAAACTATGAGTCTTACAGTAGCACATGAGAGCAGGAGGAGGGATAGTGAAAAGCAAGGACATAGCTGAAACACATGATTCACTTCACCCAGGCTGACGGCCAACCGTGCACTATGCAAAAATAAACACAGCACTCCACAGCAGGTTCCCAGAATGTATTATTTTGGGGGGGCGGCGGCGGCTTTTGAAATATCACAGCACTTCAGTTTGATTTATAAAAAGCTGGAGCAGGATCTAAATCACTCTTCTGAGGCAAAAATGTCTGTCTGCTGCATGCTAGGAACACATGGTGGCACTACAACACACTGGAAGATCGTCTCCAAGTTTACATACTGTACATATTCCCAGATGGTCAAAGCAGAAGAGGAAACCCTCTGAAATGAGCTGCTTTTTAATATTATTTAGCTTAAATATTTTAGCAGGAAGAACAAATACAAACGGTGGTGGAAGACGTACTCTGATATTTTACTTACATGATCGAATTTTAAATATGCTAAATCTGGACACCCTTGCACTCCTGAAAACAATGTGTAATTGCTACAATATCTTTGTATCAACTGTAATTTTTGCTGCTTCTCCTGCAACACTAATGTACATGTTAAAATGTGTTACCATTAACATTTCCTGTATTGAAGAGTGAGAACGAAATGTTAAAATGACCTTGCAAAATGTCCTTAATTGACATGAACCTAGAGCATCATATACCAAAACACACATTGCCTGCACAGATGGATTTATTTCTCTGTCAGCCTTGTTTATTTTGGGCGTGTGTTGTGTATAATGCATGGACAGTATCTTTATCTTTAAACATTTATACAATATATATAAAGTGTATGTTATAATCATGGTGCACACGTCTTGTTTGGGAACACTGAAATTAAGAGCTGTTATAGAAGAAGTAGCAGCATGTATATGTTCCTGTTGAGCATGTTTCCAACTACATAATGTAGTAGGTTTTATTACCCACAAGGTGGCAGACCATCCATGATGTGTCATAAAATGGGGTACTGTGAAGCTGTATTAGGGGAGACTGGGTATGGTTGTAACACTTTTTGCTTCAGTAACTATAACTCACCAATTTTTTTTGCTAGAGTTCTCAAATTTTTATACAACGTACCAAAGCACATTTGTTCACTACAAATGGCACCAATTCAATCCTCTACAAGAATATCACAGACCTCGTGAGCTGATGTCAAATGCAATGTGTTCCCTTGTTACAACCTACCCAATAGTGGGGTGAGTTGTAACACATGCTGGGGTAAGTTGTAACAATCACACAAAATAATCAAAAATAGATGCCACACTATATGATATGCTTCCAAAACAGGTAGTTATTTAAAAGAACAATGTTTCACTCTTGCTGTAACAGACTTTGTCTGATGACTCACACATGTACAGTATGTGTATGTAAATTTATATACAGAATAAACTTACTTAAAAGTATACTTAATAAATACTACTACAATGTAATTAATTAAAGAACATCTCTGTACATCTTTAGGTCTAACTAAAAAGAGGTGTGTGTGTGTGTGTGTGTGTGTGTGTGTGTGTGTGTGTGTGTGTGTGTGTGTGTCAATGTGTGTATATTCTTATTCAGAGTCACAGTCAGTGCTTGAAGTGGGCCAGTATTCTCCCCTACAACTAATAATTGCTTCATCTGCATTCAGTTCAATGTAACAGTAATCCCTCACAGATACACACTTAAGAGGCATAACGTTCATGTGTATTCTTTGAAAAAGGATACGTAGAAGAAGATCTTTTACTTAAGTTACTGTACAAAAATGTAAACATACTCCAATTAAAAGCCCTTCATTCAAAATCTTACTTAAGTCAAACAATAAACAGCAAATTGCCCAAGAAGCAGCAGAAGTAAAAATACTCTCAATCTAGGGGTTGGGTCCCTGCAAATATTCGCAGAAGAAATCTGAGGGGTTGCTAGATGATTAATGGGGCAGGAAAATGTCACATCCTGTTTCTGATTAAGGTATGTTTTTCTCGTTTCCAGTTTGTTATCAGTTAGTGTTTCCTGTTTTATTTGTCAATATTCTCACCTTTGGCTCTCATTTCAGAGACCTCACTTCCTTCCCCTGTGTTTCCAGCATGTGCCTGCCCTGGCCTCATTGTCTCACCTGTGTCTCATTACCCCTTCTCCCTTGTGTTTTAGTTGGTTTGCTTCCTTTGTCCATTGCTAGTTCATCTTTACTCCTCACAGTATGTGTTCCAGCAATCAGTTTCAGTGTTTTCCTAGTGATAGTTTTTACATTTTCCCTGTACCTCAACTCTGCTTTAGCCTTGTTTTTGTTGTTGTTTTTTCTTTTTCTTTTTCTGTGTCGATTGACTGCCGATCTCGCCTGCAAGTAAAGACTTTTCCAACTTTTTATTGTGTGTTGGTCCCAGGCGTGATAGTAATAAGGGCAGGCCAGGTGATCGCACTTACAAATAATGAATCATTTGCCCTACTTCAGGCCTCAAAGAGTTGTCTCAATGAAACCATCTCAGAATTTTAGAGGGGGAATTTCCAAAAAAATGTGTAAATGGTCATCAGACATAAAGGTGGGGAACCACTGGTTTAATCTTTAGTAATGCATTTTGTTTAATAAACTTCATCATTTATTTTAACATAGTTAAAGTCTTAATCTGTAATGTTGGAGAATAAAAAGTAAAATAAAATAAAAGTAAAAATAGAACAAAAAAAGTTTCCATCTGAAATGATGTGATGAAGTAGAAATATAAAGTAGCATAAAATAGAAACACTGAGCTCCATATGTAATGATATGTATTTGACTGTGTTGTTGTAAGAGCTGTTTGCACTGCGTCAAATGCCTGTTCAATGTTACGAAATCAAGCACAAGTGTCCAGCAATAAATACCAGCTTCAAGAAGACAGGAAATGTAATATTTCTTTTGTTGGGCCTTTGCTGGACTTCATTCAAACTCATTGTGGACAGAGCTGAATAGAGTTAACATGTTATTGTGTTGTGCCCCCTGTAAAAGCCAGGTATGTGATAGCTTCTATATTCAGATTACAAACAGCACAAAATAAACTTTCCATGCTGTCAGTCCAAGAATGTAATCAATCAGTTTGCAGCCCTGAAGTTACATCTCCTTTATTGCTGTTAAAGTCTCAATTTGATCATGGATCAGCTTAGAGGTGCATTTCTTTCGTTCTTTTGCAGTGTTTTTGTGTGTCTGTGTGATTGTGTGTTGCAAGGTAAGGGTTTGTGGGGTTGGCTGGAGTGAGAGGCATGTAAGGCACTAAACCAGTTCAGTGTCACTGTGTGATCTGATCCTACGGGGAGAATAATGCACACCAGAGGAATTTTACAATACAGTAACATACTGTATAACAGCAAGAGAGGGCTGTGGTAAATATAAGCCAGGTTTCCAGTTCAGCCGGACCTACGCCCTGCATTTCTCAGGGGTCTTCACTTTCTTTTCATTCTGTCTTTCCATTGTTCCTGCTTCCTCCTGTTTCTCCCCATCCCGCCGGGCCGTCCTCAGGTGAAGCCAGCTTCTCACATTCCTCTGTGCATTGTGTCCACACTCAATAGAATAAATGTGGAGACAGCAGGGTCCCTGTTTCCAGCCTGCTAGCTAGTTTGTCCTCCAAGTTTCACCATACAGGTCAGACGAAGACCTGAGTGACCTGATGTCACTGTATGGCGAAATGAGGCCAAAAATAGCCCTAAAGGTCAGTTTGTGGGTTGTACAGAAGTGGAGAGAATGCACTACTGTTACCAACATAACAATCAACTTACAGGTTCTGTTTGCAAACCAGCAATGCTGCAGACAATAAAGTGTATTTAAAGTTCTGACACCACACTTTCAATCCTCTACAAGGCGTCAAGTTGCATCCTCCAGTTTGTTGCTGTGGGATTGGACACACAAACACTGGCTCCACCCCTAACAGAGAAAGTCATGCCTCTGCAGTCAAACTCACCTGTGAAATCTAGTCCAGCAACAACAGTTACTGGCACCATCAGGGTCAAAACCTGACCAAGCAGCACAAGAGCAGACCTGAACAACTGAGCTCAATGTAAGTACTATTTTGTTCTTTCTTCTCTGTTCTTAGTCACCAAATAACCGCATAATGTCACATTATGTCACTGAACGAGCGATATAGTTCTCAATTTCACACAGGAGGAAGCAGATTTAAAGCTCACAGCAGGTCAGACACAAATTGTCCCAGATGGAGGGATGCCCTTAAAATCTAGTAGATCCTCCGCATTATACTGTTACATTTTTAAATAACTTACTAACAAGAACAGAGACATACAATTTAAGATTTTGCACCATGCTTTATCAATCCATTTGGTAGCTGTGAGGTGGATGGATTGCTGGATGAGCCTACCATCTGTGACTGTTAGAAAGTCAAACACACGCAGAGACACTAACTGACTAGAGATGCTTAACAGCAACAAAGTAACATAAAATGACTTCATAGAGACTTAAAATGACTACAAATTCACACTAAATTAACCACAAACGCATGCAAATCACTACAGACAGATGCAAAATGACAAACAAAAAAAAGTGTTTTTTTTTTTGGCACAATATCATTCTCATCAACCAATCAAATGAAATCTTAAAGGCATGTGAGTTTGTCTCATTTGTACTTTCGATAACACTTTCTTCTGAATCCTCTGCAGTGGACACCATGGCCTCCACCCTCTCTGTGCGCAGCTTCTCGGTACGTCAGCCGTCCTTCTCCAGCATGTCTGTGAAGGACAGTGTTCGCAGCATGCGCTCCAAGCCTCCCGTCTCCATCAGCCCGTTCTCTCTGTCCCGCTCTGTCTCAGTTGGCAATGGCCTCAACATGCTGGGCTCCAGCCTTTCCCTCAACGGCCTCAATGTGGGCACCAGCGACAAGGAGACCATGATGGGCCTGAACGACAGGCTGGCCACCTACCTGGATAAAGTGCGCTCGCTGGAGAGGTCCAACTCTGAACTGGAGGTGAAGATCAAGCAGCTCATGCTGGAGAGGGCTCCAAAAGGGCATAACATCGAGGGGAAGATGGCTCAGGCACATGCCATCGGACAGGAGGTCAGTGTCCATTAGATAAAATTTAACAATTCACGTTCCTTGATTCAGGGAGCATTTGATTTATATCAAATCAGCACACTAACAAATGTAAAAAACGATCTCTAGTCCTACACGCGAGATCTCAATTTAACTTTCCTCCATGTTTCCTGCTCAGGTGAGAAAGAAGACGCTGGAGAATGCCCGGCTCATGCTGGAGATTGACAATGCCAAGCTGGCGGCCGATGACTTCAGGGTCAAGTGAGTGTCACACAGAGGTTCCTTTCTTTGACTTGCCTGTGAGTGTTCGCATGGGAGCGCCAGACTGCAAAGCAATGTGAATAAATGACCTTTATGTCAGGCTGCGAAATAAGAGCCCCATTCCCACGGTGCTCATGCACCCGCAGCAGACAAACAACCAGTGCCATCAGTGTGCGCAGGGTCTGATGGGTTGTGCAAATCAGAGATACATAGTCTGCAGTTGGAGGAATGATGTTGGAGTCGGGATGTTTTTCACAGTGTGGTGATGGTATGTTCCGTGGCCTGATGTGAAGGAGTAATACGTCAATTGGAAGTGATTGATGTGTTAGCAGCAAATTGTACTGCAGATCTTTGCATGATATTTTTCACCTGTGCATCCATTCTGGGATTTCATGAGTGGTTTCATGTATCCTGTGCTTGTTTGCATGTGTTACTACTACTCACACTTTGCGCTTCTCGCGTCTTATTATCAGTAGTAGAAAGTAAGTACATTTACTCCAGAACTGTAGTACTAAAGTACAATGTCAAGGTACTGTACTTAAATATTAACATTTTATGCCACTCTACTCCACTACATTTCAGGGAAAGTATTGTACTTTTTACCCTACTACTTTAATCTGACAGCTGTAGTCGTTAGTTACTTTTCAGATTAAGATTTTACACACCAAAACCGCATATTAAGTTGTTTAAAGTAGCTTCGGTTTGACCAACATTAAAATGCTGTTTTCATGTTAATGCAATCAATCAAGTAAAATCAAGTCAGTTTTGATTTACTGTATATAGTCAAATCACAACTTTGCCTTAATATCTTAACAATCTGTACTGCCTCTCTCCTTATACCCTCCATAAACCAATAATATAATAAAGTAGCTACAGTATAATATGATGATATACCTAGGTACTTTTACCTACTGTACATATATTTTGCTGATAATACTTATGTGCTTCAAATGCAGCTCTTTTTCCTGTAAAGGAGTATTTTTACTGTGTGTATGTAGTGCTTAAATCTGGTACAAAGATGAGCATCTGTTTTGAGAGATAAATGCCTGGAGATCTTTTCTGTTTAGTAACAGTTTACTGCTGTACACAAACTCTTCTGCACATTTGGATGGAAGATGCGCATTAAAAGTCTTTTTGGGTTTTTTTGTTTTTAAATCCCCCAAAAAAGATAGCAACAGGAAGTGACATTTATCCTTATCTGTTTTGTGTGACACAAGGAAAAACAAGTCTTTATGAAAATATAAAATAATGAAAAACAAAATTTTTTAACATTAATATAGCTTGACCAAATAATCACATTTGGCCAAACTACAGTTTCCAAGGTTACGAATTAACTTTCACACACAACGTTAATACAGACTGAACTCCTTTTATTTTATTGATGAATCATACGGCTTGAGCCTCAGATTTTACTTCTGACAACCATTTTTGTTTGGAGTAAGACAAATTGCAACTTGGAAAGTTGCTGCAGCAGATGAAATACTTTTTGATCCACAGGTACAGAAGACTTTTACTTTCTGAGGATGCTTAAACTCTGAATGGCCCTTTGGGGTTTTTGTAAGATTGGCAGGGACTCAAAAGTAATAATACATGAGAGGCACAAACTGGGACCACTGTGTTTCTCCTGCAGATGGGAGGCAGAGGCCACTTTGTGCCAGTCGGTAGAGAGGGACTGTCAGGCTCTGAGGAGGGCCAAGTCTGACCACGACCAGATCATCGGCACTCTGCGAGGAGACCTGGACAGCCTGAAGGAGGAGCTCTACTTCCTCAAGAAGAATCACGATGAGGTGAGATCCCTGCCAAGGTGCACAGGTCACGTCAGACGTGATCAATGAGTGTTTACGCATCAAGATAATCACTTTACAAGTTGTCAAATGTAGCATGTCTGTGATGTGGAGTGTGTTCTCCGAGCTGCATGAAAGCCAAGTTTCCTGCATCTCAGTATGATTCATTCCTCAGAGTTGTAACACATTACAGTTTTTTTCAGCAGCACAACTGAAACAGGTTGATCCAAACCAGCGCTGTAGTAGTTTGCAGAAGGTTTAACATTATTCGGTGGTGTCTTAAACATATCAAGTGTACAGACACACCCTTTTTCTTTGTAGCCATGGTGCTTTAAGATGACAAGACAGCACTCATAGTCCAGGAGCCCATTCATAGGGACTGTGTGTATTTAGACAGTAAGGTGTGGTGTCCAGGATGTAGACTGAGCCTTGCAGGCTCATCCCTGTAGACTTCAATGCAAACATTGAAGTAAAAATTTGAATATTTTGCATATGATGAGGTGATCAAAAAATGTATGAAATAAGTACGAGTTCATTTAGGAACAATTAAAGTTCACTGCAGCATATCATCGAGTAGGTAAATATTTGCTAAAAAACATTAGAAAACTGTAACTTTGTAAATATTGCCATATTAATATTGTCTGAGGTATTAATAATACCCGAGTTAGATTTGTTTCCATATTTAGATTACTGTAACACAGTTTTAACCTAACCTAGTCCAGGTCTGCACTACACAGGTTAGCTAGTTAGGTTAGCAAACAGCAAATTAGGAAAGGTGAGTTAAAAGAAAGGAAACCCTGGTATTTGTCAACATGGCTCTTATTCTTAAATTGCTGTTCATTGGGACATTTTACTCACCACACTTACAAAGCTAAAACCACAAGAGCAGTAAGGGATGGATTAAACTCAATATGAGACATTAGCATGTTCTCAATTCTGCGTTACTTCCCAGGACAACAGTTTTCAGACTAGCTGTATGGGGGGTGCAGCATATTAATATATGTGCACACCAGTACCTCAAATACATAGCCTACCTGCCTGTCCAGCTGGTACTCCACCTAACCTAGGTCGGTGCAGAAGCAGGTGTGGTGTTATGTGACGCTACATTGGTCAGGTGCACTGAAAAGTTTCTAGTTACATGTAGAGACCCGTGTGGCACATCAACGCAGGAATTGCATAATAAAAACAACATATACTTGCAATAATGACACACAAGCTGCAGATCGGTCGATCTCTTTCTCTCTCACTCTCTGGATAAATACAGCCTTCCTGGGAGACTGCATCAAGGGATTAGATGGCAACACAGTGTTATACACATACTGGCATCACCTTCACTCAACCCTGCAGTGACGCCACACCTGTTCATGTAACTAGATATTTTCTAAGTCTTTGGTGTAGGGTCAGACGCTATAGTGCAGCCTTTTTTTATACAGTCTGAGTGCAGCACACCTGAACATTAGCTTCCCTTAACAACACGCCTGCTCCTACACGTGACTAATTTGTGTGGTACAGGCATAGGCCCAATCCCAATGTCCACCCTCACAGACTCACAGACTTTGAGGTGCGTTCCCGGGAAGTCCGTGAGGGCTTAGGGCTGTCCCACTGTCATATCGTCAAGTGCGCGAGGGCTCTCTCGCGGACATTTTGAGCCCTTTTTTTTAGACCCTTTTCGTAAGTCCACATTTCTGCAGACTTTGCCCGAGGGAATCGCCCACAGTTCATAGCGGTATGACGTGAAACACGGGGGTTACCAGGGGAAGCCCAGAAGCAAAAATAAAAATCCCGGAAATCCTTGTTATAAGAGGAGAAGAAGAAGGAAAACAGTAAACAAACAAGCATCGACACGAACGCTGAGAACATTGTTAGAATTTTTCTTAATTGAAGATGCTGCATAGAACACATGAAATCGGAGGAAAGCAACCACCTTTACACACTTAGTTTATTCAACTATTTATTTTAGTTTTTGCTTAATGATGCTGTTTTGACCAACAATACTGATGATTGACAAATCACAAGTATAGTGACATTTAACTCTCCTCCACACTGTAGGGAAAGAGCCTGCAGGACTTAAAAATCAGGCAAAAACATAAAATAAAGTGTGCAACTTGTTTCAGCATCGTCAAGGTAACGTGATAAAGTGGCAAAGTGCTGTCCCCTTACTGTTTACAGCATTTTGAGCCCTTGCAGCCTTTTTAACTCAATCACTTTCCAAGTGACGCCAGTAAAGACTGTGAGGGTTCAGGGTTTAGGGGGGACATTGGGATTGGGCCATAGACTGTATAAAGGAGTGGACGTAGTCATCATGACGTCACCCATTGGTTTGTGGACTGCCGTTCTGAAGCCTCAAGATTAGCAGTTTAGCCACTGCCATCTTGATTTTTTGCAACCAGCGGCATCGGACATGACCTTATCTGGACGAGACTGTGGAGCTAGCTAGCTTGGTTAGCTAGGTGCATCTGTAATTTTTAACTGGTATGATGATTGAACCGGACTTCTTTTTGCAACCAGTGGAGTCGCCCCCTGCTGGTCGTTAGATAGAAGGCAGGTTTAAAGTTACTTCCGCGTGACTTTTCAGACCCGGAGGTTCTCACTTGGGCACAAGCAATCATGTTACTGCGTTCACATTACACAAGTGAAATAAACATCTGGCGTAGGCTATGTTCCTAACACCTGAGTAACAATTTTCAGGGGGGGGGGGTGGAATTCTGTAATTTAATGATTTGTGAGATTTAGTGTTTATGCAGATGTTAAACTTTACAATCCCACCACCAGTGTTGACCGACAGCCTGTAGCCTGCATGATCATATAGGCATTAAACCAGAAATATAGCCTAATTTTCTGAAAAAATATAGTTATTTTAAGAAAATTATCAGTCAGTCAGATATATATATATATATATATATATATATATGCATGCCAACAAACAAGCCTTTTCTTTATGCATGATTTTTACTTTTGATCCTTTAAGTACAATTTCCTGATAAAAGTAGGAGTTTGAATTTGAACTTTGACAGTATTTTTGTAGTGTAGTATTGCTTTTACCTACTAGTAAAGGCTCTGAATAGTTCTCTCACCACTGTGACAGTCACAAAAGAAGATGCAGACCCTTAGAGATGTGACTTCCTATCAAAACAGCTCTGCAATAACCATGATGAGAGGTAGAAACTAATATGCTGCAGCATTAAACTCTGCTTGGTCTTTCCCCTCTTTAAATCATTGCAGGAGATGAACTCTCTGAAGGCGCGTTTGGCCAATGAGCAGGTGAATGTGGAGGTGGATGCGGCTCAGGGTCCTGATCTAGGGGCCATCATGGCTGAGCTGAGGGTCCAGTATGAGGGCATTGCTCGCAAGAACAAGGAAGAGGCCGAGGCCTGGTACCTCAAGAAGGTCAGTAACCACATGAATCAGTTCATATTGTCCTGGTATTAATACTGGTCTTTTGCTTTTTGTGGTATTATAGACTACGTGCAAGTATCTTCGACCAGTCCAATTGCCCTTTATTTTAATGTTCCTTGAATAACTATGACCTGGATGACTGAGAACCTAATTTTGATGTGTGTCAACAGTTGGAAGCAGTGCAGTCGGAGGTCAAAGAAAGCAACGAGGCTTTGCGTTGTGCCCAAAGTGAGCTCAGTGAGAGACGACGTTTCCTGCAGGCTCTGGAGGTCGAACTCGACAGTCTTCGGAAGCAGGTACAGTGCTGCATTAACACACGGTACAGGGTTGTAGTTTGCAGTGGTGGCAGTACAGTACATTACTTAAGTACAAATTTAAGGTACTTTTACTTTACTTGAGCTATTCCATTTCTTGCAACTGTGTGCTTCTACTCTGCTATACTTGAGAGTTAAATATATTTTAGTCCACTACATTTGACTGACCGCTTACTGTCCTATGAAATCCTATTAAATTTCCAAGTCTGGTAAATGAGAATATTTGTGATAAACTGAAGGATTAAGGTTTCCTACTTCTTAAGCTAAATTGAACCAAAACCTCTCCGTGGAACAGCTGGAAAACAGGGCTGTTTATCTGAACATAAAAGGTTGCCGTTTTAGAGCAACCTAGTCTCACAGGACAGCAACGCTAGGAACATACAAATAACTGTAGATTAAACTACCCAACTGTAGATAAAGTAGTTCAAATGAGCTCAACCTTAAACATCTACAACAGTAAAATGCAACATAGCAGTAACATTATAATAGTACAATGACGGGGATCATTATACTGCATAATAAGTACTTTTTGTGTATGTTTCAATTATGGTTTTTGAATGCAGAACTTTTACCTGTAGTGGAGTATTTTCTTCCATCACTGGTAGTCTGAACATGTGAACCTTACAAAGTAATTGCCTTTTTATCCAGGAAAAATATTTTACCCCCTAGTCAAATATTGAATAGTTGTAATTAGACCTAGTTATTTAACAACAGAGCCAGGATTCAGGCTGTTGGATGTCCTACATATCCAGTAAAAGAGACACTGAACCCCCTCGGACTCCAGAGACACTGGCCTGTAGCTGTAGAGTTTGTTTTCCTGAAGAGGTCGTCACATTTGTATCTTCTTTAACTGCGCACATGTTAGACCTATCTATAGACAACAGCTGCTTTCTCCTTGTCAACAGAAGAGCTACTAGCAGTAAAAATCTGCACAGCAATTTCATTCTGCTCCAATAATCAATCAGGGTGAAAAGACATAGAGTCAAGCAAGCAAATGTTTTGTCTGTGTTTCCACTATATGTGAACACTGATCAAACAGCATATAGAGGCGTTCACTGGACGCAAATATAGTGCATGCATGTTTGCCTAATGGTGAGCAGTATTGAACAGTAGATATTATCGTGCTTGACAGTCTGTGTGGCAAGGGGTCGTGAATGGATGAGCTCAACAGGTCAACAAATAGAGGATGGGTGGTAAAAACTCACAGGGAGCCTTTAAGCTTTAGCCTTTCATCCACGTCAGTGTTTACCTTTATTGTTAGCTATGCTACATCTGAAAGGTGCACATTAAAATATTCTCATCAAAACAATGCATCAAGTGAATGTGCGATGTGAAAGGAGTCGCTCATAATGTTAAACCCTCCGAGAATTATCACAAAACTCTGCAGTTTCCCCTTGACCCTACGTTGTGTTTTAGCTTCTTTGTGTTCTGGATGATACCTGTCCAGCAACAAAACAGTAGACGGACAAAGTGAGCCCCAACTGGCCAATTAAATTATAGTAATGCAGCTTCAAATATCAATTAAGTTTCAATCCTCTCATTTAACTGACAAGAAAGTGAATATGCCCCCCCCCCCCCCACCCTCGAAAATGGAAACCTTCCCTTTAAGAAATCAGGCCACAGTCGGGCTTTTCTGTAACCTCATACACATCAACTGCCCATATTGTTAGTGCTGTTTCTGAAAATATAATATACACTGCATTCTCTTTTCAGTCAAGTCAAGTTGGCCTTTAAAATAGGGAATGAAGTTCTGAGTAAGCACCACCTACAAAATATCTTTCAACAAAAGAAACCCAGCAGATCTCATAAATGTTGTGGATGTGATTTATCGATGTTAAAGAGTGTATCTTAATACATATTAAGGGCTGAAATGCTGTTTGGCAGTTTGACATTTCATAATTAAGTAAATGCTTCACTGTACATTGTAATATGTGAAACTGTATAGGACAAGTTGCTGATGTTCTGTTAACAGGTAGGCGTGTTGGAAGGAAACCTCGGAGAAACAGGGCACAAGTACTCTGTGGAGATGGATCGTCTTCAGGCCACACTGACCCAGCTGGAGGACGAGCTGTCTCAGCTGCGTTTGGACATGCAACGCAACAAGACCGACTATGAGCAGCTGCTGCACATCAAACAGAACCTGGAGATGGAGATCGCCACCTACAGGAGGCTGCTGGAAGGAGAGGAAATGTAAGTGAGGGCTGGGAAACCCTGATCATTATTTAAAATTACATACAGTTCTATACATTTTCCACCATTTCTGTTTAAATGTATTTGTTTTGCTTAAAACAAATTAGTTTTTTACACTTCTTGATACCTGTTTAAGACTTGTATTGCATTTTGATACTCAGGAGTACATGTAGTTTGTGGTTAACCAATTGAATATGCATGTATTTAACAACCCAAATCAAAGTAATAGGTTGATATTTTGGGATAAGCTACAGATAGCAGCCAGTTAGCTTAGCACACAGACTGGAAATGGGTCGGGGGGCGGACACCTAGCCAACTACAGCTCACAACAACACATTATATATTTTTTTGTACAGATTAAACTTTGGAAAGAGCTAAAGCTAAACTAACCAGAGTGGTGTCAATTTTCTCATGTAACTCTCAGCAAGAGACACAATAAACATTTTTCCCAAAATGTAAAACTTATTAACTTATGTTTAATGTCTTCGAGCGTCCTAATTACCTCACATATTGAGTTAACACGCTTTCTGCTCGGTACTTTGCTTTCTTGGATTAAGTTGTCATATTTTTTTGTCCTGCAGGGTGAAAGAAACACCTCCACCTCCTAAAAGTAAGTTCAGATTATTGTACTCAATGACTGCCACTATGGATGGATTCTTCATATATGTGGCAATTCTTGCAGGATGTTGTGAGGACAAAATTACTTACTACCTGTATTTGCTTTTAATAATAAAATCATTCCCTTATGTACTTTTTGTTCATCTTATGTGGTGGTATACTTTTCCACTAAGTGTACCAGTGTTTTGATACAATGAACTCCTGTGAGATTGTTTTGTTATATTCCTGTGACAAATAAGTTTCCACAGTGGCTCAAGGCAGAGAGACTTTTCTCCTAGACGCCACATGTTTTCTCTATCTCTTTTCTCTTGGCCAGACTCTCTGGGCACACTTTGGCAGGGAAAGCTGCCCTTCAGCTGAATCACATAATCTGCTACTCTTATTTTAATAAATATCACAAAGACAACAGTTGAAACTTCTTTATTTGTTCATTTCTTCCCAAGAAATCCACAATTTCCACCACAGATGTTACTTGTAGAAAACCACTTGTTAGTCAGCTTTGGCTTGTTCAAAAAACAGTAAAAAGAGAGGAGAGAGAATATTAGTGAGTCCATCTTTTACTGAGTAAAATTAAGTCATTTGTTTTTTTTGCTGTTTTTGTTAACCCATCAGATCCTGTGTGGGAACGACACCCAAGGCCAAAATTCATGTGGGTAAAAAAAGAGTATGCTAAAACTGCATGGACCTGAATTTGCTCCTGTAGCAAGTGTTAATATATCTACTGGCCCACTATTGTCTTTTCTGTCTGCTACAGTCCCTAATGTTACATGTCCTAAATCCTACAGTCGACCACGTGCTACGGGATCATATGCAGGAACATCAGATCCTTTCCTAGGTTTTGCAGACTCTCTGTTTTGCCCACATGTATTCTTGCCTTGGGTGTGATTACTCCACACCCCCACAGAATGTGATGAACTAACAAAAGCGACACCCAACAAATAATGATTCACTCAGTGAAAGTAGGACTCTTATTTTTTTTTTCATCCCTTTTATATTTTGTGGCATATAGTTGGTACGCACAGGCATGCTTGTGTGCAGTTTACTGACATTAGGTTACATTCGTGGGTGTTGATGGCCAAAGTTGTTAAAATATTACATTTCAGTTCAGCTTTATGACCTCAGTATGGCAAAAACTGATGCAGACTCAAACAACAACAAAGGGCACTTTGTTGCTAGTTACTGACAACATTTGCCTTGTAAATATTGTACTAAACAAACTGGGTTTGGTAGTAATTCCACTTGTAAATAAAATAACTTAACGTAATGGCACATGGGTATCGATATTTTTCACTTTATAAGCAGGATTTGCACAGAACCTTTTGTACGATACACATTTCATATTGAGTATTTATTGACTCTAATTATTGAATATTGATAGTGTACTTGACTTTGGTTGATTGACTTATCAGCTTGTTGGGTACTCGGCTTTACATTTGGTCATAATTGAAAGACAACAGTTAAATTAGGTTTTGCAGTAATCTCTATGTGCTATATATCACAGTATAAAAGAGCCTTCTAGGGCATTAGTTTGGCAAACACTTGTTGTTTACAGAAACACTTACCTGTCCTGTCCTGTGTCTGCTCCAGGGTGTTTGGCCAAAAGAGCTACCAACATAAATATCCCGGGGGGGGGGGTTGTTAGTCTGGGAAAAATGTATATTTACTGTGGTAAATGGCAGGAAGTAGATCATTACCCATTATGTGTTAAAATATATTCTAAATATTGTCTATGATAATTCAGCTAAGTGAGAATATTAACACCTGTTAAAAGAAGCATCCAATGTAGTGTACCAGAGACACAGTATAAAAGGCGTCAGTTTGCACCTGTCTGTATTGTTGGTAAGGTCTCACTACCTGTGTTGCTGCCCTGTTTGTATTTTTTAAATAAAACGGCACCTGGTTTGGTATACTGCACCATCGCTTTGGCCTCTCTGTCCACTGCATTGTCAAGTCGTTAAATGGTCATTCTCACACACAGTTAGTTGACAGTTAATGTTACTTTTCAGTGCTGCTCCATTAAAGAAAGAAGATCTGTGTCATTCAGTGTTTTTATATTTAAGGGACTAACCCTGGTTTAATTCTGTGTTGCAGAAGACGACGTAAGGACCCGGAAGATTGTAAAAGTCGTTACCCAAACCATGATCAACGGCAAGGTGGTAGATGAGTCCAGTGAGCTGGAGCAGATTGAGGAGTGCAAAAAATGAGCCAATGAGAAGAGAATGAGCAGTAATGTCTCTAAAACCCAAAGTGCCTGCTGGCTGTAGATCAAATCTCACCATGACATTCTTGCTTTATGTTCTTGTTTTATGTACCTTGTAAGCTACAGCTGGTAATCGGTTAGCTTAGCTTAATTTAGCTTAAAGGCAACAAGGGTAAACAGCTAGCCTGGTTTGGTGCAACAAAAGCACCTGTACAGCTAACTAATTAACACATTACATCTGGTTTGTTTAATTCATAAAAACTGTGTAAAAAGTATTTATGATAAGCTAAGCTAACCAGCTGGCCAACCAACCAACCAGCCAACCAGGCTGTAACATCATATTTAGTGTACAGACATGATCTCCTCATGTAGCTATGGGCATGATAAATGATTATGAGTATTTCCCAAAACATTGAACTATTTCTTTAAATACTGACTGACTAATATTTTTGGGAGGTCACAGTAAATGTCATTCATTGGAATTATTTAAAATTTGTCTTCATTGTATGCAAAAACTTTACAGAATTGATCTTGACTATTGATCTTACAATAGTATCGACTGTATGTGTGTGATAGTTTCACTGTAAAATACTAACGGAGGAGCACTGTAATGGACTGCAGTTTTCATCTAGAAATAAAACAAATCAAGCAAAGCATTTGGTATTTTCTTCCCATCGACCATGCAACTTTTGTCAAAATGTACCCAATTTGGTTTGTTTATAAAGCAAAGAGTATAAATTATCACCCAATTCTGTTACACCTTTTTAGCAAACTTCATTCCAACTCATTACAACAAGTGTTGCACTTTTTGATGGTCAATAGACCTAATTCACATGAAGTTATACCTTGTTTTTGAGAAAAACTTACAGAAATTATGAGTTATTTTGGATTATCACAGACAAGCCTATATGTCAAATATTGGATACTTATTTCTGAAACTTTAACTCAAGACTTTAACTTTACAGAATATTTTTAGTTTATTAATTCAGAACACAGAAAAACAGTCAGTGTATTTGTGGTGTGAGATATAATAGTGTGACCCACTGAACCACCTAGTGGGTCACATTTGACCTGGGAAGACCACAGATGCTATACATTTTAATAAAACACTCAATTTAGTAATGATCATTTTTTCCCCCCAAGGCACATAGTATAGTACTATTTATATAAAAAACAAACAAAAAAACCCAACATATTTCTGATGTTAAAACATTTGAAAACGGGTCACAGCAGGAAGGTTAAAAATAAGTGCCTCTGTCATTTCTGAGAGACGCAAAAAGAAAGTTTGAATGATACTCGAGGAACATAATAGGAGAGAGAAGAAAAGAAACGTGATTCTTTACCAAGAGGGCCGAAACTACAAAACCTGCATACAGTAGTTTCAGGTAACAGGCTTTTGTGAATGTGAGTGTTGTGTTTCATGTCTTTCTCTGTGAGTTTGTGTGAACACATATATACAATTTAGTGGAATTAAAGGGATGTTGGAACATAAAATTGCTAAATGCTGAAAATGCATTTCAGTTGTCGACAAAGTGTGAAAGTGGTGAAATAAGACGGGCCAGAACAAATAAAATCTATTGTGCTGTCATCCTGGGTCACTAAGAGACCAGGTCATGGCACACACAGGGAATAAACCCACAGTTAAAACAGAAAAAGTTAAAAATAATAGAAAGTTTATGTTCTCTACCTGAGACTTTACCAAAATATTTTTTAGGAGTCAACTTAAAGGATTCTGGAGTTTTTTACCTTTTTTTGAAACCATGTCCCATGAAATTTGATCATCTCTTGATCGACAAATAATGCAAGGCTGTCATTTGAGGATTTCAACCAGCTTGAGTTTCACTCCTGATCACTGAAGCATTTAGTCAGTGTGAGAAGTTTCACAGAAGGGTGTTTGTGTGGTGACGTTATAGGGAAGAATGCAAATGCAGAACTCTGTATATACTGTACACACAGTTTGTGTGTACATGTGAGATTTTACAGTCTATGTGTTGTTTTTGTAACTGTACCCCCTGCACTACTAGATAGCCTCTAATTTAATTGTCATTAAAAACAGACTGGAAAATCTTACAGCACCGTCAGATTTAGTTGCATTTGAAAAACAAAATAAGGCATTAAAGACTCAGTTAAGGACTGAAATGACTCAATAAGCACATTTTGTGCACAGAAAAAAGGAACCATATTTTACAAACTATTCATACGTTTTAAAAGTAAAATCTTAGTATACAAAATAACTAGTACTTCATGTGTCAATGTCAATGTGTGTACAGTATTTCACAGAATGGGAATACTTTCTGTTTACGTTTGGTTGTGCTGAAAGACAAGAGATGATTTGTTAATCTGACTCTTCCCACGAGTCCCTTCTCAAGCCATGTCCCTTTATTATCTGTTGCTAAGCACTTACGCAGTTTAAAATAATGACGGTGGCAGATTTACCAGTCGCAATGCGTGGTCATTTTTCAAACAATGGGTCCATGACTTCAGACAGAGAAAGATAAATAAAGAGAGGGTAAAAAGCTTCTCATTTTTAGCCTATGACCGTTGATTTTGCAGCTTTCAGCTAGCTAGCTAAGATAAAAGGGTAGGTTCACAAATATTTGAGTCTGTCTTAAAACTACAGTCACATGCCCGTATGAACATTGAAGCAGGTTTTTCTTGCTGTAATCCTCCCTCCTGTTCAAACTGGACATTAATAGATCCTTTCAGTGGAAGTGATGGGTGACAAAATCCACAGTCCTTGTTCTGTGTTAGTGTTTTCAAATGTTTATATGAAGTTAAAATGAAGCTTTAGCAGCCTGAGTTTGATACATTAAGTTGATACCTGCCCATGTCTTGAAACATTCAGCCAGAAATCTGAGAGTTGTTTTTGATCCGTACCTCAACCTCAGGTCAGTGCATTTAGAGTCTTGTCCAGTCTGGCTTTTTACAAATCAGAAATAGAATTATATATGTATATATATAAGAATAATAATTACCAAAATCTAATCTGCTCCCTACAAAACATAGCTGAGCAGCTCGTTCTCTTGTCTCGGCTACTGAAATACATTATTGCCTCAACGTCTGTTTGCTGTTGATGCAAAATGCAGCCTCAACATTAGAAACAAAGAATATAACTTCCCAGTTGTGGCTACGTTACTTTGTCTCTCTATTCATTATACAATTAAGATGCGGTTTAAAGCTCTTTGTAGACATGAATCATTTTAACCATTTTTAAACAGTTTTATTATGGAATGTAGTTTTGTGTTGTTTTTGTACTTCCCATATTTTTTTTATAGATGAATAAATTTAATCCTTCATGATTTGGCTCTGGTCTATATTTATAACTATTTTGGACCGAGACCCTCCACATCTGCCAACCAAATGTGGATCCACAGTCCAGCCTAAAGACAAAGGGGGGGGGGGGGGGGGGTCATGCTTTGGGTGTGGATCGGTGGAACAAACTCAATATCAGATCAGCTGAGTTTGCACATTGTAGAAAGCTTATAAAAACCATGTGCTTAATAGTGTTTTATGTTTTCATTTTTCTGTGTTTGTCTTCCCTGAAAACCTTGTTGTATTTCCTGTTGTATTTTATACGCACCTGTGAATCAACGTCTGGTTTCAAGAGATGTTATAGTTATTATATCTATATATAGTTATAGATGTACATGATTACATGAAAAGGGAGAGAACATTAGAGCTCATGAGTGAACCTTCCTCTCACTCCAGTGTGAAAGCTTTTACTATGATGCAGTAAAAACACACACATTCCCAGAGTCAGATGTCACTGATGCTTTAAACTGCAGACTTGCCAACACACCAACATCAGCAGTGACTTATATTATTTTTGTCACCTCACTGAGAAACTAGTAAAATCTAAATAGTGATTTTTCCCACAGACCTTTAAGAGTCTATTAACTGAAGACTGTCCCATGAGGTCATACACAAGATTTACAAGTACACAGAGGAGACAGTGTTGCTTTGTGAAACCCAGAAAGAGGAACTGTGACACACCGTAACTACTCCCACCCAATTTTTGCAACAAAACCTTCTTTCTTTAACTTAAGATTGTCTTTGAACTTCAATATAACAAAACCTTACTACAATTACCTCTCAGGAAGCTATTAAGTGACTCAGTGCTTGTGTTGCTGTCTGATTTCATCACATTATTGACCTGCAGATGATGTCTGCACAGATCCACCAACATCCAGTCAGGGGTGCAAAGTAACTAAATAGCCTATATTCACGTTTATAATAATAATAATAATAAATTTTATTTATAATGCACTTTACATTTCAGGGAAATCTCAAAGTGCTAGTGCTATATTTAAGTATTATACTTTAGTATATTCGAGGTTCTACTCCTCTACATCTGGGAGGCAATTATTGTACTTTTGACTGCACTACATTTGTCTGAAAGCGAAAGTTACAAGTTAGTGTTTTCCCAATTACACCACAAGAAAGTATCTCCAGATTTGGTGATTATTAGTGCCTGTCGTTTGATATTGTAATGAACAGCGCCTCCTTGTGGTGAAAAGTGACATCGTAAAGGGCCAGTTCACCCAAATTCCACAAAATAAAGTGCTCTTTCGGTTCTTTCCTTTTCTCCTAGTAGTTTATAGCCGTGCTTATTGTTTTGGTTTTATTTGACCAGGCACATAAAACACAAAACTATCCATTCCTATTTAAAAAAGAGGAGATTTCCTTTGCCGATAATTTTTATTAATAGATATCATATCATTAGCCTATATGTCCTGACGGTTTACTTATTATAATACACATTTTTTTCATACATACATTCATAATTATTATGGAGGACTGCAAAATTATAGTATTTGGTTGGTAATAGATAATGTTTTATAAGCCCAACAAGCGGAGATGCTTTGTGTAATAAAACAAAATGTCCCACAGCCGGAGCAACTGATTCATCTTTGGTATGACAACACATCAGCGCCTGATCGATACTTCGCCTGTCAAAAACACCAAAAGATAACGTAGTAATTATGTAAGTTTGATGCTGACCAACACAGTCCTTTTATTCAAGTTTTATTTGTTGAATTTGTGCAGTTGAATCTTGAGTTTCATCAGAATATTTTGAGTTGAAGGCCTAGAAACCACGTTAGCTAAAAACGTTATTATCTTTGCTAGCTTACTTTGGAAGAGACAGCTAACATATCGTTAGGCAAGTAACTGAGTACATTTACTCAAGTACTGTACATTAGTACTGCCTTGAGATACTTGCATTTACATTTTCTGATATACTTTTACACTATATTTCAGAAGGAAATATTGTGCTTTTTACTCCACTATTACATTCATTTAATAATTGTACTTACTTTGCAGATTCAGATCAATAATACAAAATATAGCCAACAAATTAATTAACGTGTAACGTTAAAGGTTTAGGATCAGACTTAATTGATCCGGGGGGGGGGGGTGTACAAGCTACCCAGCAGTTTATAAAGTAATTAAATTAATGCTTTAAACCTTAATTCATCAATAATTAATATCCAGTGATATAATTCATGTAATTCTAAAATTTTTAATGCAGGACTGTTACTACAAATATGAGTACTTCCTCCACGACTGGTGATACACAGTTATTTAAAGTGATGACTTTAGTGTGACATTAGACATTAAATTGATCTATTTTAGGTTCATGATAATGATTATCCTGGATTTATGTATTTGTATTTTTCTTTATTTATAGGTCTGAAAAGGACAACTCTTTTCCTACTCAGATTTTCTCTGCAAACAGATACAAAGCTCTCAACTATGTTTTTGAGGTGAGTATTTGGCATGTTAATTGTTTCCTCTGAATATAATCATTGAGAAAGAGGGAGACAGCTCAACATAGCATAATGCTGCGTTGACCCGTCTCCCTCTTTCTTTTACCTTTCTGTGTTGTTTTTGCAGACCACCACCAGTCTGAAAGTAATGATGAACCTGCTGGCACTGCCAACACCTTACTTCACTGGTACCAGTAACCTCTACCCCCATAGTGGCAAGCTGCCTGAAGTCACTTACAGGACGCCATGGAGCAGAGGTACACAAGTGGCCTAACTAAGGTTTTATAACCATTTTGTGGCGTGACCTGGGCCCGAGTGAGCTGTGGGTTTGGGCATGTTTTATGTGTCATGACCAGGGGTTAGACTGAATACAAGATCAGATCCAAACGTTGCCTTAAAAAGAGAATTAAACTATTTACTTGGAGCCTATCAGTGTGCAGACCTTTCTCCTTTGTACTCTGCAGTTATATGTATTTTTGTCTTGCACCTGAATAATTTTGTCTGAATGCTCGCACACTTCTGAATATTACAGTTTGGTGACACAGATTCCTCACCTTCTTTCACTGCTCTAGCTGAGTAAAAGTCATCATTTCCACTCTACTACTGATTTGTCCTGCTTAGATTTTTGCATATAAAAGCACCAACAGTCATCCCTAATACTATCAAACCCTAAACCTTACCATGCCCCTAGGTATTTATCAACACAGAGTGTTAAATTTAAGAGGACTTGTTTAGTGTGGTACATAACCTGAGAGGAAGCACTGCCTCCATACATTTTCCTAACATGTTTATTTTATCTTAAACTTAGCTAAAGATTTTCTTTTCACACTTTTAGCCAGCACCCTTTACTCGTATTGCTCTGTGAACGCAAGGCAGTCTATATCAACTTTTCATGCAACATTCTTTCCCTATTCCCCAACATTTCTGTTGCTCCTGCCAACGTCATCTTCACCTAAACATGTTTTACTGAGTAGCAAACCTAGCTGCATCTTATTCATATGATATTAGGAATTCCCAACGTTACAGTATTCAGTCAAGAGTATTCAGATCATTAACTAAATTAGTAAATCCACAGTGCGAAAATAGTCTACTGCAAGTAAAAGTAGTGCATTCAAAACCTTACTTAAGTAAAAGTATCTAAGTATTATCAGGAACATTTACTTAAAGTATCAAAAGTACTAATTGTGCAGTAATCAATGTCTTACAATTACTAAGACACATGGTTTTAACTGCACATTGGAGGTATGAAATACTGTAATCTGAAAAGTAACTAAATCTGTCAGACAAATGCATTGGAGTAAAAAGTAAAATGTAGCAGAGTAAAGTAAACCTCAAATGGCAGTTTCAGAGTAGATAGCTAACAGAGTCCAGTAAAGACCTACGGCTTTTCATTCTTAAACAAATGTCTTGCAGTGTAATAGAACAAACTACCTTAAATGAGACCAACACAACGGGTTTGTTTCTATATTGACTTCTTTTGTTCACTTGTTGAAGGAAAGGTGATCTCCACCTGCAAACTCGTTGTCAGTGGTTCCGTGCTCGATGACCTGGGAGAAAAAAAGCAACCGGTTAATTCACCAGAAAGGTTCTGACTTTTTCAAACAGACTTTCAAACTGTCTCACTGTTCATCATTTTACACTCAAGGTTTTTATTGACATAATTTCAATATTTATTTTATTGTTACATTTTTGTTATATTCCAGATTTAGCGTGACTCTGAGTGAGGTGCATAGGGATGTGGAGGTGATACCCAGCTCTAATCCTGACTCAGTGAAGGATCTAGACCAGGATGAGTATGTCTGCCTTTTAAAGGAGGCGCAGATCAACGATCCATGTCAGGAATCATTTGTCAAGTGGACAACTGACCAGATGAATCCTGGAAATAAGACAGAGGGTTACTCATCAGCTCTGGATCTCCTCCTGCAAGAGGAGCTCATGGTTGTCGATTACCTGCCACATTTTAAGAAACATTTACCCACGCTGAAGGCCAAACTGTCCAGGCTGAGGACCCTTCCTGTTGCCGACCCCTTGCTGAGCTCAACAGGAGATACCATCACTGAGGACGCCATATTCAGGTGTAGACGTTCTTCCTGAAGTGTTTCATAGTGATGTGATCAAAGTGACTATCATATGCTAAAATTAACAAGAGTGTTACTTTACTGACCTTTTACTTTAGTGTTAAAAACTGTTGGATTACAACTCTTTCAGACACTGTGCGTCTTATGACAAACCTCCTGATGTGAACACCAGTGACATTCACATGTGTGCAAACATTCATGAGGAGTTTTGTAAAGAGTCACTAACAAAAGAAGAGGTAACTAGAGATGATAAATGCCAAGTGATTTGCCTATGTATGAAATTACTTTAACACTGATTTTTTTCTCTGTAGAGTCTGCTGTTGCCGGTTGTGGTGGACACACTGAATCTGAGCCAAGAAAATTTCACCGCCTTTTCAAGCATTTGTCATAAAATGAGTGTTGCTCCTGAACAGCTGGATGAGCAGCCTCCAGTTCTGCACGTGCTTCGTAAAGGTGAAGATGAGATAACAATATTTTTAGATCAAATAAATGTACGCAGTAACATAGAGAAGTGAACTGATGTACTGGGGTCACATTTCTTTCAGCTCCCCTTCCACACGTATCAGCGTCAGTGGACATTTCCCAGTATGAGATACCAGAGGAGCCCAGCAAACAATTCGAGATGAATGGAGGCCTGATGGAGGCAGATTTGGCAGGTAAAAGTTAGAGAGAGAAAACACAAAGATAGTTGATCATGTTTGGACAGAAATATTTTCTACTAAATGTACCACTTTACACCTTCCCGCAGTGGTGGAAGAAGTATTCAACTCATTCACCAGAATCAGAATCAGTTTTAATAGCCAGGAATCTTTGTCTTACATTGCTCTCAATGTACATTTAAAGAATAAGCAAAAACAAAGAGCTCAGCAAAATGTGTATGTGCGCACAACTACAATGTACACATACACATGTGCAGGTATTATTATGTACATGGAGGATGGTGGATGTGATATATACAGTATATACCATATGAACAGCTGATGAATTGAAAAAATGATAAATAATAAATAGTAAACAGTATACAGGTAGATGGTGGAGTCACAAGGTTATTGTACAGGGATTTTGACTCTCTGTGTCTGGAGTCAAGTGTTCATCAGAGTGATGGCCTGTGGGTAGAAACTGTTCCTGTGTCTGGTCATTGTGGCGTACAGTGCTCTGTAACGCCTACCAGAGGGGAGATGCTGGAACGGGTTGTGGCCACTGTGAGATGGATCTAATTAGGTAAAAGTAGCAATACCCCACTATTAAAGTACTGCATTAGAAGTACAACCCCTGCATTTTAAAATGTACATGAAAGTATTAGCAGGAAAATGTACTTAAAATATCAAAAGTTAAAAAAAGACGTATTTGGCAGAAGTGTATGGATCCTTATTAATGTATAAATATGGAAGCGGTACTCGATGGTTGAGGTGGAGCTCATTTTGTCTGCTTTATATGTTATATGTTGTTGGGTAGTTTAATCTCTAATAATAAATTATATTTTATAAACTGGTCCAACAAGGCCATGTGTTAAATAAATGCAGTGACATAAAAAGTACAATATTTGGCTCTGAAATGTTGTAGAGAAGAATAAAATATAAACTTGACCTTCCTCTCAGGACGTTTGACGCTTCCGGCTGAAATGGAGCTGGACGTGACTTTGACTCCCAGCACCAGTCAAACCCAAATCTGTCTGTCCACATGTAAACTCCAGAAGGAAGAGATGTCGCCGCTCTGCAGACGGTGAGCGAGGACACCAGCTCACCATGTGGTCAAACTGCTAATAGAGCAGTTACCCTGATGAGGTTTAGTTCGTTTTCACACAGTTGCTGAACATACAAGTGAAGTGATAAACATTCAGTTTATGAAGGAAACAACCTAAATGAAATCTCATAGTTAAATGAGGAACTGAAAGGCATTTTTATTTCTATTTTATCACTGTGTGAATGAACAAAATCCTAATAGTCAAAAAAGTCAGCACACCCAATTTAAATGTCATTTTCTCCTTTAACATGCAGAGGATAAATTCTTATCTGTCATAGCATTAGGAGAGGATATGACTGAGGACATGAGTAATGTGGCTATACTTCAGTGTAAAAATATGGTTACAAGTGAAATTCCTGCATTCAAAATACACAGGTATTAGCATCTAAACTAAACATCTAATAATTAGTGATGCATTCATGTGTTCATCACTTTAATATTGCAGCTGGTAAAGATGGAGCTCATTTTATTTAGTTTATATAATACTGCTGGGTAACTTAACCAATAATATTTATAATTTATTAGTCGTTTATATATTGTATTGATAATGAAAATCTGCAGAGTATCTAGATTAAATAAATGCAGTGGAGTAAAAAGTACAATATTTTCCTAAATTTAAAGTATAAAGTAGCACAAAAGAGATATTTTAAGTAAAGTCCAAGTACCTCATACTTGAGTAAATGTACTTAGTTACATTCCACCACTGGTGTTTTGATGTACAAAAGCTCTTGTAACATTAATGATTGTCACGTAGATCTCTGGTGTCAGCGAGCGCTCAGAGAGAGATGTGGACGGCCCTCTGGAGGGCAGAGAAGCATCCAGCCTTTGTGGTGGGCTTCCTGTTGGCAGGTAACTACAAGCTTTGGTTTTACAGCTAAAGTTGTAATTAAGGGGCACTCCGCCAGTTTTATACATTAGGATCAGTTTACTCGATATTAGTGATGGGTATAACGATACCACAGCTCCGAAGCTTATGAGGAATGTGGCAGTGTCGACTAGAAGGACCGTCATGGGAACATGGGAACTGATACAAGATTAAAAAAAGTTACAATTTAATGAATGGTAATGTCCAGTTACTACATTACCACTCTTGTGAAATGTCACATAATTATCAACTACAAAGTTCAAAGAATCTAAACTGCACCAACAAGTCACTCATTGTGAATATTTAGTGTCAACAAAAAGATGTTATATTCAGGCTTTTTACAGTTAATTTGTTTTTCCTGTACACTGCACAATAATGTGTGCATTTACAGCAGCTACAGCACAAAGGCTTCCCAGGACTTTTGGTACACACACACTGTAAGATTGGAATTCAGCACTGTGTTTAAGTGCTTTGGCCTCAGTCTTGAAGAGCTGCTGTAAGTTTTACAAACCACCAGATGTCATCGTGCTTCCTGAGTTTAAAGCCCAGAAGCTTCATGACACTTCATCAGCCCATCACTGCTCGCCATAGAAAACAGTTCTGTTATGTCTTCTTTAGCTCTGACGGGAGCTTTTCAGTGAGTCAAATTGGACGTAGAGACTTAAAAATGTTAACAAAGAGCCTGCTTAACAAAACTCGGGGCAGGGGTTTGACAGACATGGGCGCAGACGGTCAAACAAATGTGCTATCAAGTTTCATGATGGGAACTGTAGCATAATTGTAAAGATGTACCAACATGCATGTTTAGTAGCTCGTTGTTCAGGTTAATCCTTGTTAGTTTGTTTTAGTTGTTTTGCTGTTGCATTTATTTACAGTTTCAGCAAAGCTTATTTTTACGTTATTTTGTTAGTTCAAACATACTTAATATATGAAATGCTGCCGTGTTTTTAGTTTTAGAGACCTACAGGACAAATACTTCTACAAAGGGTGTTAGTAAAAATTTTATCTGCTGTATTTGTTTTTTACAGAGCCCCAAATACATGAACCAGCTGTTGACTTCCAGCCTCTGTCTGAAGCCTTGAGAGTCATGAAGTTAGAGAACCAAAGCTTTATCAGCGTCGGTGACAAACAGCAGTCACCGGTGGGGTGTGTTATAACCCCGCAAGTGTATTTGTGCAGAAACTGCGAGTTCACTGAGAGCATGTTGTCTGAGTTCAACTCCAACGAGCAGGAAAAGATGGAAGACTTCAACAAACGGTCACCTGAACATGTGGAGTGTGAGTGATCTCAGTGGCTAGGAGTGAATGTGGTAGATGCATCAGATTTCTGTTGTTTGTTAGAGGGTGAATTGGCAGTACATAACCACCTGTTTGACCTATTGTTTGGATCATTTTTAAAGCAATCATGCCAACAATAAAGGTTACAGCTTCATATATTTAGGATAGTAAACTGGATACATTTTGTTTTGTACTGATCAGACAAAACAAAGCACCTTTAATATATTACCAATATGGCTTATGTAAATTGTGATAGACATTTTGCATTATTTTCTGACTCAACAATTTGTTGATTAATCAAGAAAACCAGATGGCAGATTAATCAACAATAAAAATAATAATTGTAATATTAAGTGTGTATAGCCTACTGCTTTTTATGTTTTGCTTCAAACCAGTTACCAGTTTCTGACACATCATCTCCTCTGGTCTCAGTCACAATCAGATCCATCCTGGAGAATCCCGCAAACAAAACTCAGTTTTCTCACCTGAAGAAATCTGAAGCTGCTGAAGCTACTGCAGACGACACCCTTCTTCAAAAAGAAAAGGCTGCTGATACGTCTCAGAACACCTTCCTGATGCACACTGTCAACACAAATGATAAGGAAGTAAAACCTGCTACTACCACCAAAGATGAAGTTTCACACAAGAGGTTTCCAGAAGTTGTGGACGACTGTAAGGTAGAACAGAGCGCCCACATGCTCAAGCAGGCTGTCTCCTCCAGACTGAATATCAAAGACAATCACAGAGGTCTGCTGGTTAAAGAACATCCACCAGAGAAGGACCTTGACCCTCTGTCCACCTTCATGATATTAAGATCTCAGCAGACAGCTTCAGTTACTGCAACACTGCAGAGCTTCGTCAGCACTCCAGGTAGACTGCTGTTGCTGCTGTGGCTGATTTGGTTGAAATAGATAATTTTAATAGCTGTTGCTCTTATAAAGCCTGAAGATGATTCTCGTCACATCCTTTATGTTCTTACAGTGTTAATTTTATACATTTTCCTCACGATAATGACTGGTTTCCAGACGCCCCCAGTACAGTGAAACTGCACATTTTCGAGTGGCCTTTTATTGTGGCCAGCCTAAGGCACACCTGTGCAATACCCATTCTGTCTGATCAGCGTCTTGATATGCCACACCTGTGAGGTGGATGGATTATCTCGGCAAAGCAGAAGTGCTCTCTAACACAGATTTTGACAGATTTGTGAACAATATTTGAGAAAAATAGGCCTTTTGTGTACATAGAGAAAGTCTTAGATCTTTAAGTTCAGCTCATGAGGAATGCGGGCTAAAACAAAAGTGTTGCTTTAAAAATTTGTTCAGTGTATACATACTTCCCCTGTGGGCTCTGGGAACTTGGTAGTTGCTGACATTTTACAGACTAAATGATTAATAGATACATCGTGAAAATACTGGGAATATTAATCAATAATGTAAATAGCCGGTAGTTGCATCACTAAACAGACTGTTTTTGTTACCACTTACACAACTTAATTAATATGGATAGTGATAAGGCAGCGAGGTAGCCCCCAAACGTAAACATTTTGGGGTTCAAGTTCAAGACACTTTCCACTCTGACTCTAAGTTACTGTACTCACAGTCTGATGACTCTTTCATGTTGCACACTGTAACCTCATCTCATCCTCTTTTTATTAGCACCAAAAGTGGATCAACAGACGCCACCACCTGAGCTGCAGCCGTCTCCAGAGCAGATGCAAAGATCAGACAGGAGGCTAACGTATGTGAGCGGTACTGTGACAGGAAATGCTACCAGAGAGCAGAAAGCAGCTTTTCAGTCGACAGGTCAACTCATCAGTCGTCCTGTCAGTCCGTCCATCCCTCAGGACAGACAAGAAAGCAGAGTAGTACAGGTCCAAGCTACCGGTACGACACCTTCACAGCACCTGCAGTTAACATATACCAAAACATGTGTCTTAAATTGTCCTTGTTAGAGTAAAGTATGGATGAGATGGTTCAGGTGTGTTTGAAGGTTGTTTTTTAAACCGCAGTTCTCTCGCTTCCCTTACAGCCAGCCAGCAGCACGCCTACTGTGAGTTGCTGGCCTTTGCTCAGCCCTGTTTGAGCTCTGCCAGAGAGCTGTGGCTCAACTTCCCCGTGTGGGGAGATTTCAGCTGCCTGGCCCCAGACCAAACACACTTCCTCCTCAAACAGCAAGAGAAGGCCCTCTGCAGGACACATGAAAAGAGCGCAGAGCTGGTCAGAGGTATAAAATGTTGTTTGATAATGCAGAAACATATTTGTAACACACTGTAACTGTAAATTGTTGTACTGAGATATTAATTTAGTACATCTTGTGTTGCATGCAGATCGGGAAGTGCTTTTCAACCAGGCGGCTCAGATTCATGTGCTGGTGACGTTCAAGGAGCTGTTGCTGAAGTGTGACCTCAGTACTGCACTGGGTCAGTATAAACTGACTTTAAAGCTCCTTAAATCTTTATTAGTTATCATTTATTAACACTTCACACTATCTGGGCGGCGTGGGTGTGGTTTTATTAGACAACAAAAGGATACAACTACACTGTTTGTATTATGTTCATTTCACACCAGTTACAAAACAAGGGGAAAAAAGAGAAAAAATTCCCGTATATAAACCAAAAGTTTGGCAGAAAAAGTTATGGCCCTTTATGAACCCATCACTCATCAAAAGAAGCTGAATGAGAATATAGGTTTTTAGAGCCTTTAGGTTTAGTTTTGAGGAGCCATCAGAGTGCGTTGACTGTACCATAGTGTACACCATATTGTGATGTTTACAGCCCTCCCCTTATTTACTACAGAGTACCTGACCAAGGCAGCTGAGGCGTGTGCAGAGCAGAGTCTGAAGCAGCTGGTGAAGAGGCTGCAGATCATCCTCTTCCTCAGTCAAAAGAACCAGGAGTCCAACCTCAAAGTGCTGGAGCTGCAGCAGCTGCTGCCTGCACGGCTGCACAGCAGAAAAGGACAGAACGTTGCAGAGAAAGTCAGTGGTCACGAGAGAAAAACAAATTGGTTTGGTTACTGCAATTTGGAAATTGTATTGTTCTGTTTCATTGTAAACAACTGCTGTTAGTCAAGAAATACTCAGTTTTACCTGCATCCATAATGTTAAAACTATGATCCTGGTTGATTTGTCTTTCTGTAGATTCTTGTCTTAATATCAGTCGACTCTGACGACACCAGATCTATAATCATCAACAGCTTGAGCAAAGTGACTGGTGAGCAATTTACAGCTGTGGAAACAAGTGTTGTGGCTAAATACAAACATAGGTTCATTAATCCATCCAACTGATTTTATTTTGCATTGTCACTTGTGATAAAAAGCTCACTTGATAAAAGCTCAATCACAAGCCATTATCGTCATCTCAGGTGCTGCTGTAACTGCAGTTTGTCCTGAGGAGGGCAAGAAAACACTTAATGGTGCCAGTTTGATCAGCAGGTAAACATTTACATTTGTATTTTTGTATTCATTGTTTCATTTTACCAAAATATTTCACCATATTCCTCATAAATCACATTTTTCACAGACCTTGTGGTGGTTATTTCGTATCTTGACACTCAAAAATGACATACAGAATATAATTGTTTATAGTACTCTCCAGTTAGATTTTTATGAACATAAACAAAAAACCAAAGTCATTCTTCAAGCAAACATGAGACAAATTGAATTAGGTGAAAGTGTCACTCCATGCTGTGTGAGTAAAGAACAGGAGGGCTTTGGCGTACTGGAGTAAGTGGTAATTGTTTTCCTGTGTTAAAGGAAACATTTCAAGCTATGTTGTTTTTACACTCCCATCCTGTTCCAGCAGCATGCGCGACAGTGTGTGTGTGGTGGTGTGTGAGCAGCACGTGGGCCCCGACTTCCCCTGGAGCTGTTTCTCTCTGGTGATTGAGTATGACCATCCAGGTCAGTCACCATGGGCCGCAGTCTGCAGAGAGAGGAGCATCAGTCACCTCACCTTCAACACAATAATCTGCGACACTGGTCAGCTGCCACCACATACGTAGCATTCACGCTAATGTACAGAGATGTTCTTTAAATGTGTGTGTTCTTCCCAAAAGAGACGGAAGAAACCTCGTGGTTGCTGGAGGAAAATGTGCCATGTGTGTTGTTTGTCACAGAGGGGCTTCTCAACTGTCCACTACTGCTACAGACACTCGAGTCAGGGTAAATCAAGGCTAATTGAATCATATCCAGCTAGTAAGAATGGAAAATACCTGGATTTCCATATTTAGATTAAACCCACACTGGGTGATATTACCAAAAATCAGTATACATATTATTTTACAATAAATAAAATGGTTGAATAGTTTTTGTTTTTTCATCATGTGAAAACCTGTTAAATAACAGTAAAAATGAAGGCGAGATGATAGCGTTCCCTTCTGGGAAAACAGTCACAGTGACTCCTAATGTTAGAGCTCGGATGTATGTGTTTAGATGGTCACTGAAAGTGTCTGTGCATTTTGTTTTCATTAATCCATTTCCTTTAGATATTAAAAAAGCTAATCATGTTTATCATGCATTTACGGCGTCCCACTCTATCCTTACAGTTATAATCTTTTAGTTGTTTCTTGTTTCTTCCTGATTAATGGTGATTATTAAGGCTTCAACTGACCTTAACGTCTTTAAAGTATCAGTAAGCAGTGAAACATGACCATGTGACATCTTCACATGTCGTGTTTTGTCTGACCAACTGTCCAAATCCCAAATTATTTCAATTTACAATAACAGAAAACAGAAAAGCTTTATAAATGATTAAAGCTATTAACCAATTATCAAAACTGTTGCCAGTTAATTTTCCAGATGATTGAATAATTGATTCATAGTTTCAGCTTTAGTCTTTTTACTAGTGTAACTCTCTTCAGGTACGTCTAAACCTGACTTTAGATGACAAATCTTTAAAACTACTCTCCAAAATGGTTTTTCACAGTCAGGCTTTAAAAATGTGATGGTAAGCTATCATTTAAGCGCCATATGGTGTTTGAAGGGTGTCTGTTTGTTGTAACAGGTTTAAAATAACTGTGCTGGAGAGGACCTACTGTCCGTCCTTGCAGATGCTCGGAGGGACCCATCGCTACGCTGTGATCACAGTGGATGAAAGCACCGCTATCGTCATTCAGGTACCAGGCACAGAGATACTTGCTGCACCCTTTAAAAGGATAGACGCACACACACACACACACACACACATAAATCCGCTACAATGCTGGCGATTTCCTACATATTTTTATCTCCGTAAACTGAGCTTCTTTGTTATTGGTAATGCTGCTAAATAAAATCTCCATCTTGAAAGCAGCAACTAATTCATTTCAGTGTGTGTGTGTGTGTGTGTGTGTGTGTGTGTGTGTGTGTGTGTGTGTGTGTGCGCTCGTGTAGGAGGAGGGTGAACTGTGTCAGGAGCGAGCCAGTGAGAGAGTAGTGATGAGGCTTACTGCTCTCTCTCTGCAATACAGCTGCTGTTGGCTCATCCTGCACTGCCCAGACAGGCAGGGAGGAGGGTCAGTGTCCACACCCACACAAACAAACCGCTCGCACGTAGACATACACACAGACACACACATTGTGCACACAAAAGCTCACTGCTTATGTGTGTGTGATGGCAGATTTTCCAGCGAAGCCTTCAGCAATTTGGTGTTGGTTTATTCGTCTCTGGTGCTGTTCGGCATGAAGTCAGAGGATCTAGACGTCAAGGTAGAACCATAGACTTTAAAAAACACAAACATGGTTTTCAGCTACTATATGTCCTTGCTGTCAAAACATCTCAACAAATTCAGTAAAAAACACCAAGTTCACACCGTGTGGTTGTTCTATTTAGTCAATGCAAATGCAGTTCCTGTACAAATCCTTTTTTTTTTACATCTACCCCTTTGTTGTCTACCGTGTTTGTCAGGTGCTGATTGTGTCCGAGGTGATGGAAATAGCCAAATGGATCAGCAAGATCTGCTTCCACCGCCTGACGGCCAGTGACAGGGACCCTCTCAGCTGGCTGGACAGAGACTGGCTGACTGTGATTCCCTCGGAGGTGATCTATAAAGAGGAAGTAACGTAGATTAGTCTAGTGTTGGGTTGAGAGTTTTTTTCCTTGGTGTCATTAACTACTTCAACCTAACTCATGCAGGATAACTGCAGGATGAGAAGCTTCTGCTGTGGCTCCACATTGAGCTTTTTATTCGTATCATTTTTAGGCATTATGCCACATAACAAATGTACCTGAAACTTATCATCACTTTAGATGGCTTTGATTGTTTCATGTTGTAACATTTTGTTTTCTTTCCCTCCAGGAGGAAAAGTGTCTATTACAGTTCCCATGTATTAACCCTCTGGTTGGTCAGCTATTGCTGAGGAGAGCACCATCCTTCCAGTGGCTCCTGGGGGCCTCTCTGTCTCAGTTGAAGGAGCTGATCCCTGAGGTGCCACATAAAGTCCTCAAGGTGATCCGAGATATGTCACTATGCTTAAATATAAGATGCATATTGTTGGGATATGATAGGGCAGGTTTGGTTATTAGAAAATGTTTACCAAAGATATATGTTAATATACTTAATATTACTAAAGTTATTAATACAGATAAATAATTAGGGGGCACCAGCCTGGATCAGGTACAAATAACCAAAATGTGAAAACAGCCAAAAAGTCCATTTAGCAAAGCCAATATTTAAACACTGTTTGTGTGACAACAGAGGGGGAGAGCAAACCTCCTCACTCTCCCCCCGCAGCCGTGTTACTGGACTTTTGTCTGATAAAGCACAACACAAGTGAGGCCCAGCGGTGTGGAACCGATACAGTGAAAAACATGCTAAGCACAAACCAGTAAACCGAACGTGGCCCTACCAGATCAAACGATCCCTATGACTGTTCATACATTAAATTTCATTCAAAGTACTTCACATGAAAACAGATTAAAAATAAGGATCTCTTCAGTGACATTTCAGCACTCAATAGCCCCTCTTCTCTTCCTGGTTTCAGCTGTTCAGTGACACCACCTCCCTGTACACACTGACCACAGAGCCGAACCAGCCGGAGTCTCAGACACTTATCACTGACACAAACCAACAAACCAGTCCACCAAACAGCACCTGGACCACCGCTGCTGCCCCGGAGCACATGAACTCTGACCCACAACCAGAACCCCCCATCAACCCTCATCCAGAACTTTTCTGTAGTGACGACACCAGCTTCCTGCTCGGAGCTGATCGCAGCTTCGGTGAACCAGACCCAGACTCGATGGTGCAGGATGGCAACACAGATTTCAGACTCGACCTGAGTTCTTCCTTTGGCAGCCCAGATGTTCACCTCACGAGAAGCTGGACCAGCGGTGATCCATGGAAAGAGGAAGACAGAGGCAGAAAGGAGGTGATGTTTTCTGGCCGCAGAGGCAGAGCTGGAGCAGCGGGGAGAGTTGTTGAAAGAGCAAAAGATGTGTGGACACAGAGGGCTCCAGCAAAGCTCGACAGTCCTTTCAAGCTGGACTCCATGTTCGGTTTCAGCCCCATCCACCAGCAGCCAGCCAGCAGTCAAATGTCCACGTTCTCCTCGGTCTACAGTGACCGCCAACATCCAGACTGCCACCGCATTTCCTATAGTCTGAGCCCTCCTGCAGAGGTCCTGCTGTGGGGTCGAGGACAAACCAGCAACGAATGCCTCACCAGTAGAGGAGAGACGGCGTCGCTTTCAGCTAAGTATGGCCCCAAATGCTGGATGGGACAAGAGAGGAAGAGGACGGGCAAGGCTGCAGGTTTGGTTGGAACAGGTGAATGATAGTGGGTACGGTGCGTCTCCATCCACCTGCAGTGGCAAAGTACAATGAAAACAGACTTAGCGAATAAATCACAACGCACATGAAGCGTGTCACCACTGAATACATGAAACATGTCCATCATGTTAGCAACATCATTTTCCACTGTTTCGTGGTTTGACTAGCGCTCTTCTTAACTACGTCAATGGTTTCATGGCACCTGACTGGAGAATTAGCGCCACCGGGTGTTTATGTTGATGAACCAACTCCTAATATTCACATCACAGTGGTGGATGGAAACACACATTAATATGCAATTTCCTGTAAAATTGGTTAATATGTGCACTACATTTGGATAGAAATGTGGATTATGTCTGTTTTTGACTTTTTTAAGCTTCATTGACAGATTGAGATATTTCCTGTGTGTGTTTTGCAGTGTTGACACCACTGAAGAAGGGGAGGTTGAGCTATGAGAGGGTGCCCGGCAGAAGTGATGGACAGACTAGGCTTAAATTATTTTAGGCATGAGTGCTCTGTTGCTGTGTACTGTAAAAAGAGAAAAGAGCAGTACATCCTTAAAGTTTTGTTACATTCAAGGTATTAATTGCATGATTTAGGTTTAGCTTCCGAGTTTTTATTCAGATGAAATAACGTTTTCCCCTGCAAATAGTTTTCATTGCAAGCTAAGTTTCTACATTTCAGTTGTATATTTTATATTTAACAAGCAACAGTGCTTTTATGCATTCCGGGTTTTTTTTCTTTTAAAATCAGCTGGACCATTAATTATATGGCGGTAAGGTGCAGTAGTTGCTGACAAAATAATTAAAATGAATAATTTTCAGTCAAATAGTCTAATGTAAAATACTGATATATTAAAATACTTTGTTTTATAAATATTATATTGTTATAGTATTTACTTATTATTACATGTTTTAATACTTATAAGGCCATATTTCACAGCACAAATGGTACTTCTTTGTGCTTTATTAGATCAAAACTTTCTACTAAACTACTATTTTAGTGTCCTGCACCCTATAACTCCTCTTGGTGTATAAACAGATACAGAACGACAATATAAAAGTAATTTTATAAAATTTGTCTTCATGGGACAAGTTGTAAAATGTTATGCCTTACAGCTGTATTATAATGTGTTATAAACTGTTTATTATATGTTTATATACTGTTTCTAAGGCCTAAATTAGGGGGGTGTTAACATTTCGTTTTTACAAAATAAGATTAAACAAAGATTACAACTGTGTGCACATTTTCCTTTTGTTTTGGTCTTCCCCCATACTGAGCATGCTCAGTAGTGGAAAAACAAATTGTGATTTATGGCTAGAGGAGTGGGATCGAGGGTCTTTCCCAGCTAAACTGATAAAGCCTCTCATTTTAGCAGCTCCAATGGTGGGGCTATTTTTTTTCCTTTTTCATTTAGTGAAGCAATCCCCTTATCATCGTCTCTCAGCATGTGGAGAGAGTGCTTATCTTCACGAGCCAGCAGAGTGAAGCCAGCTCCCTCAGGAATGATCCCCAGACAAAGACGACCCCCGGGGACATCGACTCCAAGCCTCCCTGCCTCTGGACAGCCATATCCAGCTCTGGCTAGCCACCATCAGTAACCCGCCAGGTTTTTTTTTGTTTGTTTTTTGAAAACATCTCTCTGGCCTCTGCCTTCACACAAGCACTGGACAAACACAGAGGCAGACTAGATGGTTTATTTTTTTATGGCACTGGAACAAAAGCTGTGGTGGCAGGATGGTCAAAGGACTCCCCATAAGAAGGCTAGGTAAACAGCAGCGTAATGGTGCAGTAATTGCCCCTGACTATACGTTAGGCCTGGACTGAATGGGAGAGGAGAGACACTGTGGGAGCTAACAGGCTGTTTAAACCAAAGCCATCCTTTAGATTTGGATCCTACTCTGACTGCAGCTGTAAAGGTCACACAGCTGTTATCTTTAATAACAGGCAGCAGTTAACTGTGTCACCTGTGTGTTTCACGGGGGGGGGGATGACAAATAATGCCCATCTGAAGGAAATCTCAGAAGAAGCAACACACACAGTATTTTGACACAATAGCTGACATTGCAACATGCTAATAAGATACAGTAATTAAGAACAGGGAACCCTGCAAAGTCACCAGAGACAGTATTGAAGTCACACTGAGTCCCCTTCACCAAATTCTACAAACGCAGTAATTACCCGTCAATATTGGCTCAATAAGTAAAGTGTTGTTATATATGCCTATACATTTGTATTATTCATTAGCTCAAATAAACATTCAGAAATATTGGGACTTAAAATTTTTTTATATTAAATCTGCAGGTAAATCATGTTAATTAACTGCAGTAATTTGCAAGCAATGACAGTGCAACTTGCATGTGAGAGAGCAACTTCAGAGTGGCTGGGACACTAAAATATTTATTAAATAGGGTGCCAACGTTTGCCTTTTGAAGGAGACACATTGGGAAAAACAGATGTTTCCTCTTCCACAGTCTCACTTGGTTTAGCAGTGAATCGCATCAAGGTTGCTGTTTATTGATCATCCTCATTTTGTCATTCATTCAGAATTTATCTGATCTGATAACATATAACACAAGTCTGTACTGCTACTGTGTGGTAACCTGAACAGGAGATACAGGAGTAAGCTGATGAGGGTCTTCAGTGGATTGTGTATTGTATTTTAGTACTTGGTGTTTTCATACTGTCAATGTTATTGTTTAATTCGCCCCTGACTGTACACTGTAGTGTAAATCTGCAGCCATGAACTCTAAATCTAAAGTAAAGCTACTAATAGCGACTAATGATTATTTTCACTAGCCATTAATCTGTTGACCATTTTCTTAATTCATCGATAATAGTTTTGTCTGTATACAGTCAGAAAATGTTGAAAAATGCCTATTATAATTACCCACAGCTCAAATGTATTTAGATAGTTTGTTTTAGTTCACCAGCACCCCAAAACCCAAAGATATTCAAAACGTTACTGTGCAATCAGAATAAAGAAAAGATCCCCCTGTACGCAGGATGAGCGGTTGGCGATGGACGGATGAATGGAAAAGATAACACATGAAAATTAACTATAGTTCCACTTGGGGCTGCAACTACTATATAGTTATAGTGAAAAACTCCAAATATTCAGTTTACAATCATATAAAACAACAAAAATCTAGAAAAGTAGTAAAATTCCTCACCTTGGAGAAGGTGCTAACAGTGAATATTTGGAATTTTTGCTTGAAAAATTTGAATATCAAAATAGCCGCAAATGAACTTTCTGTCTCTAAAGTTGCAGCACCATTTCTGTGTCCAGGAGCTATCTATGCATATTACTCTAAATGCAACAATAAACACAGCACTCATCTCATTTTATCGTACAGACTCTCACAGTGTGCTTACGTATCAAAATGCTGCACTTAACACAACATAATTAAAACCACAAGGACCTTCATAGCTTGTCATTCTGCCTTCAGCCTCAACCTACATGACAGATAAAACCAGTCTGCTATAATCTTCACCTGGCCTTGTTGGTGTGATGAAAGTTAACAGACAGGCCAAAAGGTCCTACAGTGAGTGTGTCTGCAGACCTTCAGCCTGCAGTGGAGGCTGGATGGAGCCAGAGAGTGGTGGCGCCTGGCCTGCAGGTGCAGCCTCTTGGACGTGCAGCAGGGCCCATGAATGGCCGATTCAGAAAACGGCCCCCATCGGGCCTGTTCTCCAGGCTCGGGGCTAATCCCAGCCCCTAATCGGATTATGTAAATTCCTACTCCACACAGACTTCTACGGAAGGCTGCGTCTTTGAAACAACACTTGAAGGGTGTAAAAAGAACAGTGACAATTGGTTAAACTAGACTTGTTTTTTTTATCTAAACGGAGGTTGAAAGTGGGGGGGGGGGGGGGGGGTAGTGAGGAGTGGTTGGAGAGAGGTGAGTCAGGGCGCTGTGCTCTCCCTGTTTCCTCTGTAATTTATGTGTGGCCCCTTGGAATGGCTCAACAAGATTACCATAGTCATAACAAAACCCATATTGTTCGACTGTCAATCTGGATATGGTATTTTTACCTTTTGTGGCCCAATCAGGCTGAATTCAATAGCAGAGCAGCCAGTGATATCAAGGTCTTTTCCACGGTGGAGGCGATGGTGGGTTGTCCATGCCTAATGTCAGAGAAACAGAAAGGAACAAGTGTCCACAGCAGTAAGAGAAGGATCAGAGAGACGAACGTCTCAGTTTCACTTCAATGGGAATATATTTGTCACCTTTAGTGCGAACCTTCAAGGATTAAATGAGCAATGAATCATAAAAGCAGCACAAATAGTCACTTAAAAGGCTGTTGAGTCCAGAAAAAAAAAAGACAGAATCCCTTCAAATGTTGCACAGAAACACCTATGAAAATCATTTAAAGTGACGATTTATGGATTATAACCATAAAGCCACCTGCATTGGCTCTAAATGATAGAAGGAAGGGGGGTGTTTTAACAATCACTCCTCAGTTAACACCAACCTCACACAATGCCACAGAGGCTCCACGACAGCACACGTCACACAATAGGGTTCACCCTGCTATAAAATGTGGGATGCGAGCATGCAGCAGTCTTGCCCCTTCTCTCTCTCTCTCTCTCTCTGTTCCCCATCCCTCCCTCCCTCACACTCTCTCTTCTCCTCTCTCCTTCCCTCTCACTCACAAGGATCTCTCAGAGAGCATGAGAAGACGTAACTGAGTGGACATTCACGCCTGGACACTGATGACCCGCAGAGGACAACGGCGCAGCTGAGATTTTCTGCACATTTCTACACATACAGGTGAGAAATCTGTTGTATATTGAAGGATTTTTTTTGCTGCCCTCAAGGCCACATGTTTCCACTTTGGTCAAGTAAATAATTAATCACTAAGAGTTTGTAACACAAGGAGATATGTGTACTCCTTTATCATTTTATTATATGTATTTACACCAGATTCTGCATTAAGGTAGATTGAATTATCTGTTTATAATGATAATTTGAGAATAATTTACAAACAACAATATTTTTTTGTTGTAGGACACCCTTTATATAACCAGAAAGTCTCTTTAAAAACAAATCTAGTAACATTTTAATTTAGCTGCCTTAATTAGCATTTATTCACCCATTCATTTAAACATTTAATGGTTTATAATGAACGACAATGTAGTTTTAACATACATGCAAGTGTTTATTAATGTACAGTATTTGTCAGAAGTCATAATCTCTCATTTAAAAAAATACTTTATATTATTATTGCACCTGTGTTTTACTACATTGTCATTCATTATCTGTTTATACACCAGCCTCCACATATGGGTGCGCACAGGAGGTGTTTTAAGGTGTTTTCATTATCGATTAATCTGCAGATTATTTTCTCGATAACTAATCAATCAATCAACTAATCGTTACAGCTCCACTCGGCACCATGACCAGGAAGGTGTTCACCAACACGAGGGAGCGCTGGCGCCAGCACAACGTCAACACTGCCTTTGCCGAGCTCCGCAAGCTCATCCCCACCCATCCTCCGGAGAAGAAGCTGAGCAAGAACGAGATCCTTCGTCTGGCCATGCGCTACATCAACTTCCTGGTGCAGCTGCTGGAGAGCCAGAGCGGTCAGCCAGCCAGCCACTCCCCCACCACTCTGCTCACCTTCCTCAGAGGAAACATGGAGCAGCTGCACTCCCCTCCACACACCTGGGCCCTGACCAGTGACACAGAAGTCCCCTCACCTGGATCCAGCTGCGACAGCTCTGAGGCCTGGTAGAGCCACAGCCACAAAATACAAAAAAATTAATCAAAAAATGTGGACGTTGTGTGACCCTTTTCTTGGGTTTAAAAACTGATCTCGTCCTTCCTCAAGACTCATTCTTGCCCGTGTGTGACTTGTGTTTGAATGCAGAAGATGCAATATTCTGTGATATTTGGTGGACTCCACATGTGGTGGAACATGTGGGCACAGCCTCCATACTGATCAGTGTTGAAATATGATCTGCGGGTGAAAAATTAATTTGTATTTTGCATGGATGTACAATATTCCCTTCATGTCTTCATGTTAATATTCCTTGTTGCCGGCCGCCTGGAACTAATTTAGTTTTGCAATGAGAGGCTGTTTTGCCGATGAGGAAAATGGAGGGGATTAAGGAATTTCTCATTTCAAGCAATAGATTCAGCATTTGAATAGATAATGGCTCAGCCAATTCTCCAGACTGCAATCGTCTCAAAATAGCCATGGGCACTTTTTTTTTAAATCGACATGCTGTTTTTTTTCTTGAGAAGACTAAGTCTGACCTTTATGTGTATTTATCAAGGTTATGTGACTTCAGAAGAATCAGTTCTGAAAAGGACTTCAGTATTTGTTGATTACCAACTTTGTGGTACTTGGGACTTGGCTGAGGAACTTTGGCAAAACTGACAATCCTCTTATAGTAATTCCACGATTGACCACACAAATGTAATTTTATTTAAATGCATTTTAATTTGAGTTTTTGTAAAATACGCATGTCATATAGCCAAAGATTATGAATTGATTGTCTACTGTGAAGAGTGTGCTAATTATCTTCTGATACCTCTTTTGTAAGTTATTTTGATTTGCTTGTGAATATACAGTATGTTATTTATTTGAACTATTTATTTAATAAATGATTTGTTAGTAACGCTTTCTGAATCTTGGTACTCGAATCATTACAAACAAAAGTAATTTGTACAGCAAGAAACACTTCAGAGGTACCAAACATTTAATTTCTGAGCAGACCCCATACTATTTACTAAATCTAAATTTGGAGTTGAGGTGGGTTCACACTGAAACTATGTAAGTATAAGTTTACTTTGAACGTTCAAACCGAGTGTGCTGTTGATGGATAGGAACTGTCCCACAATGCAATGTAAAAAGAAAAAGGAGGATCTGCTCACAGCTGGAAAAAAAATTGTTATAACAGTTACAGAAACACCTACGAAAATGTCTTAGTGGCAGATTGTTGACATGTACTGGCTGGATTCTAATGAAATTATTTCACACTGGGTAAGACAGAACTGATCTGAAGTTAAGAGTAGCGCTGCTGCCACTTTGTTCGTGCTCAATAAGCCCAGAAACATTTGTCCACAAGTCCTGTGATGACCGTGTGGACACAGAGCTGACCTCTGCTCTCTGTCCACTGACCAGAGGCCTGAGAGAGGAGCTCTGAAAGTGACAGCTTAACTTGTGACCCCGGGACCGGAGGTCATTCGGCAGTCAAACACTGTGCAGTTGACCAAGATGCAGATGGAGTTTCCTTAAGGAAAACGCCACTTTGTTGCTACACACGGTATATGATAGCGCAAAATGTTATTGTGTAATTAGATAAATGCTTTGTAGAGGAAATGCCATCAGAATAACTATAAATTAATAAATATAGTTCCAATTAGAAGAAGATTATTTTAATTAATGATGAAATACTTTATTTACAAATGTTTTTATCTATCTATATATCTTGGAGGCTCACATAATTCACACTCTTACCCCACAATTTTCCCTTTGGGGGGCCAATAAAATCTGTTGATCTATCATTTTTTCATTTAATTGATTCATCTAAAATGTCAAGCAATAATAATTCCCAGAATCCAAAGTGATCTCTTTAAATTGTTTGTTATGTCCAAAATATGAAGATATTAAGTTGAAAATAATATAAAAGCAGAGAAAAGCAGCAAATCCTCACATTGGAGAAGCTGTTCCCAGTAAATATTGTGCATTTTTCCTTAATAAATAAATTAACCGCCAAATCGATTATCAAAATAGCCAAACAACAAACCAATTAATGCAGTATCTGTTTCAGCTCTAGTTCCAATATCAGCAGTTCTGTTTGCAGCCATTTAAATTTAAACCGATGTCAGACATTTACATGTCTAATCGCCTATTGTGACTTTTAGAAACGGTGCCCCATTTTAAGGGAACAGGGCTACAACTAACTGAGCTGAAGAGTAAACACTGAGTTAGTTCGGGGCGCTTTCACCCGGCCTGTTAAACTCTGGCTAATGGTGTGTAAACGGAGCAGAGGGCAGCTGGACACACTGACTGGAGGCCTGTGGGAACTGACAGGTGACTCTTTGTAATCCTGCAAAAATCCCAAATAAATCATATTTTACAAGGAGAGTGAAAAAAAAACTCCCACAGCATGAATTTGGGAGGTATTTACCTCTTGTGCAATTACACGGTGAATTGGGCAATTTCATGCTGAACTTAAATAACACCAAATAAAACTACTGTGCTTATTAATAGCTGTTCGTCCTGGTAACATGATATACAATATTAAAAAGTGTTTACTTCTTTGTATGATAAATGTTTTGGTGTAATTCAGACTCCCTAATGTTGAATTATTCAATCATCATTTGAAACTGTATAAGAATGCATGTGACAGCTTTTGCTCACATGCTCTCAGGATGTGAAATGCATTTTGCTGAAACACCTTATTTACAGAAATCGCCCAATCACAGTTCGAGCATTACTCTGACCTCAACTTTCTAGCAGGATTATGAAACCGTGCATTGAAAATAATAACAAATCTGTACGCTTCTCATTCCCTCCACCAAGTATATTTGCCTGATTGACTATTCTCTCCCAAGTATGTGGGTAATCGTCTATTGAGAGCACATTTCCTTATCAGCGTCTAGCACACTGTCTGAATCTGTTATCACAATGGGCCAGATCAGTGCAGGCAGCCCCTCGCTCTCCCGGCTGAGGCGCCCATGAAAAAGAATTTCTGGAGTTGGGTGCCAACCGATAGGCCCTGAGCTCTTTATCCCCTTAAAGCCAATTCACACTCTGCATGTTTAAATATCTCAGCTCAACCCCTGCCCTCCCACTCCCATCATGCACTCCAACCCCCTCCTCCTCCTCCTCCTTCGCCTTTCCTTTCGCTCTCTCTCACCCCTCCATGGGCTGCAAGTCCAAGAGTGGACTGCTGCCGCGGCCGGCCTGCAGTTCGGATGGGTGGGTGGGTGTGTGGGATGCAGGTGCAGGCTGGTTGGAGGGTGAGAGAGGAGGGGAGTCATCCATTGTTGGGCTGGACAGCACCCTCTCTCCTCTGGAGCACCCTCTGATGGGGGAGCCCACTGACAATCACGCATCCTAATCTGATTATGCAAATATCTACTTCAAAAAGCAATACGCTGTAACCCTTACCCTGTGGTGGAAAGACAGAGCGAGGAAGAAGAACGGAAGGAGAGGAAGCAGCAGGAATGTAGAGAGTGGAGACTAGATGGTTGAATTGCTGAGAAAATTTAAATCAGTGGCAAATTGCACAGTTAGACTCAATGATTCTGCAATTTTCTATGCACATGTACATCCTCTGTACCACCAGGGGAGGTCTGAGAAGAACACAGTATACATTTACACACTCTGAATGGCCACTGACTCCCTGAACAGGGCATTGAATTCAATATTCAAATGCTTATTGTTTTTCCAGACGCTCCTGAATCCAGCGTCAAAAGGAATCTACAATGTTAATGAGGGGGCCAAAGTACCCAGGGTTTAGACGCCCAAACAGTCGCAGGTGACATTTCCCTAGAACAACACCATCTCAACACTACTGGTTCCTAAAGGCCTAGTCAACAACCCCTGCCTCTCAGATATTCACTCCGAGCTGACCTCTACAACAAGACTAAGGGTCCAACAGACCTGTTGAGTGAGGCTGTACGGATAAATGCTAACGTCAGCATGCTCACAAAGACAACAATAACATGATGATCTTGAGCAGGTGTATAATGTTTATGCTCAACATTTTAGTTAAACATGTTAGCATGCCAACATTTGCTATTTAGTACTAAACACAAAATACAGCTGAAGCTGATGGGAATGTCTTTACTTTTGACAGTATTTGGTAATAAAGTATTGAACAAATTGGATCACGAAAGTCATTAGGATATGTTGTCAGTGCCAACTCATCAAGAAGTGTAATAAGTCTGACATGAAGAGTTTAGGAATCACTGAAGTCATTACGAGTCATTCTTAAGTGCACCGTGGACATTAGTCCCAGATATTAATGTCAATCCATCCAAGAGTTGTCGAGTCATTTCAGTAAAAAACAAACTTATCTGTTGGTGGCACTCAAAGAAAAGTCAAGGGACCACTAAAGACAGCCGAATTCATTGTCTGGGAAACATGTATGTTTGTACAAAATGTCAATACAAGATTTGAGATATTTTAGTCTGGACCAAAGTGGTGGCTAAAAATGTCACAAATGAAAAGAAAACTTTTGAAATGTGCCTTCAGAACAGAATCTGTGTGCAATTTGAATCCTAACTCATATCCCAACACCCTAACAATCCTTAAATGACAATAAACAGAAATCCCCTCTCTTACAAAGACCAACAAGTCACTCCTACATCTGAGTGGTATGCAGGGAAATTCTTGCACCCACAAGCACACACAACTTCCTCAGATTACACAAGTGAGTCCAAGAAGTTTAGAGGAAATCATTATCCTTTTGTGTAATTTGACTCCATCTCTCCCAAGTTTACAATCTGGGGGTCTGAAGTCTGATTTTAAGTGCAGGTTAGAGATTATTCTTGTTTTTTTTTCATACTGTTAACTTTACAGCAACTACCCTTTTACCTCTAAGCACAGGTCATGCAGCACAAAGAGGAGCTACAAGCCAGAGTTCTAGTTTGTTTAGTTAATTATTATTTCTCTAGGAGCACCTTTTAAAAAGGATCAGGCCCCAGCAGACTTTCCCAGTGACAAACAGGCACCATGAAGCTGGGACAGCGTCTCTCTGTTTGTGTCCTGCTGGTACTTTCTGTGACATGGAGCACAAATGCAGGGAACATTTTGGTGTGGTACACTGAAGGCAGCCACTGGATTAACATGAAGCCTGTGCTGGAGACGCTGATCGACAGGGGACACCAGGTGACGGTTCTGGTCCCGAGCGCATCGATGTTCATGGACACCAGTGAGCCTTCCCGCTTTCGCTACGAACCCTTCAACGTCTCCGTCTCTATGGAGGTAATTGAGGAGTTCATGGAAGAGTTCCTTCATTTCTCCATGTACGAAATGGATCATATGAGCTACTTGCAGATTTACATCAGATTCATCAGTCTGATGAAGTTCAATGTGCAGTATTCTTTGAAGTATTTGGACGGCGTGCTGAAATCAGAAACCATCATGAAGAAGCTGAAGGAGGGCAAATATGACCTTCTCCTGGCTGATCCCATCTATCCAGGCAGTGACTTAGTAGCAGAGATTTTGGGCATCCCCCTGGTCTTCTCCCTGCGCTTTTCTCTAGCCCATAACTGGGAGAGACAGTGTGGTCAGCTACCAGCTCCACCTTCCTTTGTCCCCGGTGCAATGAGCAAACTGACTGACAAGATGGACTTCTCCGAGAGAGTGCGGAACTTCCTCTTCTACGCACTGCAGGATATCGTGCTGGATAACATTTTTTGGAAAGAACTAGATAAATATTACTCTGAAGTCAAAGGTGAGTAACTCAGCTACAAGAACCACTGTTTAATGCAATTGCAATGTCACATTTGTCAACAATTTGACATTTAAGTAAATAAACATTTTAAATTAGCCATCTCATCTTAAGTATTGGTGATACTTTTCAATGGGCAGCTGTCATCCATTACTTTTGCGTTGTGACAGGAACACCCACCAGTGCCTGTGAAGTGATGGGTAGAGCAGACATCTGGTTGATGCGAACCTACTGGGATTTTGATTTCCCTCGCCCTTTACTTCCTAACTTCAAATTTGTTGGTGGGATCCACTGCAGACCTGCTAAATCTTTACCAGAGGTAGGGCTGTCTCAGTATTCCTGACTTAAACAATGAAGAGAATGAGCCATTAAAATGCTGAGGAAATAAAATAAAATGCTGGTTGGTTTACAATGAGATAATTTTAATCTTCTTACAGGATATGGAAGCGTTTGTGCAGAGTTCTGGAGACGCTGGCATCGTGGTCTTCACTTTGGGATCATTCATCAAGAACATCACTACAGAGAATGGAAACATGATCGCCTCAGCCCTCGCTCAGATCCCACAAAAGGTCAGAGGTCAACTTCTTTGTGACAACTGGTATTCACTTGAATAACCTCTAAATGCAATTTTAATGGCCTGTAGCTTTGCATGTTTTAGCCAATATGTATGTGTGTGTATATAAAAAGTATTCACAGCGCTTCACTTTTTCCACATTTTGTTATATTACTGCTTTATTCCAAAATGGATGAAATACATTATTTTCCTTAAAATTCTACAAATAATACCCCATAATGACAACATGAAAGAAGTCTATTATATAGAAGAAGTCTATTTAAAATCTTTACAAATTTATAAAATAAAATAAGTATAAACAAAGCACATGTAGATGAGTATCCACAGCCTTTGTCATGACACTCAAAATTGAGCTCAGGTGCATCCTGTTTCTACTGATAATCCTTGAGATGTTTCTACAACTTGATTGGAGTCCACCTGTGGTAAATTCAGGTGATTGGACATGATTTGGAAAGGCACACACCTGTCTATATAAGGTCCCACAGTTAACAGTGCATGTCAGAGCACAAACCAACCATCAAGTTCAAGTAATTGTCTGTAGACCTCAGATATAGGATTGTATTGAGGCACAGATCTGGGGAAGGGTAGCACTGAAGGTCCCAATGAGCACAGTGGCCTCAATCATCCGTAAATGGAAGAAGTTTGGAACCACCAGGACTCTTCCTAGAGCTGGCCACTCGCCAAACTGAGGGATCGAGGGAGAAGGGCCTTAGTCAGGGAGGTGCCCAGGAACCCGATGGTACACATACACACATACTTTTTTGGGTACACATGTTCAATTGCTTGTTAACACAAATAGCTAATCAGCCAATCACATGGCTGATACACTGGGATTTTCATGCATAACCATTTCCATGGTTTACAGACAATGGTCCAAAAAAAGAGAAAATATCCAGTGAGCGGCAGTTGTGTGGACGAAAATGTCTTGTTTGTTGTCAGAGGTCAGAGGAGAATGGGCAGACTGGCTTGAGATGACAGAAAGGCAACAGTAACTCAAATAACTACTCATTAAACCAAGGTATGCAGAATACCATCTCTGAACGCACAACATGTCGAACCTTGAAGCAGATGGGCTACAGCAGCAAAAGACCACAGAGGGTGCCACTCCTGTAAACTAAACACCGGAAACTGAAGGTACAATTCACGCAGGCTCACCAAAATTGGACAAAAGAAGATTGGAAAAACGTTGCCTGGTCTGATGAGTCTCGATTTCAGCTGCAACATTCAGATGTTAGGGGTCAGAAGTTGATGTAAACATGAAGACTGCACCAACTAACATGCATGCGCAGGCTGTCGCGCCGTGCATGCGGCCCTCATGTCACCCTGGACCAATGACATTTCAGCAATTAAGTGCTCAATTGAAGAGACAGTTTTCAGTCTCCCCTCTTTCATTTGCAACCGTTCAGGAGGACACTGCTGACACATCTTTTTGTCTGTAGTCTAGAGGAGTTTTTCTGTACTTCTGGATTAATACTGCATTCATATTCTGGACTGCGTGCCAACACCTCTTATATACAAGGTGTACCTAATAAAGTGGCCAGTGAGTGTATATATATGTTTAACTTTAACATACAACATAACTATTTTGTGTGCATTTAAAAAGACATTTACGAATCTTTCTGTATGCACATTCAATAATATTGAGACTGATCAGACTCGATACAAAGATTGCCATTTTTCAAGTAAGAATGTAAAGACACTGTCTTGTTATAAATTACAACTATTTTCCTTATTATTTTAGCACGTATTATAGTATTAGTAGTAGTATTAGTATTAAATTTACCGCTATGCAGTGTATTATTTTAAAAAGTGGTTTACTGTTGTTTATAGGTGCTGTGGAGATACAGTGGAGAAAAACCAACGACTCTGGGTGCTAACACCAGATTATACAACTGGATCCCTCAGAATGATTTACTGGGTAAGTAAAGCTTTTACAAATGCTACTGAATGCTATTTTTCATAATTTAGTTTGACAGTAAATAAAATCCTAAAGGGATATACAAGAGAAAACACAGTAAGAATGTTGAGGTGAAGTTTGCAAGTTAATTCAGAGACAAGGGATTTTCCAACCACTACACATGCAGAATAAGCATTATTATAAACTAAAACTGGTATTTATCAGGTGAAAGTTATAATAATGCCACAATAAGGTCCACACACTATAGTTGTGTCTAAATTCCATCCTACATATAATACATTAAGATTTAATCTATAAAGTTACTGTAAAATACAAAAGAATTGACTTATCTGTTGTATAACATGAAATGATACAATACTGTCACATGTCAGGTGTCAGTTGTCACTTTGTCCAAAAATCCAATCCTTATTTGTTGTGTTCACACCATCCACAATTAATTTCATTTCCTGTGTGCATTACATCGTGGGCAGCACCAGCTGGGGGTTCACCACTTTGTACTGGAACACTATTTCAAAGTACAAAGATATGCTTAATGAAAAACTGTGCCAGAGCACTCAGGCCCTCAGACTGGGCGAAGGTTCAGAAGATACAGGACAATGACTAAGCACACAGCCGTGACAATGCAGTAGGGACAACTCTGTGAATGTCCTTGAGTGGACAAGCCAAAGCAATTGTAATCAAAACACCTCTGGAGAGACCTGAAAATGGCCATCCACCAACGAGTCCCCATCAAAAGAGTTTGAGAAGATCTGCAGAGGAGAGCGGCAGAAAACGCCTAAATACAGGTGTGCAGCGCTAATCGTATCCAGTGTTGGGAAGGTTACTTTGGAAATGTAGGTTACTGAGCACAAGTTACCCTATTTAAAATGTAATAGTAGTGTAACTATTTCAATAATTATAAATTTTTGTTTATTAAAGTGCAAACCAATCAAAAGCATCAGAATAGCATCAAACTTTACTAAATGGCTGTGGCTGGAAATGGCAAAGGAAGACATTGTGAACATGAAAAACATGCAAATCAACAAAATAAATATTATTCAAATTAAAACCTAACTTTTTAAACATAATATTTAAACCCCAATGTAATCATGAACATTTTCATAAGTAACTGTAATTTAATTACAACTTTTTTCCCCAGCAACTGTAACAGATAACATGTATTTTGTAATTAAATTACGTAACTAAATTACATGTAAGTAGTTATTCCCCAACACTGGTCGAGTCATAGCTAAGAAGAGTCAAGGCTGTAATTACTGCCAACTAGTTAAGGGTCTGAATACTTACGTTTAATCCTTTTTTTGCTTTTTCATTGTGGGGTACTGATTGGAGATTTATGAGGAGTAAATTTTTTTAAATGATCTAAATCTAAAAAAAACAAAGGTGTATGACCACTTTCTGAATGCTTTATATTGGAATAAGTTGAATAGGATAAACCCCTTGAGATGAACCATCTCGTTTTCGAGGGGGTCCTAATATACAATAAAGAACAAAAGAACAAATCAAACACATTACAATAATAAGACATAGACAATGCTACAATCAACACACTACAACAAAAGACAACATCAACAACAAAAAACTAAATGAACAAACAAAAAACACAAACAAACAAAGATAGGTATTTAAGTTAATACAACCACTTGATAGCCACACAGAGGCTGTGAAAAAATACTTGCCCGCAAAAACATAACATAGTATAAAGAATATAGTGACTTGTAAATTATATATAGGTATAGCATCATCTGAAACATGTACAATTTCACTCAAAATAAGAAGACAAACTATTTTTTAAAATGTGAAATGATATTAAAGAAGTATGTTTGAAGGTAAGTTACTCTAGTCTGAAGGAGCCTTAAATATAAATGTTCTCTTTCATATTGCTTTTTTGACTATAGGAGTGAAAAAGAAGTATTGTGTAAAATGCCTCAAATTATGTATTGAAGAATAAGGTACCAAAAACTGTTGTAAATATTGAGGTATAGTTAAAATGTAGACATTTAATCACAAGTTGCAACCAATGTATGTGTCTTCTTATATTAAGTGAAGGCCATTTAAGTGGGTTATACATTACACGGTGATGAGTATTATAGGAACATCCAAGAGAAAATCTGCAGAGATTATTGTATGCTCTATTAAGGGGTAGAAGGCTAGTTTTAGATGCATTTTGATAAACAACATCAGCATAGTCAAAAAATGGCAATATCAGTTGAATGGCAAGTTTTTTTCAGACACTAAGTGTAAAACAGTTTCTAGATCAAAATAAAACACAGGTTGCGAAATAAATTTTGTGAAGGAGGTGATCAATGTGAGGTTTGAATGCCATAAACTCAAGTATTTAACTTTATCAACCTAATGCAGTGAAGTACCGTCATTACACGTTATCATTAGATTATTAGATTTTGTTTTAAGATTCTGTCTTGTACCAAAGACCATAGTGTAAGATTTAGTTTTATTGAGCAGTAGTTTATTAGATAACAGCCATTTCTGTAAGGTACTAAAATCCAATTGAAGAGCAGTTTGGATTTGCAATAAATGTGGTTTAGACGTATAAATGACAGTATCATCTGCATTTAGTTGAATAGAGGAATTAGAACAGATTAAAGGCAGATCATCACAGAGAAAAGAAGTGGACCAAGCGTCGTACCTTGGGTTACACCGCTTTGTTGAACAAATAAATCCGACCTACTCCCATGAAGAACAACACATTGTTTTCTATCATGTAGATACGAACTAAACCATAATAATGCTAATGTAGATAGTGATCCACCAAATCAAAAGCTTTTTTGAGATCAATAAAAATAGCCCCTGTAAGATTACAAGTATCAGATGCTGAAAAGGCATCATTAGTAAGTTTTAAAAGAGCAGTAGTTGTTGAATGATTAGGTCTAAAACCGTATTGAAATGGTGAAAAGATATTATTGGTCTCAAGATACTCTGATAGCTGATTAAATATTATTTTCTCAAATACTTTAGCAATAGAACAAATTATTGGTATAGGTATGTAATTATTAGGATCAAGACAATCACCACCTTTTGTAGAGTGGAGTAATGCGTGAATATTTCCAGATCGCTGGTAACTCAGAAGTAAACAAGGACATATTAAACAGGTCAGCTAGTGGAAACATGAGAATATGAGAAGCTAATTTAATATATCTGGATTCAATCGCATCTAGTCCTGCACCGCTGCTCAAACTTAGTTGTTTGATAGCATTTAAAACATTAGTAGGTGTAGTTTATTTTCATAAAGGAAAAGGTACTGTGACAAGGCGAAATGTTCTTAAAACTTTCAGAATAAGAAGCATTCAGTATTGGGTCAGAGCAGACAGAAGAAAAATGCTGACAGAACACTTGGGCAATAGATAGAGAGTCAGAGATTATTATATTGCCATCTCTAAATTGATTAATGGGACTTTTGTCTGAAGTGTGTATTATGGCTTTTAAACTGTTCCAGAATTGTTTAGGATTTTTAAAATTATTAGATGATTTATATGTTGCATGATCTTTGGTACCCTATCAGGTCACCCCAAGACCAGAGCTTTCATCACACATGGTGGAGCAAATGGGATTTATGAGGCCATCTACCACGGTGTTCCCATGGTGGGTATCCCCTTGTTCGCTGACCAGCCAGACAACATGATCCATATGAAGGCTAAGGGAGCTGCAGTTACTGTAGACTTGAACTTCATGAAGACCGAGGACCTTAGAGATGCAGTCAATGCTGTCATCAACGAGAAATTGTGAGTTCTCTTACCTATCTGCACTTAGTTTAGCATTTAGCGTAAAATATATGAAACAAAAAATATATCCTTTTTCCATTTTATCCACATTCTTGTGGAGGCAAAGAAATTGAAGAATAAAAATATAAAATACATTATGCATTAATCCACATTTTCACCCCTGTATATCCACATTCATAGGTACAAGGAGAATGCCATGCGGCTGTCCAGTATCCACCACGAGAGACCAATGAGTCCTCTGGATGAGGCGGTGTTCTGGATCGAGTTCACCATGAGAAACAAAGGGGCCAAGTACCTGAGGGTTCAGGCCCACGAGCTCACCTGGTACGAGTATCACAGCCTGGATGTTGTGGCCTTCCTCCTTGCTATCATACTGTTCTTGATATTCATCTTCATTAAGACCTGCAGTTTCTGCTTCCGGAGGTGCTGTGGCAGAAAGGGAAAGACAAAGACAAAGGCTGAGTAACTGATGGAACTGAAATGTAGTTGGTAAACAGATGGGTGAAAAAACAACCTTTATATAACAGTTCACTGGTTTTCCTGCTTGTCTAAAGCATATAATGTAACCACAATGCCTTGGACTGTGTGACACTTGCTTGGACGGGTTATTCTGAGTGCTTTGAAACAACTAATTTGGGTAAAAAATTTTTAAATCAGTTTACAATGTCCAATATTGGGTATATAATGTACATTACATTTATCTGACACTTTTAACCAAAGCGACTTACAATTGCTATACATATCAGAGGTTGCACACCTCTGGAGCAACTAGGTGTTAAGTGTCTTGTTCAGGGACACATGTGTCACAGTGGAGAGTTGAACCCAGATTTCTCACAACAAAGGCATACGTATTAATCACTGCTCCATCACCAATGCACAGGACTGTTCAACAAGTGCTGGCTTGGCATAAGTTATTGTTAGCATTTTGAAACCACTGGGTAAAAAATTTAAAATACATTAAAAATATCAGTTTACAATGTCCAATATTGTTATCAATCTTGTGTGTTGTTTAAGTGGTCACTTTAATTTTCAGTAAAGATGAATGATTTGGATGTGCTATTTGTTTCACATGTTTTGTAACCATAAACTCAGTTTTTCAGGCTAGGCTGACTGAACCTCTAGTAAAAACATTGTTAACCTGTACATAAACAAACACCATGTATTTTCTTTCCATAATATGTGGACATTTTTCTTGTCCCTTCATGTTTGGTCAATAATTGTTCCAATTGTCTGACATTAAAGGCTGAATGTTTATTGGCTTGTCTTTCATTCTGTTCCTATTGGATAATATTGTTATTCTGTGACATTAGGCACAGGTGTGTGCATAGTAAGAAGTTAAAATTAATTGTCTTGCTACTTTGGCACGTATATATATCATGGAAAGCTGAAAAGTATGCAGGAGCCTAATCCTTTTGGAACAAATAACACAACATATCTGATGTTTCATTATGCAAATTAAAAAAGCTATATTATCTTCTTTAAAAACTATGTTAGTTTTCATTTTGTGTTACTCAGAATTTCTGCGGGCATATCTCAATAGTTTATCCCTCCCTTAGGTTTCCTACCTTATAAACACCTGACATCTCATGGTATAAGCTGTGAGAAGGAGGAGGAGAAGATTAACTTTAGTAATCCTGCGAGGGGAAATGTTTTTTTTTTTTTGCATAAAACTATGATATACACATCTTTTTTTCTCAACACCCGTCTCATACTGATAATTACACTCCATATAGGTAAGTTTGCCTCTTTGGCTATGTAGCCCCACATCAAGAGCAGAGAAAATAAACTTTCATTGAAAGTACAGCAGAGATTAAGTGTGCCCTCCAGAGGTAATTTGAAAATATCATGAAATTGCCTTTTCAGAAAGTACAGTTGGCGTATGAGATTCTCGGGGTTCTGGGCAAGAAAGTTGCTCTAAATCAGCCTTTCCTCAGTCAAAATATAGTCCTTCAAACTATTGCACCCACAACTTCCTCAAATTACGTAAGTATCTCCAAGCCCATTTACCGGAACTCATTATGTTTTTGTGTCATTTGACTCCATTTCTCCACAGCTAACAATCTGGGGATCTAAAGTCTGTTTTACCTTGTTTGTTGATTTATGGTTAGATATTAATCCGGTCTTTTAATACTGTTAATTTTATGACCACTACTCCTTTACCTTTAACCACTTGCTTGAGTAGGGTCTGTTATCTAAGGGGTTATGCAGCACAAAGAGGAGCTACAAGCCAGACTTCTAGTTTGTTTAGTTAATTATTATTTCTCTAGGAGCACCTTTTAAAAAGGATCAGGCCCCAGCAGACTTTCCCAGTGACAAACAGGCACCATGAAGTTGGGACAGCGTCTCTCTGTTTGTGTCCTGCTGGTACTTTCTGTGACATGGAGCACAAATGCAGGGAACATTTTGGTGTGGTACACTGAAGGCAGCCACTGGATTAACATGAAGCCTGTGCTGGAGACGCTGATCGACAGGGGACACCAGGTGACGGTTCTGGTCCCGAGCGCATCAGTCTTTATGAACACTAGTGAGCCTTCCCGCTTTCGCTACGAACCCTTCAATGTCTCCGTCTCTATGGAGGTCATAAAGGAGTTCATGGAAGAGTCCATTCACTTCTCCATGTACGAGATTGATCATATGAGCTACTTGCAGATTTACATCAGATTCATCAGTCTGATGAAGTTCAGTGTGCAGTATTCTTTGAAGTATTTGGACGGCGTGCTGAAATCAGAAACTATCATGAAGAAGCTGAAGGAGGGAAATTATGATCTTCTCCTGGCTGATCCAGCCTACGGTGGCAGTGACTTAGTAGCAGAGATTTTGGGCATCCCCCTGGTCTTCTCCCTGCGCTTTTCTCTAGCCCATAACCGGGAGAGACAGTGTGGTCAGCTACCAGCTCCACCTTCCTTTGTCCCCGGCGCAATGAGCAAACTGACTGACAAGATGGACTTCTCCGAGAGAGTGTGGAACTTCCTCTTCTACGCACTGCAGGATATCGTGCTGGATACATTTTTTTGGAAAGAACTAGATAAATATTACTCTGAAGTCAAAGGTGAGTAACTCAGCTACAAGAACCACTGTTTAATGCAATTGCAATGTCACATTTGTCAACAATTTGAGATAATAAGTAAATAAACATTTTAAATTAGCCATCTCATCTTAAGTATTGGTGATACTTTTCAATTGCCGGCGGTCATCCATTACTTTTGCGTTGTGACAGGAACACCCACCAGTGCCTGTGAAGTGATGGGTAGAGCAGACATCTGGTTGATGCGAACCTACTGGGATTTTGACTTCCCTCGCCCTTTACTTCCTAACTTCAAATTTGTTGGTGGGATCCACTGCAGACCTGCTAAATCTTTACCAGAGGTAGGGCTGTCTCAGTATTCCTGACTTAAACAATGAAGAGAATGAGCCATTAAAATGCTGAGGAAATAAAATAAAATGCTGGTTGGTTTACAATGACATAATGTTACTCTTCTTACAGGATATGGAAGCGTTTGTGCAGAGTTCTGGAGACGCTGGCATCGTGGTCTTCAGTCTGGGTTCATTCATCAAGAACATCACTACAGAGAAGGGAAACATGATCGCCTCAGCCCTCGCTAAGATCCCACAAAAGGTCAGAGGTCAACTTCTGTGTGACAACTGGTATTCACTTGAATAACCTCTAAATGCAATTTTAATGGCCAGTAGCTTTGCATGTTTTAGGCAATTAACTGCAAATTGCATGTACTTTCACCGTTTTGCTGACCATTTCACAGCATATCAGCAAAATCTACTTGCAGTGACTTGAAGCTACCTCAAAATACAAGTGTCAGTGTTACACTGTCATCACACGGCAAACCAGCTACAAGCAAGCACTATTATAAAAACTCTTTTTGTTAATGAGGTTTTTTCAGTTTTATTTTTCCAACAATATAGTTAGGCTAGTGAATGCAATACTATTTTACTGGTGACAGCAGTGAAGTTGACAAATGACAAGAAGTTTGTAAATGCAGCTAATATCGGTTTGTTTATAAATATAACATCCATATATGTTTTTGACGAAAACTGTAAATACTTTTACCGTAAAACTTTGATTAATAGCCCGGATTTACCCTGACTATATTTGGGACAGGCCTTAATTCCTCTTGCACAAAACTGAAATAGGCTACTATGAAACAGTTTATTTAGTTCAAACAGAATATTACTGTTAAAAATTAAAATTGATCAAAGAATATCATATTCACATCATTCATATGATCTAGCTGCAGCAGCTTATGCGCTTTTATTTTGTAGGCAGCAATGTAATGAAAACAACAACAGGGTGCAGGATGAGAAAGGTGTGGCAGAAGTTAGCAGACAGAGAGTGATGGACTTCACATGACAGGATTCACAATTTGGATTAATTTTTATGAAAAGCTGTTATGATTCTTCTGATCGGTGGACCCTTACACACTAAAGGAATATAAATTATCAAGGAACGGACACATTTGGACTTAAGAGCGGACTTAACAAGCGCTTCAAAGGTAACGTGAGTCAGCACTTTTTTTTTCTTTTCATCTCTTGCACCAGGCAGGTTACACCAGTAAATTTATAAGAATTAGACTTGGGGACCATTAAATGAACTCAATGATTGAATTGTGGAGATTCTAACCGATCTAAGGATGTGTAGCATGTCCATACTGATCATATGTTTGAACATTAATATTAACGATCTAAGTAGCTTAGAAGCAGATAAAGCGGGTGACCCCGCAGGATTTAAGAGATTTTATACATCCAAAGAACTTTTCTAAAAAACCAGACCAGGCGTTTAATCGAGGCCTGCATTTATTTGTCAAAATGTGTTCCCACACCAGGCCAGTAAACGGGGTAGGCGGCTATTTGGGACTTGGGACTTATTAATTGAAGTTTAACGGTAAGTCAGTATTTGTGGATTTTAATTAGCCACTTTATTAGGTACTCCTGTTTAATTACTTGTACATACAAATAGCTAATCAGCCTATCACACGGCACCAACTCAATGCATTTAGACATGGTCAAGACCACTTCCTAAGTTCAAACCGAGCATCAGAATGAGGAAGAAAGGAGATTTAATGACTTTGATCATGGCATCGTTGTTGGTGCGAGACAGGCTGGTCTGTTTCGGACTGTTGATCTAGGGTTTATAGAGAAAAACACACACACACACATATATATATATGTGTGTGTGTATATATATATATATATATATATATATATACATATATACACACATATACATATATATATAAAACAATATATATATATATATACACACACACACAAACTTACACACACACATATATATATATATATACACACATATATACAGTATCTCACAAAAGTGAGTATATCCCTCACATTTTAATAATTCATTTGAAATATTGGTTTCTTTTCATGTGATACACAATGTGCTACAATGTAAAGTAATAATTATAATAATAATAATAATCCTTATTTGTAGAGCACTTTTCAAAAACAAGTTACAAAGTGCTTTAACAAGTGTAAAGAATAATACAAAAAAGATAAGAGCATGAAAATTTAATATAAAATTAGTAAAATACAATAAAATAAAAGGGATAAAATAAAGTCAAATAAGATCGGAAAAACGAAAAAAGTTAAAAAAAAGTAGTGAGTGTACAGCTTGTAAAACAGTGTAAATTTGCTGTCCCCTCAAAATAACCCAACACACAGCCAATAATGGCAAAAGAAGTGAGTACACCCCTAAGTGACTCGTTAGTGTTACAAGGTCTCAGGTGTGAATGGGGAGCAGGTGTGTTAAATCTGGTGTTAGCGCTCTCACACTCCCTCATACTGGTCACTGGAGGTTCAACATGATACTTCAGGGCAAATAATTCTCTGAGGATCTGAAAAAACGAATGGTTGCTCTACATAAAGAGGCCATTACTTGGCGGTCCGGATCCATCCGCTCCGGACCCTGACCTAGGGCCAATTTATTATTGAGAATTACTACCTCATGACACAACGTTTCTATTTTAACCCGTGCAGCTTTTCTAGCATTTACTGTACTGGTTTAGCAGCCTAGGAAACTCACAGATCAATTGCAGTTTTCTATAAATGGACCTCTTTGAATTTTAATTAAATACCCCTGGTCTAGGCTATAAGAAGATTGCCAAGACCCTAAAACTGAGCTGCAGCATGGTGGCCAAGACCATACAGCGGTTCAACAGGACAGGTTCCAGTCAGAGCAGACCTCGCCATGGTCACCCAAAGAAGTTGAGTCCACATGCTCAGCGTCATATCCAGAGGTTTTCTTTGGTGAAATAGACATATGAGTGCTACAGAGGTTGAAGAGGTGGGGGGTCAGCCAGATGGTGTCAAACGTGTGTGGTGGCAACCAGGTGAGGAGCACAAAGACAAGTGTGTCTTGCCTACAGTCAAGCATGGTGGTGGGAGAGTCATGGTCTGGGGATGAATGAGTGCTGCTGGCACAGGGGAGCATGAATGCCATCATGTACATACTGAAGGAGACACTCACTACTCTACATTGTAGCAAAGTTTTCTTCAGTGTTGTCACATGAAAAGATTAATCTACATACATACATAGATAATAAAATATACTGTATATGTTTAACTTTTAATTACAACATAATTATTTTGTGTGCATTAAGAAAGAGAAATATATTATTTCTGTGTGTACATTCATTAATATTAGACTGATCAGAGTCAATGCAAAGATTGCCATTTTCCAAATAAGTTATAATAAGTTATAAATTACAACTATTTTCCCTTATTTCTTTAGCATGTATTATTAAATGTACTGCTATGCAGTATATTATTTAAAAAATTGTTATTTTTAATTGTTTATAGGTGCTGTGGAGATACAGTGGAGAAAAACCAAAGACACTGGGTGCCAACACCAGAATATACGACTGGATCCCTCAGAATGACCTACTGGGTAAGTACAGCTTTTACAAATGCTACTGAAAGCTATTTTCATAGTTTAGTTTGACAGTAAAAAACAATCCTAAAGGTATATACAAGAGAAAACACAGTAAGAATGTTGAGGTGAAGTTTGCACATCAAGAGACATGGGATTTTCCAGTGGAAAGGCACATGCCTTTGATGTGAGAGACCCTGGTTCAATACCCCACTGTGACACATCCAGCAATGTGTCCCTGAGCAAGACACTTTACCTCATAGTTGCTCCAGAGGCTCTGACATACATAGCAATTTTAAGTCACTTTGGATAAAAGCATCAGCTAAATGAGTAAATGTAATGTTAATGAAAACGTTCTAATTAAAATGCAAGCAAAAGTCAAATACTCAACCTGCTGTACAGTGGACAATATTGAAATGCAATAAGCAAAAAAGTGCAACTATGTTTGGACGTCACTTGCGTGAACATCTGCATTGGGCAAATGCGTTGTCCACTTGTGGCAGAAAATGCGATAAAGTAGCTGGACCTCAGTTATTACTGTACAAAACAACAATGTTGTTCACTGATTTTGGTCAAACTGGAAATGCCACTACACAATCCCAACAGTGAAGCATGCTGGTGGCAGAATCATGCTGTGGGGGTACCGGTTAAGGTTGAGGGAAAGTTGAATGGAGCAAAGTACAAAGATATGCTTAATGAAAAACTGTGCCAGAGCACTCAGGCCCTCAGACTGGGTGAAGGTTCACCTTTCAACAGGACAATGACTAAGCACACAGCCGTGACAATGCAGTAGGGACAACTCTGTGAATGTCTATGAGTTTATTTTTTTACTTTTGTTTATTAAAGTGCAAACCAATCAAATGCATCAGAATAGCATCAAACTTTACTAAATGGCTGTGGCTGGAAATGGCAAAGGAAGACATTGTGAACATGAAAAACATGCAAATCAACAAAATAAATATTATTCAACTTAAAACCTAACTTTTTAAACACAATATTCAGATTTAAACCCCAATGTAATCATGAACATTTTCATAAGTAACCCCAGCAACTGTAACAGATTACATGTATTTTGTAATTAAGTAACTAAATTATATGTAAGTAGTTACTCCCCAACACTGGTCGAGTCTTTCCTATCAGGTCACCCCAAGACCAGAGCTTTCATCACACATGGTGGCACAAATGGAATTTATGAGGCCATCTACCACGGTGTTCCCATGGTGGGTATCCCCTTGTTCGCTGACCAGCCAGACAACATGATCCGCATGAAGGCTAAGGGAGCTGCAGTTACTGTAGACTTGAACTTCATGAAGACCGAGGACCTTAGAGATGCAGTCAATGCTGTCATCAACGAGAAATCGTGAGTTCTCTTACCTATCTGCACTTAGTTTAGCGTTTAGCGTAAAATATATGAAACAAAAAATATATCCTTTTTCCATTTTATCTGCATTCTTGGGGAGGCAAAGAAATTTATATATAAAATACATTATGCATTAATCCACATTTTCACCCCTGTATATCCACATTCATAGGTACAAGGAGAACGCCATGCGGCTGTCCAGTATCCACCACGAGAGACCAATGAGTCCTCTGGATGAGGCGGTGTTCTGGATCGAGTTCACCATGAGAAACAAAGGGGCCAAGCACCTAAGGGTTCAGGCCCACGAGCTCACCTGGTACGAGTATCACAGCCTGGATGTTGTGGCCTTCCTCCTTGCCATCATACTGTTCTTGATATTCATCTTCATTAAGACCTGCAGTTTCTGCTTCAGGGGGTGCTGTGGCAGAAAGGGAAAGACAAAGACAAAGGCTGAGTAACTGATGGAACTGAAATGTAGTTGATAAACAGATGGGTGAAAAAACAACAGTTCACCGGTTGTCCTGCTGGTCTAAAGCAGATAATGTAACCACAAATCTCTGGACTGTTTGACAATTACTGGCTCGGGATGAGTTATTGTTACTACTTTGAAACAACTAATTTGGTTAAAGAAATTAAAACACATAAAAAAAATCAGTTTACAATGTCCAGTATTGTTGTGAATCTCCTGTGTTGTTTGAGTGGTATATTTATGATAAAGAGGAATGATTTTGTTGTGCTATTTGTTTCACTCATTTTGTAACTATTTAACTCAGTTTTTGCAAACATTTATCAAATTCCAAAATGAATACATATGTGTAAAAGTGATGTAGAAATGCAAAAACTAATAGAAAAACAAAACGATTCTACTTTGGGAGCTTTGCAACCCTCTCCTCCTGTTCTACTTCAAATAGGCTTTGCCCTCTAAAGCTATCACTATTGGGTTTACCCCAAGCGGGAATCTTCAGGTCTGATACGCGAAGCCAATGCGGAAGTCACATAAACCTGCATTCTATTGAACGGCCAGCTGGGGGCGACTCTTCTGGTTGCAAAAAGAAGTCCAGTTGCATTAGAAATAATGGTAAAATAACCCTAGTTCTCAGCTGATTTATTACCTTAGTAATCACTTAATAATGAGTTTATGGTCTCAGTCACTAGTTTCATGTCTTCGAGATGCAAACAAGTCCACGTCTATGGGGCCGAACCTTTCGCATAATAACTCCACCACCTGGGGGTGGAGTCTCCATTCCCCGGGCCTCAGCCCCTGTCTCGACAGCAAGTCTGCTCCCTGATTCTGGGTCCCAGGGACGTATGTAGCTCTGAGGGACAGCAGTCTCTGCTAGGACCACAGGAGGATCTGATGTGCCAGTTTGCATAACGGGCGCGAGCGCAGACCCCCCTCATGATTCAAATAGGCCACCACCGCCGTGTTGTCGGTCCTGACAAGGACGTAGCGACCGCGGAAAGCGGGCAGAAAACTCCTCAGAGCTCTGAAAACCGCCAACATTTCCAGGCAATTTATGTGCCAAGAGAAATGATGCTCCTGCCAGTAGCCTCTCGCAAAGCGGGTGTCCATGACTGCGCCCCACCCCGCGAGTGAGGCGTCTGTCGAAATAATTGTCCGGCGACTTGACGCTCCCAACACGGGACCCTGGGACAAGAACCAAGGCTTCCTCCATACTGACAAGGAACGAAGCCACCTGCTCATAACCCGTATCAGACGGAACGAATTTCCCCTCGGGGAGAATCCCTTGGATTTTTGCCACCACTGCAGGGCTCTCATGTACAGCAGGCCAGACGGGATTACGCTGGACGCTGCCGCCATGAGACCCAACACCCTCTGAAAGTGTTTCACAGTGATGGTGCGGCCTAGCTTCACTCTGGTCACCGAGGACAAAATGGACCCGACGCGTGCAGGCGACAGGTGGGCCCGCATCGTGGTCGAGTCCTACACCACCCCTAGGAACGTAGTCCGTTGGGCGGGCGTCAGCACGCTCTTCTTCGCGTTGAGCCACAGCCCCAAACGCTGAAGGTGGGCGAGGACGACATCTCGATGCCGAACCGCTAACTCCCGAGACTGAGCCAAGATGAGCCAGTCGTCGATGTAGTTTAATATGCGGATGCCCTGGAGCCTCAGCGGGGCCAGAGCTGCATCCATGCATTTGGTGAACGTGCGAGGAGAGAGTGCTAGGCCGAATGGAAGAACCCGATACTGGTACGCCGCGCCCCCGAAGGCGAACCTCAGGAACTTCCTGTGAGAGGGACGGATGGAGATGTGGAAATATGCGTCTCGTAGATCTATCGTGACAAACAAATCTTCGGATTGGATGTGACTGATGATGGTGATGATGATGAGCATCCTGAACCTGAATCTCCTCAGAGATTGGTTCAGGGACCGCAGATCTAAAATCGGACGCAGTCCTCCGTCAATTCTTGGGAACTATGAAGTACCGGCTGTAGAACCCGGACTCCCTGACTGGCGGGGAAATGAGTTCTATGGCCCCTTTCTCCAGCAGAGAGCAAACTTCTTGTCCCAACACCTGGCTCTGCCCCGCGTGCACCGCAGTTCAGACCACCCCGTTGAACTTCTGCGGGGGGTGGACCCGGAACTGCAGCCTGTAGCCATCCACTACAGTGCGCAGGACCCACAGGGAAATGTTTGCAAGGCTCCGCCATGCTTCTACAAAATCCGCCAAGGGGCTGGTGGCCGGTGTTATGCGTCGGTCCCCGGTGGCACCCTGAAGCGGAGGACCGCCAGGGAAACTTGCCGGCGACCCACGGTGTGTGAGCCCGATCGTTTTCCAGCTGCAACCCCTCGAGGCGGGAGACTGGTGAGAGTGCGCTGGCAGTTAGCGTGTCCCGAGCGCCAAGATGGCGGGAAAACAGCGCCTGTTGCCTGAGCTGCCACAAGGGAGGGGACCTCGGTCAGCCTCTCAGGGGGCTGTCGGCGAGAGCGCCACCTCGCGTCCCGGTTTTGTTGAGGGGGACTACAGGAAGCGACGCTTCGCTTCTGGCTCCGGCGGTAGGAGCTAGACGAGGGCTGAGCTCATCTCTCTTCAGCCGTCGCCGTCCTGGACCCAGACCGGCGGGGGAGATATTGCTCAAACGCCTCTTCCTGCGTTTCAGCGTGCTGAAACCTGCTGATGACAGCATCCACCGCCTCACCATACAGGCCAGTAGGAGAGAGGGGCACCTCTAGGAGAAAAGCCCTCTTTTTCTCCTTCCCCTGGATGCCCGAGAGGTTGAGCCACAGATGGCGCTCCGTGGCCAACAATGCTGCCCTAGAGCAGCCAATGCTTGGTAACATGGAGCGTTAAGTCCATAGTTCTACGGAGCTCAGTCAGGTCCTCCTCAGAGGGACCTCCCCCTAGGTCATAGTCTTGAGACGATTGGCCTGGTACGCCTGCAAGATGGCCATAGTGTGCAGGCTTGCACTAGCTCGACCCGCTGCCATGTAGGCCTTGTCCACCAAAGCGGATGTTTCGTCCGACACAGCGTCTGTTCCATGATTTACACAACTCATTGTGCAAATCAGGAAAGAACGCGGGGGTAGCGCTCGGGCTGCAGAAAAGCTCATAGAGGTTACTGCCGGCCCGCGGTTCCTGCCCCGCCTCTCATAGCTGGGCGCGGTCTGATGACGTCGGCCTGGCTCCCGGAAGTCATCCTCCATGATGCTATGCACGTCTAGCTCCTCAGAATCAGACTGTGCAAGCCTCTCCAAACTCATACCTCAGGCGGGAGAAGCCGAGAAGCGGACTCCCGAACGGGGAAGAGAGGAGGCGGAGTCAGCAGACGAGGAACGGGAAAAAGCCTCTGCAGTCCTGATGTCCTCGGAGATGTAGCGCTGGGCGCCCCATGACCGAAGCCGCCGCGCCGCCTCAGCGACCGTCTATGGAAAGCCATTAGTGCCAAAAAACGTCACTCTTGTAGCATGTTTTGCGCGAAAAACGCCGTTTTATTTTGACACACCGTAAAAAGCTGTTTCAAACGCCGTTTTGTTAACTAAACGTACGGCGTCTAAAACGACGTTTTCTAAAATGATAATGAGCTCCGCCCTGTGGATTTTACAGCCACTAAATTTGAACTGTTGTTTGAACAGACCACACTAATTCAGCACTGATCTACTTTACTGTGATCGGAGCCACCCAAAGGCAGAAAGTAACCACAGATAAGCATGAAAAACTCAACACAAAAGTCCCAGACTGCTCAAGTAAATTGACTACACTTACTAAAATTTGAGCTACTCTAGGTTATAGCTTGTAACATCTATTTATTGCATTTTATTTATCATCACTGTCAGATTAAAGTATCTCCTAAAATAGAACATACAAAGAAAGTAAGAAATCAAGTGCAACAACTATCTTTACATGGTCATCAGTGAACTGTTTAAGCCTCAATTGTCTTTTTATGACCCCTTCAGTTGGTGTACTATTGATAGCGAGCCTACCCTTGTTTCTACAAAGCTTTGTTTTACCATGTCATCCTAAATCCAGGCCAAAGGCAACCTGACACAAACGTGTGTTTCAGTCGATTCAGGGAAAACACAGCTTGTCATTTTTATTTATCCAAAGCTATCCTTCCGGACTCCTGCGATAATATATATGTTACCCCAAAACACTACACTATACAAGTTGCTACAAAAACTTACCTTATTCCATATTTATATATTTCCACATTTATTTATGTTGACTGTATGTTTGTGTCTACGTGTAGCACCTCATCACCACAGCAAATTCCTCATATGTGTAAAACACTACTTGACAATAAAGCTTATTCTGATTCTGATTAGGCATCTGCAGGCTATTAAGATACTTGGTTTAAAAAAAACACTGCATTGCTTTCCTCCAAAATGGACATATTTGAGAAAAGTTACCTGAACTCTTTGTGAAAGCATACCTTCTGATACCTAAGCTAAATAATAAGATGCATGTTTTGAAATCATGTTAATCATCAATAAGCTATCTTTACATTGTGAATAATGTTGGCTGATAATGACAAAATGAAATCGGTTTAATCAGTGAAGGTTGAAATTTCTTTTACTGTGTAAACCACACAACATTCAAAATTTCATCCCAAAGTTCATCCCAAATTATATAAAATTTTATTATAATTATGAACAACCAGGATAAAGAATCTGTCAGACTATTTGTGAGAGACAATTGATTGGAGTCTTTACTACTACTAGATATTTGACTTAATACTTTGAACAATTAGGAATTATATTAAAACCAGTAAAGGTATTAAAAAAATAATGCTATAATTACGCTCATTTTAATGAACAACTGCAACCAATATAGCCTATGTACATCAGTGTGTGTGCGTCTGCATGAGGCTCCAGCTGGTGATGGGCATCACTCGTCGTCCAGTCCATCGCAGGATGAGTGGAAGTTTTTGGGCAAAACCTTCAGTTCTTGGGGCTGTTTGAACTTCAGCTCTTTAACTGGCTGGCTGGCTGTTCACAGTGGGGCTGCTGTGGGGACAGATAGGCTTCCCAGTCATCTGAGTGGTTCCATCCACATTGTATCTAGTGGATAGTTGGATGGAAGAATTTAAAAGGGAAAAGAGGGACAGAATTTTAATAGATTAAAAAGTATGTCTTTCACGGTGTAAAGGTAAATGTTCCAATACCACACTGTAGAGATATTCTGTATGTCAAAAGTCCTACATTCAAATTTTAAGATGAAAAGTAAAGCTAATTCTAACTACTTTATATTGTGCTTTGTGGCTTTATCTGTGAAAATACATCATACTCTAGTTTTTGATTATGTTTTTAATTTATAATCTGCAGAGTAACTAGTCACTAAAAATAAATGTAGTGGAGTAGTACCTCAAAAAGAAGAGTAATTGGGCGCATGTACTTGGGTACTTTTCACAACTGATTTCTATTGACATAGAAGGCAATATTTGTGCAAGAATGTATATGTCTGATAAAATACCTGACTGTTTGGAGGTCATGCAAGGTTGGATACCTAGCTTTTTCCCCAGTTCCCCATCTGGCTGAAGTCCTTGAAGATACGTACCTCACACGGTATGGCCTGGAATTGGAGTGAGCGCCACCAAGGTCTTCTCATCTTCATCTTCTTTGTCCTTCTGCTTCGCAGCCTTTGTGTCCCATGAAGCTGCTTCTATGTTTCCAGGCTTGAATGAACAGTAGGCATCGCACTGGTCTTTCTTTAAGTGAAAGGGAGATATATTTAAGTCACTGAGAATGTTTGAGTAAACTTACATTGACAGAGGCTGTTTGCAAGAGGGCTTATACTCGGTGTGCAGGTGACTGATGGACTTGAATACAAGCTCCAGTTACACCTTTCGATGAAGAGGACCTACAGAAGTGCGACTGAACTTTCCAAAGGTCCAGAAGGAAGATCTTATGGAAGAACTGCGGAAAGCACTGTGGCCTCTGTGGTGTATAACATATGTGCATTTGACCATTACAGTTTAACATAATACTCTGCAGCTGGAGAGAGGCACAGTGAACTCTTAAGGGGAAGTAATGATTGATGGGTGTGTAAAGAGTGAACCCTCCTATGGAATTTGACCTCTGACCCAGTGGTAGGGGGAGTAGAGATTAGTGTGTATGAAGGGACTGTGCCCTTATATGGTATTTAGCAGATACCTAAACATGTCCTATATAAGCTGTGTTCGATGTACAGAGAGACAGAGTGGTTATCGGGCTGGGTCACTCTCCAAGCTGCTGCAGAGCTTGTAATTGATGCTGAATTCTTTGATGTAATAAACTTTTATAATCAAGAACAGTGTCAAGCGGATTTCTTCTCAACACATCATCGCAGCATTATTGTTCGGACACCACACCTCACAGCAAGAAGGTCTCATTTTCAAACCCGTCATCCCAGGCCCTTCTGTGTGGAGAATGCATGTTCTCCCTGTGTCTGTGTGGGTTTCTTCCTTCCTGTGTGGGCACAGTTTTCCACACCATCAAAAACATCTTAGATTAGGTTCTTGAGGCAATGAGTGTTAAATGCAGAGAATGAATTTCACGTGTATGTGACAAAAATTTACCTTTTCCTTCCGTTCTTGTCCTCAGTCTTCTCATGACTTTCTCCTCTTCTTCCTGCCCACTTCAAAAAACACCACTGCTTTATGCCTATTGTTGACAGGAACAAGCGTTGGCACACTCAAATTCTTCTCCAATCTACTACAAGGTGACGAATAATGGATGCTGACCTCCTGGATTCATCTGCTCCTGTCCGCCGCCGCTTTACACTGCTCCCCTCCACCACAGACTTCACAATCATTTCTCCAGTCCAAATTCCCCCAGAAATACTTAGAAATCGTGTTCTTATGATGTGTCTTCTGCTTTTCTGCAGGAGAGTTTAGTGAACCTTTGGCAGGTTGCAGACTGGCATGGTATCCCCATTTGTCTTGCCTCCTTCAATCCAGGCCCCACATTCTCCTACTTTTCTGGACATTCACGTTCCAGGTCTCTGGATTTCCCCATCTTCCATGACCTTCCTGGACGAGCCTCATCGCTTGAAGAGTCCTCCTCAATTCCTTCTCCTTGTGAATAAAAGAAAACAAAAACTCTGTAAATGTTGTCCTCACAGAGTGTCTTAGTGTGGTGTTGTGTCTGTCTTTGCAAAAAGAGTTTGTGCTAAACAGTAACACGCAAACTAGAAAACATGCAGCATTCACTGCATTAAACACATCTTACACACACTTCTATGTGTGCATCAGTTTGTCTATGTTGAAAGGTTTTACTACTTCTCACATTATTGTGATCTGTGATTTGATCTGAGCTACATTTGTTTGTGTGAAAAGGTTTTATACAATATGTTTTCAATTGTTTGTATGGTTGTCATTGGTATAAAACCTCCAGAGGGGCCAAGTGTGTGCACATCCAGTCAAAAGTACTCAAGTGAAAGACAAAAAATATCACTGCAGGACACAAAGGACAAAGCTCTGCACACCGTCTCAACAACTCCAAATAAAACTATTATAGGCAATGTTTTGAGATCAGATCAAACCATTGCTTTCACAAAGAGTTATTATTTGGAGTCCAACGGTGTGCAGACATTTTTCCTGAATTATTTTAATGCCTACCTTCAGTCACCTTTTTTGAAAAACGATTTTATCATAATTGTTTTTGACATTCTACCTGAAATCTGTTAAGTGACCACTGTTTGGCAGGTTCTTGTCATGTACTGACCATAAAGAAAAGTTTAAAACCAAAATAAACTATGTTTTTTTTCAACTTTCAATCAGAAGCAACTTTTAAACTTGACAGAAATAAGAATTTGACCTTTTTCATGATAACTATTGATGCTGAATGATATTAGACTTTTTTTTAATGATAACATTTTTGGCCGTAGCTGATTCTAGCTGAAAAAAAAAACGAACCTAAAAGTCTTAAACATCTGTTTTTGATTGAGGAAACCAAATATAGATCTTTGAAGCACGGTGAACTGTCCCAACATATTTTACATTGAACCACAAAGCTTTCAAACCCTATACTTGCTACATCAGCATTGAGTTGTAAAGAACAAGTTTACGTTAGCCAATCTACAAAATGACAGATGAGAATGACTCTGAACTAGTATAAACTTGATAAAGTTGTCAAACAATAATCTTAAAGCTATACTTTACCTTAGCAACGGTATCTTCCACGGCGAAAGCTTTTTGCTGTTGCTTCTGCTATTCTTTTATTGGCGGTTGGCAAGCCAGATTATATGTCTTACAGGCCTCAGGCACAGGGCATGTGGAAAGGTAATAAACCTGTAAAACAGGAGAAATGATGAAGCAGAGGAAACTTGCTGCCATTGGTCTAGATGGTCTTGCCAGAGTTCATTTAATAAATACAGTAATTTTAGTCATTACATGAAGTCTGTTTGCACATCACTCAGAAATATTCAACTAAGTAACCAAATTACATAAAGTGAATAAGATGTATCTAGCACACACATCAATTCATACACAAACATGACAATCATTTTCCTCATTAAAAGGGAATGTAAAACTCTCGTAGCCTACGGGGAATGTAAAATTTCGATATATTAACAAAAGAATATAATACTTAAATATACTATTATATTAAATACATTAATCTGACAGTGATGATAAATAAAATGCAAATTAACTATTCAATATATATGTCAAATTTGATCTAAAATCATCAATCAATAGATGTTACAAGCTATAACCTAGAGTAGCTCAAATTTTAGTAAATGTAGTCAATTTACTTGATCAGTCTGGGACTTTTGTGTTTGAGTTTTTCATGCTTGTCTGTGGTTACTTTCTGCCTTTGGGTGGCTCCGATCACAGTAAAGTAGATCAGTGCTGAATTAGTGTGGTCTGTTCAAACAACAGTTCAAATTTAGTGGCTGTAAAATCCACAGGGCGGAGCTCATTATCATTTTAGAAAACGCCGTTTTAGACACCTTATGTTTAGTTAACAAAACGCCATTTTTATGGCGTGTCAAAATAAAACGGCGTTTTTCGCGGCGTTTTTATAAACAAAACGGCGTTTTAAACGCCGTTTTGCAAGCAAAACATGCTACAAGACGTTTTTTGGCACTAATGGCTTTCCATATGCCATACTCCAGTTACGCGGTCACACGCTACCGTTCTAGCAACGCCAATAGGATTGGAGTAGTTTCATTCATAGTTCAGCCCTGCCACGCCCTGAGTCGTTCCCATAGTGTCGTCACCGACGCAGTTCGAGTTCCCTCGAAGGGGAACTAATTTTCAACATCTGGTTCAGTACAAGCAAGCTCAGGCAGTAGTAAGGAGGACAATAAGACACACAATGGAGGAAGTACTGTGATTCTATAGGAAACATAACTCAGGATGAGGAGATGTGAGGTAAGATTTATAAAAAAAAAAAGTGAGGGGCAGGAGGGAATGGATTACCTGGTTCTGGTCGAGACTGCATAACGAATAGGGAAAAAGCAGGGTGAATGGCAAAAACTTTTGTTACGCTGCATAGCTCTAATAATTTGCAGGAAGAAGGAAGAAGAGGTAGAGAGAAAACATAATCTGAAAATAAAGACGCTTTAGGTAGAAAAAGTAGTTTGGATGTTTGTCCCCTTCAGAATAGGAGAGTTAAGAAGGGCATTAGATAAAGCAGGACAGACAGCGCCGGGGAAAGATGAAATATGTTATTGCATGATAAATCATCTAAGTGTGGGAAGTCTGGAAAAATTATTACTATTGTACAACAGAGTGTGGGTAGAGGGAAAAATGCCAGTGAGTTGGAAGGAGGCTATAGTTATTCCAATAAGGAAATCTGGAAAAGATGGCAGCAGACCTGGAAGCTATGAAAGAACTATTCAGGTGAAGATAGGAGCAGAATTATCTAGCCAATGTGTTGTGGAGAACGGGACACCTCAGAGGAGTGTAATAAGTCCAGCTTTATTTTCCATCATGATAAATGATGTATTTGTAAACATTCCAATGGATGTGGAGAGTTCATTGTTTGCAGATGATGGAGAATTGTGGAAAAGAGGGAGAAATGTGTAATATATAGTTAAGATAATGCAAGAGAGAATTAAGTAGAAAAGTCAGGAAAAAAATGGGGATTTAAGTTATGTTCTTCACAAGAAAGAAAGTCAGGCAAGGGTATGTGAAAGTGTATGGAAATAATTAAGAGAGAGTTGAGAGTTTTCGTTTTTTGGGAGTGTATTTTGATGTAAGATTAACATGGAGGGAACATATATGTGTAAAAAAAGTTATAAAAGTCATGAGGTGTCTTGCAGGATTGGGGTGGGGAGCTGATATAGCATCGCTGAAATATATATATATATATATAGCCTAAATAAGATCAAGGTTAGACTATGGAAGTACGATTCAGCAGCCAAATCTGTATTGGCTGGATGTTATACAAGCTTGGGCTTTAAAAGTATGTTTAGGAGCGGTTAGAAATTCCAACGCGCTGGTATGTGCTCTCCAAGTTGAAGCAGGTTAAATGCCACTGTGGCTGAGGTCGAAACAGCTGGGGGCTAATTACTGGGTCAATCTAAAAGGGCATGGAGATCCAGCCATCCAGCAAAAAGGGTGATGCAGACATGCTGGGAGAAGGAGACAACACAAAAAAACAAGTTTTTGGTGGACAGGAGATCAAATGGCAGAGGGCACTGTACGGAGACCTAACGATAACAACAGGTCGTGCTGTCTATCAGCCTCTCAGCTCCACAGGAGCAGCTGCTGTGTTTGTTAGCCCTGAGAATTGGTAAATACTGCATTTTCAGTTCTAGAAAGAGGAACTTTTAACTCCCGTGAAAGCCCACTGTAGTGAGGGAGGAGAATCTGCCACTCACAGACTGAGAGCTGATCAAATAAAAGCATCAGCTAAATCAGTAAATGCCAATATAATGTGTTGACAGCAAAACAAGTGAAGGTTTATCAATGTTGGATTAAACCCGTGTACCGTCTAGAGCGGCATCTAAGAGCTACTAAGCCAGTGGGAAATGTAATTTTTGTCCCTCTTGCTCATCTTATCTGTCATTGTTGAGTGTACAGGAGTCCGACATCTTCTTTCCACATCATGTTGGGCTTGCATGGGGCTTGCCTACACACCAGTGGTGTAGTCTACGTGATACGCAGGTATACGTCGTATACTCATTAGGAAAAGTCAAGAATTTCTGTATGCCCACTTAAAATAGCGAGATGATATGTAACAATACCGTTTTGTGACAAAACTTTATTCATGGATGTTGTTAAGCCCCCCCAAATTTTAATAAGAAATATAATTATTAGATTTTCATTTATTTATTTTACAGTGCAGACATGTACTCAACAAAGAGAAGCAAGGATATTGATAAATACTATAGAATAATACAAATTAAATGTGTATTTATTGTCTTAAAATGCTCCAATCTTTAGTAGCCTATTTCAAAACAATATCAGTCCCCACATAATGTTATTGTCAGTGAAAACTAAATGTCATAGTGTCCCTGTTAATGCTGTTGTATATCCTTCCATTCATTGACCAGATGGATATTGAAGATGTTTTAGTAGCAAGACAAAGAAGCAGGAGATTGGCAGGGCAGCTCATTTTGACATCAGTAGTCTACAGGTCAGTAATGGTCTAAGTTACAGGTCTAAGGAAATGTGGGCTGTTGTTGGCAGGTCTAGGCACCAAGGCAAAGCCTAAACTAAATTATTTCATGATGTTTATTTTATTTGCTATATTCTGACCAACTTAACTTTCTGCATTTATTGGCTGTAATCAATTAAATAAATATGTAGATGTTGCCTAAATGGCTAGGCTATATATGAGCATAGACCCACAGATATACACACAGGAAAATATGATAAAATAAAATAAATCATACATACATGTATCCGTACATATAGTACTCCAAATCTTTTAATCCTTCCACCATCAGGTTATTAAATTCAGACAGTAGCCACTTTAAATAGGATCCTTATCAACAGCTTACGTATATATGTTTGTACGCAAGCCAAACTACTGAGCAAAATCACACTCTGAACCAAACCACAGTGCAGTAACAGTAATTAGTGTAATTAAATAGCCTTCTTTGGACCTGCAACTTATCTAATAGAGAGAGGTATTACTCTAGCACACATTTACATGAGCAGCTGGGTAGCATTTAAGTCACAGCCTACAGAAGAACTCTGGACAAAGTGAATTTCCCCCATGCAGCGTTGATGTGTCTAAAAGGTTGAGGAATACACTAATAAATTAAACTCAATTCTACAGCTGTCACTTTCATGCTGCTGCTTCTTCAAATCCATTCCCCTCAGCTCATTTAGACTCCATATAAGTTAAACTTCATTCCTTTTTTTCACTACTCATGCCTGCTGCACTCCCGCGACACAGCAAACAAAGCATTTTAGCATACTTGCAGCTCAGGTGTATCTTTGTGTTCACAAACTGTCACAAAAAAAGCCGCTTTTTAAGTGAATGTTCATCATTTGATCACCTGATTCTTTTAAAGGCATCATGTAGTCTTTGTTGCACCATTGAATTACAGTTACACTTACACTATGTTGTTATACTTTTTGCTAGGCTAGCTAGCTACAGTAATCCATCCATCGTCAACCGCTTATCCTGTGTACAGGGTCGCGGGGGCTGGAGGTACACCCTGGACAGATCACATATATATATACATATACATAAACACACACACATACATATACATACATATATATATATATATATATATATATATATATTAAAAATCCTGGAGGAGGACCCACCCACATTTTATTTGCTTCCGACGCCCATGTAACATTACAGTAACTTTTGTTCAAAAGAGGAGAAATGGAAGAACAGAGTATGTCTGTCACTTTTTTATTTGTTAACATCTTGGCTTCTTCACTGGTTGTTGACATAACTGTAGTTCTAATGCAGTAACAAAAGATGCGAGTGCATCGTGACACATTATATCGTGTTATTGTAGCAAACCTAGATTTAGTTATGCATTTCAATAAATTTATGAGAATTAATACCCAATTATGAATTTTAATATTCATAAAATCAACAATATTCCTCATTAAGGGCACCACCGGAGTTTTAATAAACATAGAGTCTCCGGACCTCTAGGTAGTTTTGAATAATTATACAATTATCACTAGTGATCAGTTAGTTAATAATCGCTCAATTATCTTAAATCAGTCAGTCAGTCTCATATCTAAAGGGTCAATTCTCTTGGCAGGGACGCAGAAATAGCCAACACACACAGTTCTTGATTATATTACAGTGAATTTATTCTCGAACTAATGTGATGAAAAGATGGTTGAATACAGGGAAAATCACTTCACGTGTGTAGCTTTAAGCGAACACAAGGCCTGTCTCGCTGGCAGACTCTTGGGCGTTGCCTGGTGGGGCACGCCGGACGTGTGCCGAAGCGTCCAGAGAGCCGAGGGGAAGAGTGAAGAGAGAAGAGAGAGAACAACGTCGCGTGTCGCTCTTTTGTTGCCTGGGGCGTGGTTCCCCAGGGGGCGTTTCAGGTTTCCCAAGGGACTGCCTTTCTAAACTTAAGGTCTAAAAGAAAAGAAATCTCTTTGCGCGTATTATAATCAAATATTTTCCAAAATCGAACCTCAATGGTCATACGGTTGTACTGTTCTAAGTTGAGCATTTGGTAACAGGAAACAATTGTCACAGGATATTTATACATTTAACGGCATTTCCAACGAGGGTATGTAGAACTTATTTCGTCCACTTGGGGGAGCTCAGGTTACATGAGGAAAGCTTAGATTAATCCAAGATCATCTCTCCTTAGGAACCGGGGAATTATTGTTGATTCATCCTTAAATTCAAGCTGGCGATTAAGAGTATAGTAAGACATTTCTTTATCATCATTTCTACAGGTATTATACAAGTATTATGAACAAGCTTGGATTACATTAGATGAAGGAGTGTCTTGCTGAAAATAAAAACACTGCACAAGTAACTTTCTTTTCAGCACTAATATCAACAACAGATAGCAACAACATGTTAACATAACTACTCAAATAGAGGCAAATGTAATCAAGTAACTAAAGATTTAATTAAACTTAATTAAATGCTTTGATTCTTTGGAGACTGCAGTCCTTGGTCATCCAAAGTTCGGCTACCTGGGTCATGTCACACTTGGGTGAGACAGGGGTTTTCTTTTTCATTGCGTAATAAAACAGAGAACAAGGTCAGTTGCCACGGAAACATGTGTGGGGGGGCCGTTTTGATAGGCTGTTCAGGGAAATGCGAATCACTGGTTCGTGTCCCTTTGTCAGTTTAACAGTCAGGCCCCGCGTTATCAGCTTTGGAATCAAAAGGGTGCCAGTTTTATGGTCAGGGATAGCACTTAGAGAAAGCAACTTTGACCCCTTGCTCCTCTGTGGGAGAGAATCAATACAATATGCACAAATCCACACCGTTGTTCACTACATTATATACAGTGGGCAGTCTGTGAGTCTGTGGCGGACTCACATGGCTCCACATAAACGTGTGGGAGCTCCTCACAATGTGGAAGGTGGTCCCTCCCCCAGACGAATGGCATATTCATCCCAATCTGGTCGCTCATATATGGCGCTGGTTCGGCATGGCAGAGGTGGATCTGTTCGCCAGCCAAGAAAACCCTCAGTATGCCTTGAGGTTTTCACTGAGCTTACAAGAAGCTCCCCCACTGAGAGTGGACGCCTTTGTGCACCCCCTATGGCCCTGCCGGCTGCTGTATGCTTGCCCCTCGGTTCTACTAATCCCGTGTTTCCTGGATTGCCTGCAAGCTTTGGCCTTAGCGGCGATCCTGATGGCTCCGGAGCGCATGGGCAGGTCCCGGTTTTCCTGCCTTCAGCCAATACTGTCCCCTTGGCCCAAAACCCCTTTTGCTGCCATCAGGAGCCCCTATGTGTCTGGCCGCTGAGAAGCAGCGCTTGGAGGGTTTAAGTCTCTCACAAGAGGTGTGTGTGCACCATTCAAGGTTCGAGACCCACCTCCTCTCAGTCCTTTACTCATACAAATGGTCGGAGTTCCAACACTGGTGTTCGGACCCGTTGGCCTGTAAGCTGCCTGGGTTGCTTTTGTTCCTCTAGCTGCTGATGAACAGTGGACTGTTGTTCAGAAAGGTTAAGACCTACGCTGCTCTGCCGTTGTTGCTGGAGTCGTCTGCTGTGTTGGCTGCAGTGGTCTTTGTCACTGTGGGACCAGAGTGGTCTGTGAGCACACAGGCAAGTGCGAGCTTCCCCCGCCGCCACTTGCCTATCTCCTCAGCGCATTTTTGATCTGCCATCACTTTTCGTAAAACTGTCAATATTAGAAACCTACACAGTTTATTTCTCACCTCAAAACTTCTCAGAAGTGGATTCAGTGATGAAATAACGTCAGAAAATTGACCTTTTGCTATGTTTATACCAGAGAAGGGGTGATTCGTCAACGTAATCGATTACGAAAGTAAGTCGATTTGCATTACGTGCATCGAAGCGTCGCTGCGTTTGATGTAGCAGAAATTCCCCATTTAAAAAGTAATTCCCCCGGACAAGCTGCAGTTACAACACTGCGCCTTCGACCGTCTAATGTTTGGGAGACAGACAATCAACAACATGGTGCTCCATGTGCTCTGTGAATTAGAAATAGCTTCACTGCAGCAAAACTGTCGACTACAAATGGCCTACGTGAAGCAGCATGAATACGTGAAGCGAAAGTATCCCGAGCACTTTGTCTAGACAGCAACACCGCAAATCCTGTTTAGCCTACATTTAGTCTCCACACAAGCACGGCACATTATCAGGAATAGGACAGGTAGTCAGTTAAAAATAATTTTAATTTTTTAAGTAGTTCTTGATTTCTGCCCCGCTGCTGTCATGGTAACATAATGTTAGACTGTGTGTCATGCGTCATAACGTGCGGCCGTTTCATGTTTTCTGTTTATTTAACGGTATGAGCGAGAGAACAGCTGAAACTAACACTACAGACAATCTGTGACTGTACAGTCTGAATTGTTTCAGTTGTTTTCTTTGCCCCACACTGATGCAGAAATATATTTGCCTGTCATCATCGTACTACATATTACTCAATATTGAAATAAATCCATGTCAGAAATATTTAAAGTATAGCCATATTAATGTCTGTTATTATAACACAGCAGTGGATTGGGAATTTGGATTAATTTCATTTCAGATATGCTACTATTATCATTATTCAAATGTGCTTCATCAGGATGATTGAATAAAATATTTATATATATATTTTATATTATATTTTTGTAATGATATATGTTATTGATATTTATTTTGGACAGATTGTTGTATTAATCAAGTAATAGGCTACATTTTTGTTTGTTAGAATACACAAATGAGCCGTTAGATTGATAGACTAATTGAAAAAATAATCGTTAGATTAATCGATTTGAAAAATAATCATTATGTGCAGCCCCAGTTTTTCATTTTAAAACTCCAGGTAGTGTTTTATTGCAGACGGGCAAAAACAAGGACTTTAGAAATGATGACGCAGACACTCATTTTTGGCTCTCTGATTGGGTCTTATAAGTCATGCAAAGCAAAATAGCTTTGAATAGCAGAAGAGTTTTTGATTTGGTATTTTTATTAATATATTTTGTACCGTACAAATAACACTTATAGACTACACTTGTACTCTGTATGTTGCCGTTTACTCTGCGACGACTGCCAGTCTGTGTTCCGCCAACAAAGTCGCTTTACGTTCGGTACATTCAGTAACAGTCCCCACTCATTATTGGTCCATGCAAAACCTGGTGTAGTTCTTCGTCTTTATTCTTTCGCCAAATCTTCTGTAATTACAGAATAGACCATCTGCTGCATGTACCCACTTGCCCAATTTCTGTTGTTTCTGTTGACTTTGTAAAAGCTCTCTTCGTAATAAATAACGTTTCCACCATACCAAAAACATCTGGTTTATGCATACGCCCCTTACCCCTAGACGGCTGGGACGTAACACCTAGACAGAGTATTGTTGTCTTGTCACATGATCAAATAGAAACTTAAGATTGGGCAACAATTTACACATATTATCCCGGATATCATATACCTAGTTGTAACTGTGTATTCTCACAAAACTACCACAAATGAGTTGGGGATTTGTTGTGGTTTAGTACTGAACATGAAGATGATATTAAAACCTGATGCCTTCAAACTAAATCTGATCACCAGTTCACAATCAAAGGAAGAAACCACAGGACACTTCATGTGTATCTGAATAATGTTAGGGGAAGGTCGACACAAAGTCATACAGGCTGAGGGATTCATGGACATGTAAGTGGCAAAGAAAAGAAAAATAAATAAATAAAATGGAATAAATAAAATTAAATAAATAAAATGATTAATCAATCAGACGAGAGAATCAAGTTATGGAATAATCTCTCACTGTCTTTTTACTTACGGTCTGCGTTGCCTTTCTTATTGTTAGGAAAAAGAACAGCACAACCAGATTTCTCAGGGTTCTTGACAGGAAAGTTCCTTTCTGTTAGCCTTTCCCCAGTCAAAATACAATCTCAAACTCTTGCACGAGCACCCACAAGCACACACAACTTCCTGAGATTATGCAAGTGTGTCCAAACCCATTTACCGGAAATCATTTTCCTTTTGTGTAAGTTGACTCCATCTCTCCACAGCTAACAAGTAGAATCTGGGGATCTGAAGTCTGTTTTTACTTCGTCTGTAGATTTATAGTACTGGTTAGAGATTGGTCTTGTTTTTTTAATGTTGTTAACTTTACAGCCACTACCCATTTACCTTTAAGCACTTGCTTGGTTTTGGTCTGTTATTTAATAGGTTTTGCAGGACGAAGAGGAGCTACAAGCCAGAGTTCTACTTTGTTTAGTTAATGATTATTTCTCTAGGAGCACCTTTTAAAAAGGATCGGGAGACAGCAGGCTTTCACAGTGACAAACAGGCACCATGAAGCTGGGACAGCGTCTCTCTGTTTGTGTCCTGCTGGTACTTTCTGTGACATGGAGCACAAATGCAGGGAACATTTTGGTGTGGTACACTGAAGGCAGCCACTGGATTAACATGAAGCCTGTGCTGGAGACGCTGATCGACAGGGGACACCAGGTGACGGTTCTTGTCCCCAGCGTGTCGATGTTCATGAACAGCAGTGAGCCTTCCCGCTTTCGCTATGAACCCTTCAATGTCTCCGTCTCTATGGAGGTCATAAAGGAGTTCATGGAAGAGTTCCTTCATTTCTCCATGTACGAGATGGATCATATGAGCTACTTGCAGATTTACATCAGATTCATCAGTCTGATGAAGTTCAACCAAAATTACACTTTGAAGAATTTGGACGGCGTCGTGAAATCAGAAACCATCATGAAGAAGCTGAAGGAGGGAAATTATGACCTTCTCCTGGCTGATCCCGTCTACGCCGGCAGTGACTTAGTAGCAGAGATTTTGGGCATCCCCCTGGTCTTCTCCCTGCGCTTTTCTCTAGCCCATAACTGGGAGAGACAGTGTGGTCAGCTACCAGCTCCACCTTCCTTTGTCCCCGGCGCAATGAGCAAACTGACTGACAAGATGGACTTCTCCGAGAGAGTGCGGAACTTCCTCTTCTACGCACTGCAGGATATCGTGCTGGATAAAATTTTTTGGAAAGAACTAGATAAATATTACTCTGAAGTCAAAGGTGAGTAACTCGGCTACAAGAACCACTGTTTAATTGCTTTGGATTAATTTCAGTGTTTTTATATCCAATCACATTTGTCAACAATCCATTACTTTTGCGTTGTGACAGGAACACCCACCAGTGCCTGTGAAGTGATGGGTAGAGCAGACATCTGGTTGATGCGAACCTACTGGGATTTTGATTTCCCTCGCCCTTTCCTTCCTAACTTCAAATTTGTTGGTGGGATCCACTGCAGACCTGCTAAACCTTTACCAGAGGTAGGGCTGTCTCCACTATTACAGGCCTACTAATGTCTAATTACACCTCCACAGTATTCCTGACAAACAATGAAGAGAATGAGCCATTAAAATGCTGAGGAAATAAAATAAAATGCTGGTTGGTTTACAATGAGATAATGTTACTCTTCTTACAGGATATGGAAGCGTTTGTGCAGAGTTCTGGAGACGCTGGCATCGTGGTCTTCACTTTGGGATCATTGATCAAGAACATCACTACAGAGAAGGGAAACATGATCGCCTCAGCCCTCGCTCAGATCCCACAAAAGGTCAGAGGACAATTTCCATTGTCTTTCAAAGCAACAGTAAAACTGTTTCAGCTCGTTGGCAAGGCATGAGTCGTTCATGGAGTGGGGTGATTTAGGTTTGTAGCTGGTGATTTGTCTGAATCCTCTCCAGACAGAAGCAGAGTCATTCCTTGAGAACTGGTGTCTCTTTGCATACAGCTGTTTAGCATCTGGATTCACATTCCTAAATGCCTCTTCCTTTTCCAACCTCAGCTGTCTGAGCTTAGCTCTTAACCAGGGTCTGTCATTGTTACAACTCACTCTGGTGCATGTTGGAATGCAGCTGTCCTCACAGAAGCTGATGTAGGACGTCACAGCCTCTGTAAACTCATCCAGATTGTTGGTAGCAGTGCTGAAAACATCCCAGTCAGTGCAGTCCGAGCATGCCTGAAGATCCTCTACAGCTTCACTGGTCCACTTCTTTGATGTCCTCACTACAGGTTTACAGAGTTTTAATTTTTGTCTGTAAGCAAGAATCAGGTGGACCATGACATGATTAAGAGTGTCCCAGTGGAGCGCGTGTAACGGCGTGATAGGCACTGCTAACTGTGGTGTAACAGTGATCCAAAGTGTTCCCCTCTCTGGTAGGAAACTTTGTTAACTGTCTGTATTTGGGGAGTTCTTGGCTGAGGTTTTCTTTGTTAAAGTCACCAAGAACAATGACAAGGGAGTCCGGGTTTGTCTGCTCCACATACAGTATCTGGTCGGCCAGCATGCGCTGTGTGCGTCATGCACGTTGGCGTGTGGCAGAATGTAAACACCGACCAGAATGAATGAAGCAAACTCAGGGGGGGAGTAAAACGGTTTACAGTTAATGATAAAATATTCCAGATTAGGAGAACAGTGCTGCTGAATCACTGTAACGTCGCTACACCAGCCATTGTTAATATAAAAACAGACACCTCCACCTTTTGTTTTGCCAGAGGGTTCTGTGTCGCAATCCGCTCTATAGAGTTGGAAGCCTGCCAGCTGCAGCGCAGAGTCCAGTATTGACCCACACAGCCACGTCTCTGTGAAGCACAGAACAGGAGATGAATAAAAGTCTCTGTTTTTCCCCACCAGAAGCTGAAGTTCGTCCAGTTTGTTGCACAGTGAGGACACGTTGAAGAGAAATATTGCCGGTAGTAGTGTGCTACCACTGTAGCATGTTCCACTGATGACGCCAGAAAAGTGGGAAATAAATCTGCTGGAGTTGTTCCCCTGATGTTCATGAGCTCTTCTCTGGTGAAAGAGCTACGGGAACCACAGCCAAAAACTGAGTTAACACACAAAAACAAAACAAAGCGCACCTGACTCCGAGGCAGCTATAGACAGCGCCATCTTGTATTACATCTTGGCACTATCCACAACCTGGAGGAGGAACTAGTATACATAAGTGTATTAGTATAATATTATATTATATGTTCATATAATAATATACTGTTAGTATAATGTTAATATATTATATTAGGAAGATTTGATGGGCGGAGCCTGATTCGACTGTCAATCTCACAGTCGAAGCTTCGCACCGAAACAAGGATCATGCCATTTTGGCGATATGGGGGTGCTCAACATTTGATTTTACATACATTTACATATTCATTTAGCTGACGCTTTTATCCAAAGCGACTTACAATTGCTATACATGTCAGAGGTTGCACGCCTCTGGAGCAACGAGGGGTTAAGTGTCTTGCTCAGGGACACAGTGGTGGATGGGTCACAGTGGGGGGTTGAACCCGGGTCTCTCACACCAAAGGCATAGTCTTATCCATTGTGCCATCGCCACCCCATTTTACATAGAACTACCAGTTTTCTCCCAATAAGTTCATATACAGTCTTTCACAACATACATTTCAACGTTTAATGCTGTAAATAAACATGAAAGAAAGAAAACTTTCAAAAAATGTTTTTAAAGTGCGTGTTATCCTTACCATGCATCAGTGCACATGTGTAGGTGTAGCGTGTATGCATGTAGTGGCAGAGGAGGAACACTTGCTGAAGAGACGGAGATCCAGCTTCACCGGTGTTGTGCCGAGTTGTCCGCACCTCTTTCGGATAATTTATCATCGTTGATAAACCACACAAAGAATATTATATAGTTTTTAAATAGCCGGCTACTTGAAATAGACCTGCGAGGAACCGCGACGTGTGTGCAGTTGTCAGCAGCACGGCATGCACGCAAAACTCTGCACAAGACTGGTGAATGGCAGGCGAGAGAGAGAGAGAGAAGGGTCTTCAAAAAGCCTCAGTTTAGCTTCAGCTCGCAATCGCCACGCACATAATTTTTAGCTTGTTTGTAAGAATTCGCTATTAGCTTAATGTTAACAGGTTATCTGACATAGCAGGTGGAAACATTGCTTTTCTCCTTTTACCTTTCACCTGCTTCGGTGCCTCCACCACGGCCTCTCTGCTTTCTGCTCTGTGTGCACCATAGACTGTGTGTACGAGCTGAGCTCCACTAGTGATGTGCGGATCGACACTAAAGTATCAATATTTCTGACACAAACGTTTCCTGCTCTAGGATCTATACTCATATAAAAGGATCATTATCTAAACACAGTCATTTGGAGTGAGTGTGTGTTTTATCATAAGTATCTTACTGTCACCAGGATGGTCTAATTATACTCGTTTGATAGGAATTACTTCTTCCGCCTGTCAAAATCATGCATGCACTATGGCTCTGTGACGGAGCTTCTTTGAAGTGAGCTGCTGCAGCCCTTTACAGTTCCCGCAATTGAATACTGACGATGGCTGACTGTAAAAGCAGTCACGTCGGGCTGTATATTAGCTGTGAAGGTACTAATGACGCTGTGTGTGATGTGTGTGTAAAGACAGTGAAATACTTTGGCAACACCGCAAACTTCACTAAACATCTGAGATTAAGTAACAATAATATGATGTTATGAGGCGGCAGTTCTGAGCAGGCTATTTTTATTATAAATATAGAAGATGGCAGTAGTTTGATGTCTTGTCATTATGCAGCTATTATTTGGAATTGGCAACCCTTCAGCCTACTCTTTATTTCCCTCAAAAATACAGAAATGGGAGGGGGGAGGTCAAATTAAACTAGAAATAAAATATGTAAAAAGTATTGGTATCGGCATCGGCATCGGCAATACCAGCCTGGGTATTACTTGGAATTGGATCGTATAGGAATTAGGTGGTACCGCGCATCACTAAGCTCTGCCCTCGGTCAAACACGCAGAGGAGAGGACAGAGCAGTTATACTACAATTTTTATGGATCAACATTTTCAGGTCAGAAAATCTAGAACAATCCCAATCCTGATTAGTGTTATTGAAACTATTTCCATTACTTTTCCAAAACCTTTTGGTAACACTTTCTATGACGGTCATCGTTATAATGACTTATGCATATATTTATAACACGATATAATGCGTCCATAACATATTATAACAATTGTTATAATCACTTACAAACATGCATATAGCAAAGTTCATAATGTATTATGACCTTTTGATTTAATGTTTTATAACTCTTATAACACTAGTTATACCAGTTTATATCAATGTGCGGCAAGAATCTCCGACAATGTTCCATAGCACATTATAACCACCGACTCTGCCTCGTTATGAATACACTTTAGTCACAATTTAGAATTAGTGATATAAAATGGAATAATAGCTTATAGTAATGTTTAAAGTTATATAGCACGTCTTTGTTTGCTTTAAGTAAAGTGTTAAAATATCTATCCCTGTATAATATATTACAGGTGGACATAATACCATATGAACTAATTATAAGACCTTTAAATAAAGTGACATTTTGCACAGGAAAACAACTTTTATTTATGTTTCTTCACTTTATGAACAATCTGTATGGATTTTGAACATTTTGCAGTTTAGCACAAAAACACAACATAATTACATCAAGGAAACTCCTTCTCTGGGTGGTGAAAGATCGCTCAAGAGAAGAGCTGTTGCCGACCATAACATCATGTAAGAAGAGACTCAGATGTTTTCACAGATGAAAGGCGAGTCTATGGACAGGCCCTAACAGATGCAGTGGACAATTAAAGACAACCGCTTCACAAAACGTATTAAAGGACATTTACAAGTAACTGAATGGGAATACTGGTTGGGCAGTAGGGATGTCAATCTCTTGGCACCTCATGACTAGTTGATTACAATTCAGAGGGCGGCGATCCATTTTGATGCATCTTTTTTTTCAATGCGAGTTCTGGATAATTACTAAGCATTTCATTTGCACATTAAAATCCTAAAGAAACGTCTCCTCGATTGCTTAAAAGGACTAGTTTACATCCGTGATTTACTTTACTAGCCTCAGCTGTTACGGGGTGTGGTGTGTGGACAGAGAGGACCCAAATGCAGCACTCTGAGGGAAGGAGGTTTATTGAGGGAAAAAGGGTGAGAGGGACTGGAGTGGAGGGAGAGGAGGACGTCGGGGAAGTTCAGGCACGGGGAACCAAGGAGACAGGGGGCCAGGGAGCCGGGGAACACAGGGGCCGAGGAAGCAAGGAGAGGCAGGGGAACAGGGAGGACGCCGTGAGGGAAGTCCGAGGAGGAGTGGGCCAGTGGATGAGCCCAGCCGAACGGAGGACGAGGGTGAGTGTACCTGGGAGGGAAACAGACAGAGAGACAAGGTTAGGGAAGACAGCGACAAGGCACAGGGTAAGTGTGAAAAAACAAGAAACATGGAAGCCTGAACACAGAAGCGGCACCAGGTATGAAGCAACGACGCTCAAGCGAGGATGGTGTGGAGAACCGGGGTTGAAATACAGGCAGTCATGAGGTGATTACTGGCAGGTGTGGCAGGCTGACGAGGTGTCTGATGAGATGCAGGTGCAGGTAGTTGGCTGGGCTCAGGAGCAGAGTGAGAGAGAGAGCACACAGGGGAGAAAACACAGGGAGGCAGGCAGAGAACTGGAAACCAAGGAAAAAGCAGAATAACTGATAAAAAGGAGAAAAAACCAGGACACTCACCGTCAGCCGGGCTGCCACCACAACATCAGCTCCTCCTGGTCACCAGCGTCCTTCCTTTAACTATCAGTTGTCAGACTCCTCTGAAAGCTGAAATATAATTTAACTATCAGGATGTAAAGTATGTGAACTGGACACCAGTTTAGCTTGAACCTGGTGTTCTCATTCCTCGACAAGTTAGGTAGTAATGAGTAATTACTAATTTAGCTAACGTTACATTGCAGCCAAAAAATAGAACAAAGTGCTTTACAGGGCAGATAACATACAGACTTAAGGGACACACTGTGACCTACACTGCACGTTCTGCCAGACTGACTACTTACTAAGAAAATGAAATATTTTCCTCCGCTAACTTTCACCGTCACGTTGTCCCCGTTCTGCCGCTCTCTGTCTCTCGCTGGCACACACACTGGCTGTGCACACACAGGAAGCTAAAACAGCGATGAGTGTTGCTGCACGGTGTGCCGGTGAAAATCAATAGTGTCGCGGTTATATCGATGAGCGTGCGAAATTTTAGTAGCGTGGTCATTCTTCCAGCACATAGACTGTATATAAAGGTCCGGTGTTATGCCGAGTTTTGCCTGCCTGCCGAGAATTGCATGCACCTCCTAATACTGATTTTAAACGCTATAATATTCTTTGTGGGGTCCATCAGTGGTGTTAAATGATTCTAAGTATATATTTTATGAACGTTTAGAGTCTTTAATATTTTAATACACTTAGTAGAAGTACCATTAAATATGTGGTGATAACGCCGTTTGATCAATGAGCACAGCAAAGTGCCTGAAAAGGACCTAAAGAGGTGGAGGCATAATTCGGCAGATCAAATTTTGTAGGCTACCTGCCGAGATTTGCATCCACCTCTTTTCTAAGCATAAATGACCGTTATCACCCGCGAGGTGCATGCAATTCTCGGCAGGCAGGCAGAATTCGGCACAACCCATATCCAAATTTAAAGTATTTTGTTGTAAATTACAAATACGTTCCCATATTATTTTAGCACGTACTACTAAATTGACTTCTGTGGAGGACATTATGAAGTAAAGTTATGTTTTACTGTTGTTAATAGGTGCTGTGGAGATACAGTGGGGAAAAACCAAAGACGCTGGGTGCCAACACCAGAATATACGACTGGATCCCTCAGAATGACCTGTTGGGTAAAAAAAACTTTTATAAATGCTACTAAAGTTCTTATAGGCAAGTTATGCCACTCGGCCACCATCTTGGCAACACCTTCGGGCAGCTATTTTGGACTAACAAAACCAGGCTCTTATCTGAATGAATGGGGAGAGAGCCACAACTGCACTTTTACTGGTCACTGGGACATAAATCTGACATCACTACTACTACACATACCCAGTCGAGAGTAAAACAGACCCTTAAGTCAGTGGAACCAAATGATTGGCTGACACATGTTTCCCGCTTTGGCTGTTAAAAACAGACGATTGACTTTCCAAAGAGTTATATTGAGGATGTGATTGAGTGGCGTGTCTCATCTATAAAACGTCTCTGATGCTACTAAACAGGCCTTCACGACAGTAAAATAAAATGATTTTAGGGTATCCACCTCATTTTTAAAAATCTCAATGGATTTCTTTCCTGGTAAAATAAAGGTAAAATAAAAATTTAATCTTAATTAGTGTTGGTGTGCCTTGAGTTCTGGTTTGACCATTGATTTGGAAAACTTCTGCCTTAGACAGCAGCCATTTTGATTGGAAATTTAATGAAACCAGAACTAAGCTTAATAAGAAAATATGATATGGTTATTTAGTCTTGTTGGCTTGCATCTGCCATCTAGGCTATTTTTTAAAATCACAACAGGTACGGTATGGATGGAGAGAAGCTACCGATATAATTGTGCTAAATGATAATCTATGGCTACAATGGTGCAAAACCCCTTTCTCTTACTCAGGGATTTGTTCAAATATAGGCAGTCTTGAGTAGACATAAAACTAACCCTAACTAGACCATGTCAGGTAAGATGAATCTTTAAACACTGCAGAATTAACTCAGTGGAGCTGTTTTCTCAAGTGGCTCCAGGTGATCACAGCTGATGGAGGTGCAGTGCGACACCTGCTGGTCATTTTTTGTAAATCCTTTTTGTGTGCTTGCTGTTGGTTCTATGCCATTGATCTTTATAATACTGACCACACTTTACTGTCCACGGTATTTACTAAAATAAGCCTTAATCTGTGAGGCTAGACTAAATAACAGAAACACCTTTGTTTAATTCATTACAGTTTAACAGCACAACAAACATGCTCCAAAATAATCATACAGTTGAATCGCAAATTAAACATTGTTGAACATTAAAGCATTTATTTTGTCAGTAATAATGAAAAACAAGAAATTGTGCTGTACATTTTTTGGTTTTGATTAAAAAAAAGAAAAGGAAAAAAAGAAAAATCAAGCTGAATGTTGTTTTTTTGTATTGGGACCAAAATTTGGGTATTTTCTTAGATTGCTCAAATCTGCCCAAAACAAAATGCTAAATGGATGCTGATGCTGCACTTAATCTAGAAATTTGAGAATTTTGAGTGATTAAGTGGCTCCTAGGCAAAGCAATGCGTCAAAAACTGATGCTACAGGACTTCCCCCACTGCGTTGACCTATGACACAATGGGGATCCCCAGAGTGTTACAAACTTTTTTCAATTTGGTTTTAATTTGTTCCAGATTCCATTTTATTTTTCCCCACATTTCCGTGCTTTCTGTTAAAAATTCTGTTTTACAATTTAAGCACATTTTCTCATCAGAAATAGTGTCTAATCATGTGGTGGATGAACCACATTTAAACAATTCAATAATGTTAAAAATTCAGTCAGTATCAGTGAATTTGATGTATCATGCAAATATGCATATAGAAATATTCTTATTTACGTGCAATGATATTAAGGATGTTAAAATAATATAATTCTATTATTCACAATAAATGCATTGTTGAAATACATGTAGTTTGAATTGTCCTCTATGAAATAGGTTATTGGCCCACACAGCCACAAAGAATTTCGCGTTTTAAGGTACAGGGGGTTTTATGGGGTATCGAGTGCAGACTGACGAGGGAGAAAATTAATTTAAACAGTTTTAGCATAACACTGCTACATAACAAAATGTGAAAGAGTATGTCTCTTTATGTTTCATGATCTTTGGTACCCTATCAGGTCACCCCAAGACCAGAGCTTTCATCACACATGGTGGCACAAATGGGATTTATGAGGCCATCTACCACGGTGTTCCCATGGTGGGTATCCCCTTGTTCGGTGACCAGCCAGACAACATGATCCATATGAAGGCTAAGGGAGCTGCAGTAACTGTAGACTTTAACTCCATGAAGACCGAGGACCTTAGAGATGCAGTCAATGCTGTCATCAGCGAGAAATCGTGAGTTATCTTACCTATCTTAGTTTAGAGTTTAAGTTTTAAAATATATGAAACAAAAAATTACAACTTCCTTTTTCCATTTTATCCACATTCTTGGGGAGTCAAAGAAATTGAAGAGTAAAAATATAAAATACATTATGCATTAATCCACATTTTCACCCCTGTATATCCACATTCATAGGTACAAGGAGAATGTCATGCGGCTGTCCAGTATCCACCTTGACAGACCAATGAGTCCTCTGGATGAGGCGGTGTTCTGGATCGAGTTCACCATGAGAAACAAAGGGGCCAAGCACCTGAGGGTTCAGGCCCACAAGCTCACCTGGTACGAGTATCACAGCCTGGATGTTGTGGCCTTCCTCCTTGCTATCATACTGTTCTTGATATTCATCTTCATTAAGACCTGCAGTTTCTGCTTCCGGAGGTGCTGTGGCAGAAAGACAAAGACAAAGACAAAGGCTGAGTAACTGATGGAACTGAAATGTAGTTGGTAAACAGATGGGTGAAAAAACAACCTTTATATAACTGCTGGTCTAAAGCAGATCATGCTTTAGCGTACTGTGAATACTGTGACATTTACTGGCTTGGGACAAGTTATTGTTAGTACTTTGAAACCACTAATCTGGGTCCAGTATTGTTGTGAATCTCCTGTGTTGTTTGAGTGGTCATTTTCATGGTAAATAGGAATGATTTTGGTGTGCTATTTGTTTCACACGTTTCGTAACCATAAACTCAGTTTTTTAGGCTAGGGTGACTGAACCTTTAGTAAAATCATTGTAAACCTGTACATAAACATGTACTGGATGCATGAACACCATGTCCTGTATTTGCGTTCCATAATATGTGGACATTTTTCTTGTTCGCTCCTTTGTGTTTGACCAATAAGTTCTCCAATTGCATGCTAATTTGCATAACTGAACCTGAGGCCAATCTGACATTAAAGGCTAAATGTTCATTGGCTGGGATTTCATTCTGTTCCTACTGGATAATATTGATAATTCTGTTTAAACATCAAGCACAGGTGTGTGCATAGTAAGAAGTTGCAATTAATAGTCTTGCTAGTTTTGTGCATATAAACTCAGAAAACAAAGAAAGGTCCTCTCACTTTCAACTGCTTTTATTATGAGCAAACTCAACATGTGTAAATATTTGTATGAACATAAAAACAAAAATTTTCACCCTGGCAGGACTTTTCAAAAATACTCGGTTTCAGTGAAGAGAATTTTTTGCCAGTCCTGTCTGGTCCAGCGAAAGTGGGTTTGTGCCCATAGGCAACGTTGTTGCCAGTAATGTCTGTTATGGAACTGCCTTACAGCAGGCCTACAAGCCCTCAGGCCAACCTCTCTCAGCCTATTGCAGACAGTCTGAGCACTGATGGAGGGATTGTGCACTCCTGGTGTAACTCGGGCAGTTGTTGTTGCCATCCTGTGCCTTTCCCACAGTGGTGATGTTCTGATTTACTAAACCTGTGCAGGTATAGTTACACATGATCTGCCACTGCAAGGACAATCAGCTGTCTTTCCTGTCTCCCTGTAGCACTGTCTTAGGCGTCTCACAGTACATGCCTATGGCACATTCATGCAGATGAGCAAGGTTCCCGGGCATCTATCTTTTGGTTTTTCAGAGTCAGTAGAGACGTCTCTTTAGTGTTGTAACTTTTTATAACCGTGACCTTAACTGGCTACCTCTGCGCACTGTTAGTGTCTGAACAACCGTTCCACAGGTGCGTGTTCATTGATTGTTTCTGGTTCAATGAACAAGCATGAAAAACATTGTTTACAACCTTTACAATATTCATTTGGATGTTTACAGAATTATCTTTGAAATACAGTGTCCTGAAAAAGGGCACTTTTGCCCTTTGCTAAGTTTTTATTAGGGAAAACGGACAAGTATGCAGTAGGGTAATCCTTTTGAATCAAATAAAAATTCTGGTGTTGAAGATATTTTCATTATGTAAATTAACAAAGCTGTAATATATTCTTTAAAAACCTTGTTAGTTTTTAAAGAAAATAATGTGTTACTCAGAATTTCTGTGGGTATATCTCACCAGTTTTAACGGTGGATTCTTACAAAACTGAATTGGTGCTTGGTGATCAGCATGAAGGTGATTTTCAAGACTGAGCACTTCAAAAAAATCTGATCACCATTTCACAATCCAAGGAGTAAACCACAGGACTTTGACAAGTTTCGATGCCCTCCCTCACTCTCACTTTCTCCCTCCACGTCTCTCCGCATTAGCGCAGCACACACGGACAAACAGGCAGCAGCCCCTCCCAGCTCCTATCCCATTTGTGTTTTTCTTCGCTTGTGTGGACAAAAGACTCAACTACCAGTGCATCGAGTTTGCAGCTAATTAGCCAAATGGCAAATATAGTTAACTTGTGTATTGCTAACATGCACGACTCTTGAGCTACTCGCTAATGTGATAAGTTAGCTAAAGTTTAGCTAAGGAAATATATCATTGCCATAAAGGCTAACGTATTGTAATGAACAGGGGCGTAACGAGTTGGCGCGGGGCCCCGATGCAAGATGGTCATAACGGGCCCTCCCATCACAATCAAAGTAGCATCATGTAAGTAGCAAATTAAAGAAGTGAAAGCTTGCAGCTTTAAAACGACCAGCCACAGCGAAATGCACTGCGCAGTTGATACCTTAACTAAATGAAATCAAACAGCATTCTATAAAGACTATGAGTCATAATAGCAAGGCTAAGACAGTAATAGACTCACCTGCGTGACCAAATCGGTGTTAGAGCACCATAAGATATTTACATAGAACATAGCCTAACCGGTGACAGCCCAATTCACAAATGTGAAAGCAGGACCCATGACAGTGCTCTTTCAAAACATGTGAAAATAGTATCCTATTTGCGACAGTGCACAATGACACACATGGAAAAAGATGATGATAATTGTGCACCACATTGACATGACAAAATGTTTCATGTCTGTTCATTGGCATTATTAACACATAACACAAGTATGTTGATTCATTACTAGTCAAATAAATATAATAGTGCTGGGTAACGATTACAATTTTTAATCGCAATTAATCGCATTGTTAGGCATAAAATTGAATAATGAATTCTAAAGTAGTGTATTGCGAAATTTTAATTTAAATGTACTGCTATATACACAAAAGTGTAATAACACGTGGTTTGCAAACACTTTTAACGTTAAAGCAACACTGAACACAGGGTGCTGATGTTGGTTTTGGCTGTTTGAGTTGTTTGATAGGCTGCGTCATTAACAAGCAAGTGGCTCACCTGCTGCTGTGATAACGGATCGCGGGTGGAAAATTATGGAAAAAAGATGACAGCGTAGTCTGCCGAAGCCTCCCTCCACTGCTTGTTTGGGTCAGCGATTTGCATGCTGATCAACATCCCGCCCCTCCTGTGACCCATGGTTTGACTGTATGTGTATTCAGAGCCAGTGAGCAAGGGACTTTCAAACTAATAATAATAAAATAAAAACTGCGTTAACGTGCGATAACGCATTAAAGTGCCTAAAATATAAATAAGTTTTACTCACATTATAGATGCACTCTACTGAGCTTTTTGCTCTGCAAAGTTTTTTATTAAATCATTTAACAGGTCTGTTCCAGTGAGCTCTTCAGGTAAGATTTTATAAGTTTGAGTTTGGAAAAAGATCGTTCTTCAGAGCCCACAGTCACTGGGATTGTTACGAAAAGCAGTAAAACTGTGCAGACTAACGTCACCCCAAAGCTTGCAGCAATGCAGTTGTTGTCCACAAACAACACCTTCGTCAGTTCTTGTGCCATTTTCACTCTTCAGATGCGGCCTGTTTCCCAGTTGCTGTCCTTTTACTAGCTAGCTACTCTTCTGTGTGGATTGTGCTATGCAGCAATGCGCACGTCAATTAAAATTACCTAGAATTCTGTGCGGGCCCACAGAATGCACATCTTTAACATAAAATCCCATGAATTCACCCTTATTTAAACTTAATTTGACATACCTAAGTCAGAGTTATGTGGCAATGGAGTGTTTGTGTGTAAAAGTATTTAATGTCATTGTATTGTAAATGAATAGGAATGACATCAAGTGTGAGACAGAGACACCTTGATGAAAGAGGCCTAACTCACCGCCTACAATAAATATCTACTTCGACACCTTGAAAAGTAATTGCATGGTATGATATCAGCTAGGAGAGATGGTTATTAACACTGATCTTTAAATTATACTAACATGAGAGGTAATTACCGCGGGCCCCAAAGCAACTGCATTCCCTGTATATATGGTAACTACACCACTGGTACTGAATTAAGACACTACAAGTAAATACAGCAAAATCTGTGTCTAATAACGTCATCAGAATGCAAATTAGTCGTTAACTAATTAAAATGCGCTAATTTGCATGCATTTGACAAGGCACTGCATGTGAAAAGGATAAACAAAATAATTGAGGGCGTTTCACCTCAGAACTTCCGCCGGTTAATGATTTCTTTTCCTTAGAGTAAAAGAAGATATGGAAACAAAATACACCAACATCTCAAAATTAACCAAATAAAAAAATGCACCCTGCCTTAAACAGTAACTTCATAATTTTAATCGTAGGCTCCTCATCTAGTAACTATCCACTTTATGAGTTTGTTGTATGCTGATAGATCTTTACATGATACAGACAGCCCTCCCTACATGTGAAACAAAAAGTATTTAAACAATTAATTTTAATGTCCCTCTCCTTGGTGCAGTCATTTATTCAAAACTGAAATCTTACGAGAGAATCAAGTTTAGGTATAGTCCCTCACTGTCGTTTCCTACCTTAAATACCTGACATCTCATGGTGTAAGCTGTACAGTAAACATTTGGGATTTTTTTTATAGCATAAAACTATAATATACACATCTTTCTTATTGTCAGCAAAAAGAAGAGCACAACCAGATTTCTCAGGGTTCTGGACAGGATAGTTGCTATCAATCAGCCTTTCCTCAGTCAAAATGTAGTCCGTCAAACTCTTGTACATGCACCCACAACTTCCTCAAATTACGTAAGTGTGTCTAAGCCCATTTACCAGAACTCATTATCCTTTTGTGTCATTTGACTCCATCTCTCCACAGCTAACAATCTGGGGATAAAGTCTGTTTTTAGATTTATAGTACAGGCTAGAGACTAGTCTTGTGTTTTTTTAATGTCATTAACTTTACAGCCACTACCCTTTTACCTTTAACCACTTGCTTGGGTTGGGTCTTTTATTTAATACTTGCAGTACAAAGAGGTAATTCGAGCCAGAGTTCAGCTTTGTTTAGTTAATGATTATTTTCAGGCCCCAGCAGACTTTCCCAGTGACAAACAGGCACCATGAAGCTGGGACGGCGTCTCTCTGTTTGTGTCCTGCTGGTACTTTCTGTGACATGGAGCACAAATGCAGGGAACATTTTGGTGTGGTACACTGAAGGCAGCCACTGGATTAACATGAAGCATGTGCTGGAGACGCTGATCGACAGGGGACACCAGGTGACGGTTCTTGTCCCCAGCGTGTCGATGTTCATGAACAGCAGTGAGTCTTCCCGCTTTCGCTACGAACCCTTCAACGTCTCCGTCTCTACGGAGGTCATAAAGGAGTTCATAGAAGAGTTCCTTCATTTCTCCATGTACGAGATGGATCATATGAGCTACTTGCAGATTTACATCAGATTCATCAGTCTGATGAAGTTCAACCAAAATTACACTTTGAAGAATTTGGACGGCGTGGTGAAATCAGAAACCATCATGAAGAAGCTGAAGGTGGGAAATTATGACCTTCTCCTGGCTGATCCCGCCTACGCCGGCAGTGACTTAGTAGCAGAGATTTTGGGCATCCCCCTGGTCTTCTCCCTGCGCTTTTCTCTAGCCCATAACTGGGAGAGACAGTGTGGTCAGCTACCAGCTCCACCTTCCTTTGTCCCCGGCGCAATGAGCAAACTGACTGACAAGATGGACTTCTCCGAGAGAGTGTGGAACTTCCTCTTCTACGCACTGCAGGATTTTGTGATCTATAATATTTTTTGGAAAGAACTAGATAAATATTACTCTGAAGTCAAAGGTGAGTAACTCAGCTACAAGAACCACTGTTTAATGCAATTGCAATGTCACATTTGTCAACAATTTGACATTTAAGTAAATAAACATTTTAAATTAGCCATCTCATCTTAAGTATTGGTGATACTTTTGATGGGCGGCTGTAATCCATTACTTTTGCGTTGTGACAGGAACACCCACCAGTGCCTGTGAAGTGATGGGTAGAGCAGACATCTGGTTGATGCGAACCTACTGGGATTTTGATTTCCCTCGCCCTTTCCTTCCTAACTTCAAATTTGTTGGTGGGATCCACTGCAGACCTGCTAAACCTTTACCAGAGGTAGGGCTGTCTCCACTATTACAGGCCTACTAATGTTTTTTTACACACCCATGGTATCCCTGATTCAAAGGTGCCGTAGAATTTTCATTTTCAGGTTCATACTTGTATTTAGGGTTTCTACCAGAAAATGTTTACATGCTGTAATGTTTAAAAACATATTTTTCTTTTACTGTCCACTGTTTCATCACCTCTATTTTACCCTCTTTCTTAGCTACTGTCTCTTTAAGGCCCCCCTCTCTGTAAGCTCACTTGCATCGCCTGCTATCCGAGACTAGCCTTCACTAATTACTGCACAAAAACACAACTTAATTCACTGGTTTTTACTGAAAATGGATCAGAGTTGATGGTGAAAATATTCCTTCTGAAATTTCCCTCTGATGTCCTCCAGCTGCTCTGCCTCCACTTTTGCTGATTTACGGAGTTTATATGTTACTGGTGTTGGACCGTGACTTTAAATTACCCTTTTTAAACTATAAATATAAGAAAACACTATAAACTCTCATAAACTCTCACTGGTTAGCAACAAGTAAAACTATTTGTCCATTAAGAAACTTCATAAATCACAGAGTTGAGGCAGAGCAGCCAGATGACATCAGACTGAAAACCAGAAAATATTTACTTTTCCTTCATAATCATAAAATTTCTTTGGAGTCCTACAGCTGTGGCTCTATGAGCTCATATGACCGCTAACTATGGAACGTGGGCTAGTCTATGTAACTTTGGGGGCGTAAACATCCCAGATGTTACATAACATGTAGCTTTTGCTGGCATTCGCCAGGTTCTCTTTTTCTTTTTTTTTTTTGGGATGCACGAGATTTAGATATGCAGGAGGAAACAATGGAGATTGAGGCTCATGGTATGTCTTCATGGTAAGTTTTCTATTCTACGGCCCCTTTCAACAATGAAGAGAATAAGCCATTACAATGCTGAGGAAAGAAAATGCTGGTTGGTTTGCGATGAGATAATGTTACTCTTCTTACAGGATATGGAAAAGTTTGTGCAGAGTTCTGGAGACGCTGGCATCGTGGTCTTCACTTTGGGATCATTGATCAAGAACATCACTACAGAGAAGGGAAACATTATCGCTTCAGCCCTCGCTCAGATTCCACAAAAGGTGAGAGGACAATCTCTATGTGACAACTAGAGCCCAACCGACATGGGAATTTTAAGACTGATACAGATTTCAATAAACAAAGATTATCCCTAACATTTGTTGTTATGAGACCTCACCAAGGTAACAAAATGCTAAACAAAAGTACAACAAAATATATTAAAGTTTTAATAAATAAGAGTCAAATGTTTAAAACTACAAAAAAGATTTAAAGATTCATTATAAACTATAAAGTACTGCTACAAATGAACATTAAAAGAAATAGTGTATGTAGCCTATTTTAAGGACCTGCCAAACAGAAACTATAAATAAGAAATACCAATATACTACTACTAATAATGATAATACCATATATTACTCATGTCATTACAATTATAAAGTTCTATTGTAATGATAAACACTCTCCTACATAGGCAATATATTTTGTCATGCAGTAGTTATTACTAGAGCCTGACCAATATGGGATTTTTAAGTCCGATACCGATTTTGATACTGGATTTTAAAATTCGATATGGGGTGGCCTCACAGCAAGAAGGTCGCGGGTTCAAACCCCGGTTGCCCCAGCCTTTCTGTGTGGAGTTTGCATGTTCTCTGCAGGTGCTCCGGCTTCCTCCCACCATCCAAAGACATGCAGGCTAGGTTAATTGGTGGCCCTAAATTGTCCTTAGATGTGAGCTACTTTTCAAGGTGTCGAAGTAGATATTTATTGTAGGCAGTGAGAGGCCTCTTTCGTGTGAGCATGAGCGGTTGTTTGTCTATGTGAGTCAAATGTATAAAACCACAGAAAACTATCTGATTTGTTATAAATTATAGAGTACTACTTCAAATGAACATTAAATTATATAGTGTATATATTGTGGGGGCCAGCAAAACAGAAACTATAAAAAATATACTACTACCACCACCACCATATATCATATCTCATCTCATTGCTATAATAATAATGATAAACGGCACGCCTACATAGGCAAATAATTATATACTTTTTTTGTTATGTACTTCTGTACTTTGGGTTCATACAACTATAGTAGTAGCCGCTTTGTGTGTGAACATAGTTGTCCAGCGATAAAACCCCACCGTGACGAAAGCGTTGGTTGCGAGTACGGATGGGGATCGATACCCAGTTCTAAAAAGACCCGGTTAAAAGATTTCTTAAAAGCCGGAAATCAATAAGGTGCAACATTATGTCTCGAGTGTCCAATCTGATTTAACTTGAAACGCGATAGATAAGAAAACTAATGTTTTTTAGTGATGGCACCGAAACGTGGTTTTAAACAGGCCCGGGACTTCTGCTCTCTCTGTCGGCTCCTACACACACACACACATGGTGGTCAGCAGAGAGACACCGCTCCATCGCAGTGGAGTTAGCTCCCAACAACTCGAGTTGCCGACAGCTACGCTTATTACTGTAAGGGCCGTGTCCACCAAAGCGTTTTTTGCCAGCTGAAAACACCACCTGGTGTTCTGAAAACGCCTAGCTGGGAGAGCTAGGGTGCGTTTTGGAGGTGCAATACAGTCTATGTTTTTTTTTTTCGAGACACTGTGGTTGCTATGATACATAATTTCCGTGGAGGGGGTGTGCTGCAAGTAGGGTACTTAATTTTACTGAACGTAAAAATGTCACCACAAAGTACGTAGGCCCACTTGCTCTGGCCCTTGCTCTGCATGAAGAGAAGGCTGAAACATGAGAGGACAGACTCTCCGTACGTGGGTTCATGAGATTTTGCAGGCGAGGAAACACCTTGGCGAGTAGGCACATCGTTTTGTTCAAGATCGGATGTGCTCAGTGTGGTGTTTGTCCTGCCCCTCCTGCACTGTGATTGGACGGCTGGGTAAAAAAAAAACAAGATTTTGTTGTATTTGAGATATAAAATTCTAATCCTATAATTAATTATGTGGCGATGGAGCAATGGATAATACACATTCCTTTGGTGTGAGAGACCCAGGTTCAATCCCCCACTATGTCACATCCACCAATGTGGCCCTGAGCAAGACACTTAACCCCTAGCGACTTCTGACATATAGCAGTTGTAAGTCTCTTTGGATAAAAGCGTCAGCTAAAATGAATAAATGTAATTTAAAAACAACCAGGCAGCTAATACGCACGCTTCAATATTTGTTTATTTATCGCATGTCATATGTCATCTCAATATATAACAATGTTATCGCACATCGAATATTTTCCTCATACCATCTTACCAAATTATCCTCACCAAAAAATAGTTAGGTATCGATGGTGGTTTTGATAAAGACTCAGATTGTTAAGCAGTCTCAATAAGGGTATCAATAACAATAAACTTTAACGATCCCCATTCCTAGTTGCCAGAATTAAATGAAAAAACGTGTTGTTTGTGAACACACACATCAGTGGCCATTTTGCGGGCAGGATGGGAAGCTTCGGGCTGCAAGTTGATTATCACGGGCTTAAACCATTCTTTAACTGCTAGTTGTGATTGTGCTCACCGTTCTTTTGAAAGAAAGTTGTTGGCAGTTGTTTTCCTTCACTTTGCTTTCTTTCTCTTTCTTTTTTGGTAACTTGATTTCCCTTTCTTTGGAACAGACATGACTGTCACAAGCCTGTTGATGCTCTAGCATCAGCGTCACTCAGACCGTTCAGAGATTAATCCTAGTGCGGGGCGGACTGAACGATTTTGCATCTTTTGGAAGGGGTGAGGGAAGCCTCAGAGGCTCTACTATTTTAGATTTGTTTGGGGGGTTTACAAAGTTCAGTCTCTCAACCGATTTATTCAGCCATTTTTAACTTAGTTATGAAACTACTGCTTAGAAATAAAACATTGCAAACAAAAACAAACTTTTCATTCCTGGATTTTTAAGGATCCTCCCCCCATTGGGGCCCTCGGTAATCTCTCCCACTTTGACGCCCTTGGCTGTGACCCCGAGGAAACCGGGAGAGGGAAATGAAAAACAGTAGCAAGTAGCAAGTCTGGTCATGAATGTTTTCAGGAGAGGAGAAGTGATGGTGGCTATTTTATTATTATTTAAGTCATGAATTTTACGTGACAAATGACCAACTCACCGGTAAAGCCTTGAATATACTCTGGAGCGGACGTATACACTGACACCACAGACGCGGACTACTTTTGTTTATACTACTTTCAGCTAGGGGTGCAACAACTAATAGACATAGTCAACGAAAATCCATTATTAAATTTGTTGCCAACGAACAAAATTATCACTTAACTTGAGTTACTTTGAATTGTACTGGAACCTGTGTATCATTGAAAAGAATACTATTTACATTGAAAGGACAAGAGTTCACATTGGCTGAGTTACAAGGTAGATTGAAGAATTCAAAGTGTGAGAGTGAGGGCCCACTAGGCCTTTGGCCTGGTCTGGAGGTTTTCCCACCCACAGTTAAACTAATGTTAGTGTTTTGCAACAGATTGCAATGTTATCTGACAGTCAGATAACATTGCAACGTTATCTAACTTGAGCCAACTAAAGCACAATCTCTCAGTATGTATTTTTTATGCTTTGCAGTAATGTTAAATTACCTGTCCAATAGAATGAAAGCCAACTCTGGGTCAGTTTTTGTATCCAACAAAGCTGAAGTCTCTCCAGGAGTCAAATGTCTTTCAGATGTTAAGTAGTTTTTCACCTGATGTCAACTTGATTCTCATTTGGCCTGATGGGCTGTAGCAGTTTTTTGGTGTTAGTAGACTTTTATTAGCTGCTGGTTTGTCGCTGTGTGTTCAGAATCAGTAGGCAAAAATGCTCGGAAGAGCACATGCAGAAAATCCACCCTGATTCCTTCACATAGGACGCAGAATAGTGGTTGTTCCAAGGGACCAAAAAAGCAAGCACGTGGTTTACTTTTATGTGCGGTTACAACCTGTGACCTGTTCTTAGCACATATTGATGATTGATGATTTAACTCTACACAATAGGGCAACCATTATCTAAATAAAAGTACTTTGTTGTAACTTACAACTACCCTTATTATTTTAGCATTTATTATTAAATTCACTGCTATACAGTATATTATATATAAAATACATAAAATCATGCTTTACTCTTGTTTATAGGTGCTTTGGAGATACAGTGGAGAAAAACCAAAGACTCTGGGTGCCAACACCAGAATATATGACTGGATCCCTCAGAATGACCTACTGGGTAAGGAAAGCTTTTAAAAACATTGCTGGATAGGCCTTCAAAAATTTTAGATGAAATGGGGTTTCCACCACATTATTTATTTAGTGATTTTTTTCATTATTTAGTTTGACAGTAAAATCCTAAAGAGACATATGAGAGATAATTCAGTAAGAATGTTATGGTGAAGTTTGACGTCAATTCAGAGACCAGGGATTTTCGAACCACTACACATTAAAAATCATTATTATAACTGGTATTTATCCAGTGAAAGTTAACCATGCAAGTAAGTCCACACACTATAGCTGTGCCCAAATTCCATTCTAATCATATACTTTAAGATATCATCCTTATGGTATACTGTTTATTCAGTTAATCTAATATACAAAGTTAATCTAATATACAAATAAAAAGACTTACAGTACAGAACTGTTGTAGTAAACCTACACTTTGTTAATAAAATTATGAATATTAATACTTGGACATATTAATTTCATTATTCTGGCACCTGAGCGCGTAGCGAGGCACACATCACCAGATAGATAAACACCCTTGATTAACTTGACTTAAATGGACATCCCGAATAACAATCCATTGAGGAAGTTGGATCCTGTCCTCGATGGTAATGGACTCCTGAGAATTGGGGGCCGGCTTCATCACTCTACTCTCACAGCACAGAGGAGAAGATCTTCCCTGGTCACAGCCACATTGGCACCCTGCACCTCAACTACTACCATGAGAGAGTCAAGCACCAAGGCCGCATTTTCAAAGAATGAGCTATACGCTCATGGCATTTGGATTGTTGGAGCCAAGAGGTGCATCGCGAGACATCTACACAAGTGCGTGAGGTGTAACAAGCTCCAAGGTAAGACAGCCGAGCAAAAGATGGCTGACCTCCCTGCAGATCGACTTAGCACGGAGCTGCCTTTCACCAACGTAGGCGTTGATGCATTTGGCCCTTGGAGTATCTCTTCTCGGCGCACCCGTGGAGGTGCTGCCAACAGCAAGATGTGGGCTGTCATGTTCACCTGCCTCAGCATTTGTGTAGTTCATATAGAGCTCATTGAGGCCATGGACACATCAAGCTTCATAAATGCTCTGCATCGATTCCTCGCCATCCGGGGTACCGCAAAGCTGATCCGCTCCGACAAATTTCAAGGGAGCCTGCATGCTGTTCTCTAGCTTGTTTACGGGAAAATGGCTGAACTGATCTTGTGACTACAATCAATGTGACTAATAACAGCCAATGAGAGCGCACATGTCTAAAATGACATCAACAGGTGACATTTACTTAATGGCCAATAGGAGGTGCTACAAACACAGAATGAATGCATGTAACATTACATTCATTTTCATTTCATTTCATTTTCATTTATTTGTTTATTTGACAGGGACAGTGCTCATTAATTAACAGTAAAATAACTGTAAATGAGCCAGAGTTAGCTCAACAGGCTAATTTTCATCTGTTGTCCCTGGCCAGTTATTATGAAGGCAACCTAAAATGAAGATTTAAAATGACATAAAATAACTTATTACAGTCCACAAGTAATAACAATATATACAAAATAGTAATAAGACAGATACAACACAAAACAATAAGTAACAAACAACATATCAGCACACAACATAGGCAAAACATAAAGAGAGATTAAAAAGACTGACAAAAGACAATCTGCAAACAAGCAACAAATCTCAGTAGGCAGTCAGTAGTCTAATGTGCACATATCTGATTATGAATTAGCCAGTTCTTAAGCTGACCAGTAAAAGAACGATAAGTATTTGCTTCTCTTATCAGCATTGGCAATAGATTCCATTGTTTAGATGCTGTTACAGAGAACGCTGACTGCCTAAAAGCACTTTTTCGAGTGGGAATGATACAATCCCCTCTTGTGATACCTCTGGTGACATGAGTGCCTGCTCTCTGCATAACAAATCTCTTCAGTGGAGGTGGGGCAGTGCTAAGTAATATCTTATAAACTAGACAAAGGTTACTATAAGTGGCCAAGTTTTCCCAACTCAGAAGTCTATGGGTATTTAAGATTTGACAGGTGTGAAAACTATTAGGTTTCTGAACTAAAACTTTGATAGTATGTTTATAAAGACTTTCGAGTGACTTCATTGTGGATTTGTTAGCCTGTGCCCAGCTTGTCAAACAATATGTAAAATGCGGGATAATCATGGCATTCATATATATCATAGCAGTTTCAAAGCTGAGTGATTCAATTTGCGTCTGTGAGGATATAGTTATTCTGGTAGGACTTTTAATTAGTTGTGTAAAATCCATATTATCTGTAATTCTTTTTAAAGAATACCGTTTATTTTGTCAGCCATTTTAAAATTTTGTCTTAGTCCTGTGTCAAATGTCCTTGTTAGTTTTTGTCATATTTAGTTCACTGTATACAATTTTTTTAGTCAAGTGTTACTTGACTAAAAGTCTGGGTATTTTAGTCTGATTTTAGTGCTTTTAGAAAATCAAAAGCATTTTAGTCTAGTTTTAGTCATCAACCATCATTTTATTCTTTTCTAAATCAGTAGTATAATTTTGATTAGCATTTTGGTCAATCTGCTGTAACCAAAATAGAGTTAGAGTTAGCTTTGTCCTCATTTTTATTACAAAGGAGACATTAACTTAAATTAATTCCCAGGTGGTTATCCTGCTTCAAGTTTGTAGTGTTTTTTCCAAAAATCTTATAACCACATCAATGTGCGAACTATATATAGCTTTCAGGGGAGCTCAGTTTTTTTTTCCCGTGACAGAGAGGAGGGGGACAGATTGATTCTTACTGCTGAATCATTAATAGCTGCGACCTGACCTTTCTTTTCTCAGCGAGAGGGAAGAATTTAGAAAGTAGCGTGGCGCTGTGGTAGTAGGCCCACATGGATCATGTGTAATATTCTTCCAGCTAGAGGGAACAATCACGAACCGTTCACAGCGTGTCAGTCGTACTAGCGACACAATCTGTACCAGAGAGGGAGTGGGGCGGATCAGGTACAGGAGATCGCAGAGGTCAGGTGATGTTTCCCTCTGGCTGGATGAAGTCTGACGCATCGTTGACGAATATATTTCCTTTAGTTTCGTCTGACGAAAATAACACTGCTCTGCAGGTGATAAACTCAACCCCCCTTCTTAGGGCAACCCAAAAGAGAGGTGGCTATATTGCTACGCTGTTTTATACCAACAGTAAATGATACTTGTCAGATGTCACCGAAAAGATTTCAAAAAGTCATGTTTTCACAGCATCCACTATTAACTTAATTACTTTGTGCATTAGTAGTGTCCACCAATAGCAGACAAATCAAGGGTTGTTTCATTTACATGTTGACTGTTGACATTAAAATTAAAATGTAATTCCACAACAGCGTTATAATTTTCCACATCCGTAATGTGTTTAAGAAAAAGAAATTCAATGTGTGAAAATGCAAATGCAATTTTTTTTGCATTTTCACATACTCGTGTGGGCGTAGCCTGACCACATTAAAAGGCCACTTGAAAATGTGCAGTGTCACTATATTGGGGGGGTTCGGAAACCAGTCGGTATCTGGTGTGACCACCATTTGCCTCATGCAGTGCAACACATCTCCTTCGCATAGAGTTGATCAGGTTGTTGATTGTGGCCTGTGGAATGTTTGTCCACTCCTCTTCAATGGCTGTACGAAGTTGCAGTCCGATGAGGACAACGAGCAGATGAGCTTGCCTGAGACGGTTCCTGACAGTTTGTGCAGAAATTCTTTGGTTATGCAAACCGATTGTTGCAGCAGCTGTCTGGGTGGCTGGTCTCAGACAATCTTGGAGGTGAAGATGCTGGATGTGGAGGTCCTGGGCTGGTGTGGTTACATGTGGTCTGCGGTTGTGAGGCTGGTTGGATGTACTGCCAAATTCTCTGAAACGACTTTGAAGACGGCTTTTGGTAGAGAAATGAACATTCAATTCACGGGCAACAACTCTGGTGGACGTTCCTGCAGTCAGCATGCCAATTGCACGCTCCCTCAAAACTTGCGATATCTGTGGCATTGTGCTGTGTGATGGAACTGCACATTTTCAAGTGGCCTTTTATTGTGGCCAGCCTAAGGCACACCTGTGCAATAACAATGCATGCATGTCTGATCAGCATCTTGATCTCGGCAAAGAAGAAGTGCTCACTAACACAGATTTGTGAACAATATTTGAGAGAAATAGATCTTTAAGTCTTTAAGTTCAGCTCATGATGAATGGGGGCAAAAGTGTTGCATTTATAATTTTGTTCAGTGTAATTTAAGCACGTTTTGTCATCAGAAAGAGTGTGTAATCATGTTGTGGATGAATAAAATTTCAACAACTCAGTATTATTACAAATTGGATCGGTATCAATAAATTTGATGTATCATGCAAATATGCATATAGACGTATTCTAATTTATCTGAAATGATATTAAGAATTTTAAAATACTAATACTATCTATTAGAGGAGAATTCACAATGAATGCACTGTTGCAAGTCATGTACTTTTAATTGTCCCCTTTTATACTGCATTTCCAGTCCTATTGTAGTTCTGTGACTCCCGTATGTCAGCTTTGCATGATTCAGAGTTCAAAAAAATCTATCTTACGCTGGTCCTTTATGTAGGCCTTCATTTCAGCCTCTGTATGAAACAAGCTGTGCCTCTTTAAGGCACCTCCCTCTCAAAGCCCACTGTCTACTGATTGGCGAAGACCTGAAGCATGTTACCAGGCTGTTGTTGCTGCAGAGCAGTAAAAACTGAGGGTAACTGTGCGAGTAGGGCTGTAACAGTTCTGAAACCGAGACAGAAACCGCGACACAAGACCGTGGGCTTTTGTGTTGCGGTTTCGGTCCGAGAGCCAGAATTGCAACACACCCGCTCCCCAGATTGTTGAGCTGTCATTAAGACAACTGTGCAACTGTGGAGGCAGCGGTTGCTGGTGGCGGTAAGTAGGCCTATATCGTATTTTTATTGACAGTAGGTGATTCTAGGTCATTTTCCACTTTATTTTAGTGTTTAACATTGTAGATAAGTCATAAAATATGGAAAAGCACAATAGGTCTCCTTTAAATAGGTTATTACCACTGTTGATTACTGATCATTTCTTCATACAGGACAGCCTCCATATGTTGCTCAAAGCTACGTAGCTTTTAAAGGTGTAGTGTGTTATATGTCTGAGGATCTATTGACAGAAATGTAATATAATATCCATTACTGTTTCCAGTGGTGTATACAGACCTTACATAATAAACCATTATGTTTTTATTACCTTAGAATGAGTCATTTATATCTATATAACCGTGGAAACCCCCTCCATGGACGTCGCCACATGGCATCGTCATGTTTCTACAGTAGCTGAAAATGGAAAAACAGCGCTACAGAGTGCGTTTTGTCACTATGTTCTTCTTCTATTTCTGGTAGAATTCAGGCATTGCAGACACTAGGGGTCTGCAAATAAGTTTTGCATCAGAGCAATATTTTCATGGATGACAATATAAGACATAATATTGACTTTTGATGACATGTTGTTTGGTTAGCTCAGTCGGTAAAGCACACAACTTGCAACTCAAGGGTTGAGTGTTTGATCCCACCCCAGGACAACTTTTTTTTTTTCTCTCTTCAACAATTGGATTCTGTTTTTGTTTCGTTGTTTGATCCACATCCTATCAAGCTTCATTTCCCGAGAATCTCCAAGCAGAGGATATTTAGGGGAATCACGTTCTCTGACAGCTCTTTCAGAAGTGTGTCAAGCAGGCTACAGACTTTTTTAATGGTGTTTAGAATTTTTCAAAGTAAAAGCTCAGTTCAACTACAACTACAGCATTACAGTAAACAAGCTTCTCGTGTTCTTATTTTGTAGGCAAAACCACTAAAGAGGAAGTGATTATGTGAGTAACAGTTGCTGCCATGACTGAGATCTATTTCAGCACCGCTATCAAAGTATTTATTTATTTATGTTTGTTGCCGCTATCGAAGCACCATAGTCTGGCAGCGGGCCAGATATTACTGCTGGCGGGCAGTTTTGGCCATAATCACAGAGAGAATGAATGTGTTTCCCCTGTCGATGTTTGTATGAACTTTACCTAATGTGTGGTTTATAATGGACTATGGTGCAGAAACAATGAGAGCGTTTTAGACCCTTGGCTTGTCTGTCAGTGGCCAAGTCACAATAAAATATGGTTTTACTGAATAATTAAGTAAATATAATTTCTAAATATATCTACCTAAAGAAACCACATTTCTTGACTGGCCACTCTCAGCTGTTTCAGAAGAGACACCTTTTGTGCTGTAGCTGTCCTATGCTCTTTGAAAGGTTAGGTGGCTGTAGTAGACTGGAAAGTTGGTGCAATTCGCAACCTCACCGCTAGATGCCACTAAATCTTACACACTTTACACACTGCATTTTTTCTAACTGAATATCTAACTCTGTCCAGTCTACAATGAGCTTGTGCCTTGCATCTGCTGATGTGGTTGCACTTTTGAGAGTTTGTTGAGTGATGAGCTTTTGCTAGCTCGCCAAGTTCAATATGACAGGTATGTGTCTGTGTGTTGAACCCAATCAAACACCTCTGGAGAGATATGAAAATGGCCATCCACCATCCCTATCCAACCTGACAGGGCTAGAGAAGATCTGCAGAGAAGAATGACAGAAAAGCCCCAAATCCAGGTGTACAGTGCTTGTTGCGTCATCCACAATAAGACTCGAGGCCGTAATTGCTGCCAACTAAGTGTCGGGTCTGAATATCTAAGTCGGTGTGATATCTCAGTTTTGTCTTTTTAAATAAACTTTTTTTTTTGCTTTGTCATTATGGAGTATAGAGTGTAGATTGATGAGAGAAAAACTTTATTTAAAAGATTATAGCATAATGCTGCAACATAACAAAATGTAAAAAAAAAAAAAAAAAATGAAGGTGTATGACCACTTTCTGAACTCTATATGTTGCATGATCTTTGGTACCCTATCAGGTCACCCCAAGGCCAGAGCTTTCATCACACATGGTGGCACAAATGGGATTTATGAGGCCATCTACCACGGTGTTCCCATGGTGGGCATCCCCTTGTTCGCTGACCAGCCAGACAACATGATCCATATGAAGGCTAAGGGAGCTGCAGTAACTGTAGACTTTAACTCCATGAAGACCGAGGACCTTAGAGATGCAGTCAATGCTGTCATCAACGAGAAATCGTGAGTTATCTTACCTATCTGCACTTAGTTTAGCCTTTTTCCATTTTATCTGCATTCTTGGGGAGTCAAAGAAATTGAAGAGTAAAAATATAAAATACATTAATCCACATTTTCACCCCTGTATATCCACATTCATAGGTACAAGGAGAACGTCATGCGGCTGTCCAGTATCCACCATGACAGACCAATGAGTCCTCTGGATGAGGCGGTGTTCTGGATCGAGTTCACCATGAGAAACAAAGGGGCCAAGCACCTGAGGGTTCAGGCCCACGAGCTCACCTGGTACGAGTATCACAGCCTGGATGTTGTGGCCTTCCTCCTTGCTATCATACTGTTCTTGATATTCATCTTCATTAAGACCTGCAGTTTCTGCTTCCGGAGGTGCTGCAGAAAGGGAAAGACAAAGACAAAGGCTGAGTAACTGATGGAACTGAAATGTAGTTGGTAAAGAACAGACTGGTGAAAAAACAACCTTTATATAACAGTTCACTGGTTTTCCTGCTTGTCTAAAGCATATAATGTAACCACAATGCCTTGGACTGTGTGATAATTAGTGACTTGGGATGAGTTATTCTGACTGCTTTGAAACAACTAATTTGGGTAAAAAATTAAAAAATTAGTTTACAATGTCCAGTATTGTTGTGAATCTCCTGTGTTGTTTGAGTGGTTATTTTCATGGTAAAGAGGAATGATTTTGTTGTGCTATTTGTTCAACACGTTTTGTAACCATAAACTCAGGCTAGACTGACTGAACCTTAAACCATTGTTAACCTGTCCATAGACAAACATGTGTTTGCTTTCCAAAATATGTATAAATATGCATGTATGATCAATAAATGCTCGAGTTGCTGACAGGTGTGCAATCATTTGCATCACTGAATCTGAGGCCAATTTGATATTAAAAGCTTAATGGTCTGAAGGGTTAAAATATACAGTAGGCTAATCCTTTTGGAACAAATAAAACATATCGTGTTTTTAATTCTGTCTATTAACCGCGCTAAATTGTCTTCTTTTAAAACCATGTTAATTTTAATGTCATTACTCAGAATTTCTGTGGGCATCTCTCACTAGTTTTAATTGTGGATTCTTACAAAATTATCACAAATGAGTTGGGGTTTAGTGCTCAACATGAAGCTGATTTTCAAACTGAGCCCTTCAAAAAAAGCTGATCACAACCCAAGGAGTAAACCACAATCTATCTGAGGACGGTTGACACAACCCATGTGGGTTAAGGGAATCGTGGACATGCAACTGACGAAAAAAGAATACAGTTTATAAATAAAAAATATAAATCAATCAGACATTTACCCGCTGGCATATTTGAGGAAGTCTTACAAGAAAATCAACTGATGAAATAATCTCTCAGTCTTTTCCTACCTTAAGCACCTGCCATCTAGGTGCTCCCATGAATTCCTCACAGCAATTGTGGGTCTCCACTCCACCTGGCACAATTCTCCAATGGTATAAGCTGTATAGTAAACATTTTGAAGCATTTGGGATGTTTTTGTAGCATAAAACTATGATATACTCACCTTTTTATTATTACTGTCATCCCTGTTGTGGGGATCTTCTTCCACTTAAACTTTGTATCATTTTAATTGCTTGATTGTATATGCCTCTGCCCTGAAAGGTTGACATTGTTGTCCAACCATGTAAAGCACTTTGTGACTTTTGTTTACTCCCTAACTTGATGGTCAGGGTGGCAGTAGGTTCTCAGTCCTGCCTGTGATAAAGAATAGAAGAGACACATGTTTAGCTGGTGTTATCCTCACAGCAGGACGATTTATTCTGCCTCAGTGCTGCCTGGGGTACTATTATCCTACACAACCCAAGGGTGATGCGCCCTCTAGTGACATGGATGTGAAATTGCTGTTTGGTGACTTATGCAATAAAAGTATGTGAGTGATTACATCAATTACAATAAATAAAAGAAAATTAGAAAATAAGGTTAATTAGTTTATCCTCTTATCGGATTTCTGAGGTAAGCTGTTTTCAACCTACAGCACTTTGTTTTGATGAGTGCTTGATAAGTGGTAATTCCACTGCTCCTTGCATATGTGTTTGCCTACATAGGCCCGCACAGAGAGCAGAGACAAGAATCCCTCATTGCAAGTACAGCACAGATTAAGTGTGCCCTCCAGAGAATATGAAAATAATTTAAATTGTCTTTTTAGGAAGTATAGTTGACAGATGATTTTTTACCTGCGGTCTGCGTTGCATTTCTTATTGTCAGCAAAAAGAATGGCACAAACAGATTTCTCAGGGTTGAGGGCAGGATAGTTGCCCTCAGTCAGCCTTTCCTCAGTCAAAATATAGTCCGTCAAACTCTTGCACAGGCACCCACAACTTCCTGAGATTACGCAAGTGTGTTCACTTGACCGGAAATCATTGATCTTTTGTAATTTTACCCACTCCATAGCTAACAAGTACAATCTGGGAATCTGAAGTGTTTTCATTTTGTGGATTTCTAGTAGGTACAGGTTAGAGACTATCCTTGTTTTATAATAGGCCTACTGTTAACTTTACAACCGCTACCCTTTTACCTCCAACCACTTGCTTGAGGTGGGTCTGTTATCTAAGGGTTTATGTAGCACAAAGAGGAGCTACAAGCCAGAGTTCTACTTTGTTTAGTTAATGATTATTTCTCTAGGAGCACCTTTTAAAAAGGATCGGGAGACAGCAGACTTTCCCAGTGACAAACAGGCACCATGAAGCTGGGACGGCGTCTCTCTGTTTGTGTCCTGCTGGTACTTTCTGTGACATGGAGCACAAATGCAGGGAACATTTTGGTGTGGTACACTGAAGGCAGCCACTGGATTAACATGAAGCATGTCCTGGAGACGCTGATCGACAGGGGACACCAGGTGACGGTTCTGGTCCCCAGCGTGTCGATGTTCATGAACAGCAGTGAGTCTTCCCGCTTTCGCTATGAACCCTTCAATGTCTCCGTCTCTATGGAGGTAATTGAGGAGTTCATGGAAGAGTTCCTTCATTTCTCCATGTACGAGATGGATCATATGAGCTACTTGCAGATTTACATCAGATATATGGAAATGATGAAGGTCGATCTGCAGTATTCTTTGAAGCAGTTGGACGGCGTGGTGAAATCAGAAACCATCATGAAGAAGCTGAAGGAAGGAAATTATGACCTTCTCCTGGCTGATCCCCTCTATGCAGGCAGTGACTTAGTAGCAGAGATTTTGGGCATCCCCCTGGTCTTCTCCCTGCGCTTTTCTCTAGCCCATAACTGGGAGAGACAGTGTGGTCAGCTACCAGCTCCACCTTCCTTTGTCCCCGGTGCAATGAGCAAACTGACTGACAAGATGGACTTCTCCGAGAGAGTGTGGAACTTCCTCTTCTACGCACTGCAGGATTTTGGGATCGATAATATTTTTTGGAAAGAACTAGATAAATATTACTCTGAAGTCAAAGGTGAGTAACTCAGCTACAAGAACCACTGTTTAATGCAATTGCAATGTCACTTTTTAATTGTCAACAATTTGACATTTAAGTAAATAAACATTTTAAATTAGCCATCTCATCTTAAGTATTGGTGATACTTTTCAATGGGCGGCTGTCATCCATTACTTTTGCGTTGTGACAGGAACACCCACCAGTGCCTGTGAAGTGATGGGTAGAGCAGACATCTGGTTGATGCGAACCTACTGGGATTTTGATTTCCCTCGCCCTTTACTTCCTAACTTCAAATTTGTTGGTGGGATCCACTGCAGACCTGCTAAACCTTTACCAGAGGTAGGGCTGTCTCCACTATTACAGGCCTACTAATGTCTAATTACACCTCCACAGTATTCCTGACAAACAATGAAGAGAATGAGCCATTAAAATGCTGAGGAAATAAAATAAAATGCTTGTTGGTTTGCGATGAGATAATGTTACTCTTCTTACAGGATATGGAAAAGTTTGTGCAGAGTTCTGGAGACGCTGGCATCGTGGTCTTCAGTTTGGGATCATTCATCAACAACGTCACTACAGAGAAGGGAAACATGATCGCCTCAGCCCTCGCTCAGATCCCACAAAAGGTCAGAGGTCAACTTCTGTGTGACTACTGGAATTCACTTGAATAACCTTTGAACACAGTTTTAACGCCACGGTTACACTGTCATCACATAGCAAAGCAGTTCCAAGCAAGGAATATTTTAAAAACTCAGGAAGGCTTTTTTAAAGTGGATTTTCCAACAGTATAGTTGAAAGGAATGTTATTTGACGGGTGTCCTTCATGCGACAACTTCAAAAAACAAGTGGTGGTGAACAGGTGATGTTATGTAACTAATGAAACAAAGGCAACAAAATATTAACTGCAGCGGATTCCCGCAAATTTCAAGTCTTAAATTGATTTTCCTATCATGCTGGCATTTAACGAAACCAACACCTCTCTGGGAGATAGAAGGGAAGGGATAGAAGCTAATAAGCTTATGATGACGTAGGAAGTCAGCAGTAACACATGATTTGCAATTAATGGTAATAAAGTTATAATGACACGGTGTTTTTTTTCTAGTTGAATCAGGATATTGGTGCAGGACGTGGGTGGGTAGATAGACAACTATGCAGAGGTTTAAGGCAGGTGTGCAAATGTTGTAAAGGTAAGAATGATTTCAAAAATACAAGTTCATAGTGTGATGCCCCTCGCTCTTTCTGGGAGGTTGTCCTTTCCAGGTTGTTCTTTAGTTTAATAAATTGTACTTGTTTTATGCAAGTATCTCGCGTGGAAAGAAAAGTATAAATCAAATCAATATTTGGTGTGACCACCCCTTTGCCTTCGACGCCGCATCAGTTTTTATAGGAACTCTGCAAGCAGGGCCAAACATCTTGGAGAACTACCCACAGTTTTTCTGTGGAGTTATGCAGCCATAGATGCTTCTCTCTCTTCATGTAATCCCAGACAGACTAGATGATGTTGAGATCAGGGCTCTGGTGGGTCATACCATCATTTCCAGGACTCCTTGTTCTTCTTTACGCTGAAGATAGTCCTTAATGACTTTCGAAGTATGTTTGGGGTCGTTCCTTCATGCTGCAGAATACATTTGGGGTTAATCAGACACCTCCCAGATGGTATTGCATGATGAATAAGTATCTGCCTCAGCAATGAGAAGACCATTAATTCTGAACAAATCTTGGATTACATGAAGAGAGAGAAGCAAGTGAGTCTGCCTAAATCCACAGAAGAACTGTGGTTCCAGTTCTTGGAGGGTGGAGAGGAGGATCTTGTGGTTCACTGTGTCAAACGTTGACTTCTAGCAGGATGACAACCGAGGAGAGGGAGGCTGCTCTAGCAGTGCGGAGCAAGAAGGGCAGTCTCAGTTGAGTGGGCTTGAAACTATACTAATGAGGGTGGAGAAGGTTGTTCTGGTGGAGAGTAGAACACTGAGTGAAGACAGCAAAATGAAGTGTTTTGGAAGAAGAGAGACAGAAGGGCTGAGAGTGGGTTTCTTTAAAAGATGTTTCACTGTAGCTGCTTTAGTGTTAGGAAAAGACGATGAGGTGGAGAAAAGGAAGGAGCTCAGGAGCAATAAACTGAAGGAGGTGAGAGGGGACAGAGTCAAGAGGGAAGGCTTGCTAAGGTTAGTGCTTGTTCCTTATTACTTGGGCGTAATTATTAAATGTGCTGCTATGTATATCATGACATAACATTGGCACTGTGTTGGTCTAAAAGTCTTTTTACCATTGTTTAAAAAGGTGCTGTGGAGATACCGTGGAGAAAAACCAAAGACGCTGGGTGCCAACACCAGAATATACGACTGGATCCCTCAGAATGACCTATTGGGTAAGTAAGGCCTTCAAGACAGTAATCCTCAAGATTTATACTTTTAAATGAAATAGGGTATCCATCACTGTTTGTTTGTTTTCATTACTAATTTGACAATACAGAATCCTAAAACTGACATTGGAGAGCAATACTGTTACAAGTAAAAGTCATGCATTCAAAATTTTAAAGTAAAAAAGTCTCAAAAGTATTAGCATTGAAAAATACTTTAAGTACCAACAGCAAGAGTACTCTTTCAATACTTCATTATTACCAAGAATGTTCCAATTCAATAATATTATTACATAATATTATTGAATTATCATAACTGGATGCATTAACACATCACTATATGATGCAGTTGGAAAAAGTGGGGGTAATTTTCATTATATTATATATACATATATTCAATTCAATTTTATTTATATAGCGCCAAATCACAACAACAGTTATCTCACTATTGAGACCCCAAAGGAGGGGGGTTGAAAGGTTTCTTTCCCTAAGTGCTATTTCTGGGCAGTTGATCATAAAACTGGCCACCTCTGGCAACAGCCGAGATAAGCCTCTCGGTGCCTGAACTGTTAAAATGACAAAAGGAACACTGACCAGAGATTACAACAGCCTATCTGAACTCTTCTTAAGAGAGGTCAGGAAACCCTAAACTGCCCCCCCACACACGTAACCATGGCAACTGACCTTGCTCTTTGTTTAATTACCTCACGTCAAAGGAAAATCTCCTCGTCACACCTAGGTGTGAGGAACTCCAGGACACCCAGGAACAGCCTAAATTCCTTTGTCTAAACAGAGCACTGTCTCCTCAAGACTCAAAGCCACCTTGTTTAATTAAATAACCTTTTAGTTACTTGATTACGTTTGCCTCCATTTGAGTAGTTAGGTTACCGTGTTGTTGTTTGTGGTTTAAAGAATCTAAATAAGTTAATTTTGCAGTGTTTTAATTTTCAGCAAAGTTATCTGACTTTATTCGTTTTTTGTAACCAATGCTTTGTTCACAATACTTTCTGACACCTCCTTTAGAAATGATGATAAAGAAATGTCATCCTATACTCCTATCCATCCTATATATTAATTTTCCAGCTTGAATTTAAGGTTAAAAATGACTAAATTCCCCAGCTCCTAAGAAGATTGTTTTAGGATCAAGCAGAGCTATCCTCATGTAACCCGAGCTCCCCCAAGTGGACAAAATAAGTATTACATGCCATCGTCTGAAATAGAGCCCGAGCCCGGCCCTGGTCCGAGGCGCTCAGGCCCTAGCCCGTGTGACAGTTCATCAAAGTTCTCCGTCCGAGCCTGAGCCTTTGTTTTTTTTTGTTTGTTTTTTTCATTACACAGCGACAGCCTGCCCTATTGGCAGCCATTAAAATATGTCAGTTTTGTTAGTTATTAGTAGTTTCATTTCTTTATAAAGTCAATTTAGACAAATGTTTGGAGCATTTTTTTTTTAATGACGACCAAACAGCCGAGCCAACAGCGAGTAAAACATGTTTGATCAATTTAGCCTCTCAAATCAAGCTAATACTTTACTTAGCTACAAAACACTTCAAGTCTGTTCACACAGACAGTTTAATAAATGTTTATTTATTAAACCACAGTGAGTAAAACAACATTTTTGAAATACTACAGTGAGGCAGGCAGGCTGCTCTCAACAGCGCTCCCAAACGAAATGAGCAATAGCCTACAATCTAAATAAATTAAATAAAATAAATTAAAAACAAACTTGCAGGTTATCTTACCTTATAATGCACCAAAGAACATGGCCATTCTTTTTTCCAGTAGTTTCCAACAGTTAAACGAAAATAAAGTCCAATCAAACGAAAAGTTAGAACAGTCTCTTACAGAGCATCATGGAGAAAAAGAACAGCATCCACAGTGGAAGGTTTTAAGTGAAAAGTGGCCCGAAGCCCGGCCCCAGGGGCGTAAATAAGTCGGGGCCCGTCGGGCTCGGGCTGAAATGCAGGGCTCTAGTCTGAAATGCCTTAATGTATATGTCACTTTATATATCTGTCCATAATCTAATGCCATTCATGTATCTTGCTTATATTCTCTAAGAACATGTAACAGCCAATAGCCTATATCCAGAAAGCTAGTTAAGTTCCTCTCATCTGTGATTCCTATGAAGTGCTAACCTTTTTTAAGGTCTAACTACTGACAATTGTTCTCCTTTTTATCAAATGTTTCAAACTTAGAACGGTACAACCGTTTGGCAATTAAAGTTTGATTGTGGGAAGATATTTAATTACAATACATGCCAATAGATTTTTTTGATTAACTTTAATATGTCTCTCGGGAAACCGGAAACAAGCCCTCCGCCCGGGAAACAAAGGACTGCCCTCTGGGAACCACGCCACAACAGACAAAAGCAGCGACCCATGCTGTCTCTCTCTCTTGTCCTCTGCTTGGTCCTGGCTCTTCAACGGTCCCGAGACCCTGGGCGAACTGAATATCGGGTGGTGCCCCGCGAAACGAGAGATTTATGGATTAATATCTTCTGAATATTAAAATTCATAATTTGGTATTAATTCTCATAAATTTAATAAAACAATGTAGTCATGCTACACATTCTACTTTTGGAGACTCTAGGAACTACAAGTAAACCTGCATGCTGGGAGCGCAGTGCTCTGGTGGGGTAGTAAGGTACTATGAGCTCTTTAAGATAAGATGGTGCCTGACCATTAAGAGCTTTGTAGGTGAGAAGAAGGATTTTAAATTCTATTCTGAATTTTACAGGAAGCCAATGCAGATAAGCTAAAACAGGAGAAATGTGATCTCTTTTCCTGGTTCCTGTCAGAACACATGCTGCAGCATTCTGGATCAGCTGAAGAGTCTTAGTGGACTTTTTCGAGTAGCCTCATAATAAGGAATTACATAAATCCAGCCTAGAAGTAACAAATGCATGGACTAGTTTTTCTGCATCATTTTTAGACAGGATGTTCAAGAACTCCAAGATTCCTCACAGTGGTGCTGGAGGCCAAGGCGATGCCATCAAGGGAAACTATATCTTTAGATAATGCGTCACGGAGGTGCTTAGGCCCCAGAACAATAACTTCAGTTTTATCTGAGTTTAACATTAGAAAATTACAGGTCATCCAAGTTTTAACATCCTGAAGGCACATTTGAAGTTTAGCTAACTGATGAGTCTCATCTGCATAACAATGAAAGTTTATGGAATATTTTCTGATAATACTGCCTAGAGGAAGCATATATAAAGTGAAGAGGATTGGTCCGAGGACAGATCCTTGAGGAACTCCATGACTAACTTTGGCGTGCATGGGGGACTCATCGTTAACATGTACAAACTGAAATCGGTCTGATAAATAGGACTTAAACCATCTTAGAGCGGTTCCTTTAATGCCAATGAAATGTTCCAGTCTCTGCAATAGGATCTGATGGTCAATGGTATCAAATGCAGCACTTAGATCTAATAAAACCAGTACAGAGACAAGTCCTTTGTCTGATGCAATAAGGAGGTCGTTAGTAATTTTCACCAGTGCTGTCTGTGCCATGATGAGCTCTAAATCCTGACTGAAAATCCTCAAATAAACTATTGCTGTGTAGAAAGTCATACAGCTGTTTAGCAACTGCTTTCTCCAGGATCTTAGAGAGAAATGGAAGATTGGATATAGGTCTATAGTTGGCTAAAACATCCGATCATTTTTCAGAAGAGGTTTAATTACATCTACTTTAAAGTACTGTGGTACATAGCCTGTTGATAGAGATAGATTGATCATATCTAGTATAGAAGTGCTGACTAAGAGTAAAACCTCTTTAAGCAGCCTAGTCGGGATGGGGTCTAAGAGGCAGGTTGATGGTTTAGATGAAGAAATTATTGAAGTTAGTTGGTAAAGATTGAGGGAAGCAAAGCAGTCTAAACATATATCTGGTTCGGTTACAGTTAAAAAATAAAAAATACTCTCACTAATCTAACTGTTTTATACCAATAGGAAATTACACAGTACTTGTTTGGAATGCCACTCCCAACTTAACTCAACATGAGAAACATGTTTTTCCCAAAATATAATAGTTATTTATTAGAGTATACTTTGAAACTTTTCAATACATGCTCAAAAGCTGCTGCGATTTATTAAGTAGCAGGTAATTGGGACACAGCTTATGCCTGGCTTGGACCAACACTGTGTCTACAGGGTGAACTAAAAAAAGCACAAGTCCTTAAGGTAGGTGCCTGTGTGTATGATTGCCACCGTCCCTATGGGCTCTGATCTATCAGCCTCCACTCACAAGCCTTTGCCAAGTAGTCACATCATGGAGTTTTTCATGGGTGTTTCATGATCTTTGGTACCCTATCAGGTCACCCCAAGACCAGAGCTTTCATCACACATGGCGGCACAAATGGGATTTATGAGGCCATCTACCACGGTGTTCCCATGGTGGGCATCCCCATGTTCGGTGACCAGCCAGACAACATGATCCACATGAAGGCTAAGGGAGCTGCAGTTACTGTAGACTTGAACTTCATGAACACAGAGGACCTTAGAGATGCAGTCAATGCTGTCATCAACGAGAAATCGTGAGTTCTCTTACCTATCTGCACTTAAGGATATATATATATATATATATATTAAAAAGGGTATTTTCTTGCCAATTTGCCTTTATGGAGGTTTGACATTAATAATGCAGACACAAGGATTTCTTGTTGGAGATTAAAGTTTTAAAATACAATAACCCCACTCCCATTCTTGGGGAGGCAAAAACTAAAGAATAAAAATGTGAAATAAATAACGTATTAATCCACATTTTCACCCCTGTATATCCACATTCATAGGTACAAGGAGAATGTCATGCGGCTGTCCAGTATCCACCATGACAGACCAATGAGTCCTCTGGATGAGGCGGTGTTCTGGATCGAGTTCACCATGAGAAACAAAGGGGCCAAGCACCTGAGGGTTCAGGCCCACGAGCTCACCTGGTACGAGTATCACAGCCTGGATGTTGTGGCCTTCCTCCTTGCCATCATACTGTTCTTGATATTCATCTTCATTAAGACCTGCAGTTTCTGCTTCCGGAGGTGCTGTGGCAGAAAGGGAAAGACAAAGACAAAGGCTGAGTAACTGATGGAACTGAAATGTAGTTGGTAAAGAACAGACTGGTGAAAAAACAACCTTTATATAACAGTTCACCAGTTTTCCTGCTGGTGTAAAGCAGATAATGTAACCACAAAGCTCTGGACTGTGTGACAATTACTGGCTTGGGACGAGTTATTGTTACTACTTTTAAACAACTAATTATAATTGTTAAAAAATTAAGACATTCATGAGAACAGTGGCCTGTACTACAAAGGGAGTTCAGCCTACTCAGAGTTAAGTCGGGGTTATCAGGCAAACTCAGGGTTGACAAACTCTGACTGCCTACACTGGAGTTAAACGGTACTACGACGGTAGGTAAGATGTTGGTTAGTTGAGTCCGTGTTAACCCGGTGTCAACTTAATCAGAGTTGGTGCGCGTTCTCACAAAAGGGGTGTGTTCGGCGGTGTAGATAGAGGTTTTCACAACGGCGCACGCTCCGTATTTACCACAGTAGAATGCACGTTGATTGTGTCGGGATTGTGTAATATGATTAAGATATAAAGGTAAAACTGCACATAAGGTCCATTGTAGGTTTGATAATCCGAGACGAGAGGGGGTTGTAGCCAATTCTGTGGTCTGGTCGCCGCCACACAGACCACTGGTCGCTACCACAGTCTCTGAGGGAAGGCTCCTTTCTGTTCCTTTTTACACAATCTGTGGCTGTACACATTAAAAGAGGTCAGTTTCAAGGTTTTATACAGTCTATGGTTCCAAAGTAGACCTAAAGTGACCTTAGATCATTTAAATTATCAACTGGCAGATGATACTTCTTTTTTTTGTCTAATAGAGAGGAATGAATCAAAGCAATTAGATGTGTTGAGGAATTTTCTACTGTATTAGGCTTAAGAATTAACTTGAACAAATCTGTTTATTAGGCTACCACTTAAGGAATGTGAACTATCAGAAGTTAATGGTATCCCTGTGAACCCAGTTATATACCTGGGTGTGATAATGAAAAACTCTGCAATAACCTAAACTTCAGCCCTATGATTAAACAAATAATGAAAAAGGTTCAACAAGTTATCAAACTTTTATAAATAAGCTGTAATGGCCTGGAAATGAATAGATAGTATTTTATTCGCACGATTGCCGTTATTCAATTCAAAAACACCAAAGTATGAAGAAGACATCACGAACCAGACTTAATCTTTTAATTTGGAGCCAGGCAAGAGAGGGCATGATACGAGGCTCCACAGTCTTGGGTCGCTGCCACTAGGGGCGCTAAGGATAGTGGTCGCTGCCACACTGACCACTGGTTGCAGTTGGTTATATCTACTGTAATACTTTATCATAATTCTTTGTTAAATATACTATGTTATGCCTACTCTTATTGTTGCACTATATATTTCGGTTTGCGTGGTTATAGTCTATCTACAGTAACAAATATATCTAGATCATAATACTTTGTTAAATATAGCCTACTAATTTTTGATTATAACTATATTCTTATTGTTAAAATCAGTCTAGCTTGGATTCAACCAACAAGTCGTCATCATGACTCACCACACTTTCCTTCACAGGTGACATCACTGGCCTTCTTCAAAGATAGAGATTTATTACTGTAGGTTAACCACACAAACTGCAATATACAGTGCAACAATAAGAATATAGGCATAATCGATAATATTGTAGGCTATATTTATCAAAGTATTATGATCTAGATAGATGTATTAGCCTACTGTAGATTGGCTACAACCACACAAACTGCAATATACTGTAGGCCTACAGTGCATCAATAAGAGGCATAATTGATAATATAGTATATTTTACAAAGTATTGTGATCTAGAAAGATGTACACACTTTCATTCACAGGTGATAACACAGGGCTTGTTATAGGCAAGGACTAAAGATAGATAGATGTAGGCTATTACTGTAGGTATAACCACACAAACTGCAATATATAGTGCAACAATAAGAATATAGGCATAATCGATAATACATTAACAAAGAATTATGATAAAGATGTATTACAGTAGTTCCCATACACACACACACACACACAGCAGTCCATTACTTGTCCCTGATGTCTGTGATATTGCAACAAATATTGCCGCTGCAAGGAATTGTGGGACGGCATTCTCTCCTTTCCTTTGTAACGGATGGTCCGGTGTACCCTATGCTAAAGGTGATATGAAAGGAAGCATTGAAATACTTCAGGTTCACTTCACTCAGTTAGGAACCTTCCTAAGCAAAAAAGACTTTTCAAACGCAGCCCTCGGGTAACACCTATTCACCTTTCGTAATACGGGTTAACCGGGAAGATACACCCGACGACTGACAAAGTTACTCCTGAAGTTACCTGGATAAGACCGTTATCTCGCTGCGTAGTACAGGCCACAGGTTACAGTGTCTAATATTGTCGTTTAACTGCTTTCTTTAAGTAGTCATCTGCATGATAAAGATGAGCAACAGTTTTGTCACCATAAACTCAAGTTCAGTCTGGCCTGAAAAACAGTTCCTCTCTACACAGACAAACCATTTATTCTGTCCAATACAGTATGTGGAAAGTCTTCTTGTTTGCTCCTTCATGTATCACCAGTGATTTCTTCAATTGCTGACAGGTGTGCACTAATTAGCATAACTGCACCTGTAGCCAATTTCACATTAAAAGCTTTCATTCATTGGGTGGTGTAACTTAAAAAAAGAAACCACACACAAAGGGATTTCATTCTGTGCCTTTACTTTGATAATTCTGATGATACCCCACCCCTTCATGTTTTCTTAGTACACAACAGTGCAATCACAGATATGTATAAAGGCATTGACACATGGGCTGCAAATTAAAATTTAACATACAGAAAATATTGCATTAATATAAATCAAGTGATGTAATAATACTAAAAAAACAAAAAAACAGCCCTCCCATGTCATCATCGTGTCAAAAATAAAGGTGACATTCAAATTTGCATTAAAGCACCCCACCCATGTATGAATATGTTTTATTTCCATCATTTTTTCAGTTTTCCATCTTCTTTCACCTTCCATAACATAAGTTCCATGCAGGCAGCAGCGTCTTCTGCAGTGTCGTGGCCACAAACTGGGAGAAACATTAATACAGTATGTAAATACATTGTCAATACACATTGACAAAACATGCATTAGCTATATAAATTAACCCTTAAATTTTGAGCCATTTCTTTATTTGAGTTTAGATTTAGATTCAGTTGTAAGGTGGAATTTTAACTTAATGGACATTCAAAACAAACACTTGTATGGTGGCTGTAGGTATCCATGATGACCCACCACTCTCTTGGATGATCCTCCTGAGGTATTCAGCAGTGAGGTTGTTCAGGGTCAGCTTGTGAGGGGGGCCCAGACGGTGGGGGAAAACCACTGATGTGTCCACCACCGTACCATGGAGAAACTACAGTAAAGAGGAAGATATCTGAAGCTATTATTACTTAGGGAATCAGCCTCTATAGGAAAAGTGAACATTACTCCGTAATGAAGATGGAGGTACAGGTGGAAAAAACTAACATAATTAAAAAAAAAAAGTCTTCCATTGATGGCACTGCACACCAGTAGGTGTTGGGACTGAAATGACTAATCTTCACCAAGTGTGACCTTCTAGTCCCACTTTTAAGATGGTAGATGAAAATCCTACCAGTTTTGTAACTGTTTAGACAGATATACCTGATGAAAAGGTTCTCTGGACTTTTCTATACTGGTTTGGATTATTCAAACACTGCTACCAAAGTAGGTAATTTAATGTTAAATGCCAACTAGCATTTGTTCACCCTTATGCCAATTATACACGTGTCCAGACTTCCACTTGGTCAATGCAGTTATGTGTCTGACACATGTTGTCATATTTGTAAAAGTGTTTGTAATTGTGACTGTCAAGTTAATTCAGAGTTTATACTTTCTCATGAAGTGTTTAGATTTGTTTGTCAACAACCTCTACATTCAGGTTATTAATAATAATAATAATAATAATCCATGTTATATAAACCCCACCACTATAATCATCTAGACAACACCACTTTTGCTGATGCTCCCATGGACTAACAGAAGAAACTAACTGAAATTAAATTAAAATAAAAATAGAAAACAAGGTCTACAAATGAATAAGTTATAACAAACCATGCATAGGGATACTCCTGAAATAACAATTTTAAAAAGGCTCTTGGCAAAGAAATTGTGTTAAGAACTTAGCAGGCAGTCATGTTGGATGTAACGTGGCTTTTGGTTACAAACCTCTTGGTTTATGCAAACACGCTCACAGCTTGGTTTTTAAAATCCTTGGCCAGGTTAGCCACGATTGAAACCGATACATGTTGTGAATGAATAATGTTGGGAAAAGCTTACAGTAGTCACCTTGAGGGCACAGAGGTCTGTTTCTAGGCCGTGTCCAATCAGAATGGTGTCGGCATTGATGAAGCTCAATAAGGTTTCCTGCACCTCTCTGAGGGAGGTGCAGTTACCCTTCACATCTTCCTCACTGATGCCTGAAAACCTTGACAAGTGTCACACAGGATATTGATAGAGCAGTTGGCTGATTAAAATACATCAATACAGTATCATTTCCTTCACTTTATCACCTAGCATTAGTAATGATCTTTGGACACGCATGTTGTATTGTAATGCAAAACTGTTGAACTTTATTTTCCTCTGTTTCCCCTTTACATTCTCATTTTAGACACACGACATGCGCTTTAACATAAATTTCTGAGTTCTTACCAGTTTCAGAGGGTGGATATTGATATTGATATGAACAGGTGTAAAGAGCATATTGGGGTAAAAAAAGAGGGGGAAAAATAGCAAAGTATCCAATTCCATTACCTGGTGTTGAGGTCGATGACCTCATTATCAGGTCTGACAAAGGTGTCATAGATGATTTGCAGACTAGAGTTGACCACCGTCACTCTGGACAGCTCCAGACCGTGAATGGTATAACACTACAACAACAAAAATGAACACAATTTATATTGTTTTCACTTCAGACTCGAGGCCAGCTAAATATCAAAAAGCTTCAACTCCATCCACAGACCCACTGATTAATGTTTGTTTTGACATCAGCCACATGTGCACATCAGGGTGTCACACTAGTTTTAAATCGTGCACCAGAAGTGAGTTAGGGTTTTGTTTCAAACGTGGAGAAGATTATAAAAACTGGGCCCCTCAAAAAAAAAAAAAAAAAAATTAAAAAAAAAGCTGATCACCATTTCACAATCCAAGGAGTAGACCCCAGGACAGCTCGTATCTGAGGGATGTCTGCGAACGGTCGACACAAACCCATTCAGGCTGAGCGAATCGTGGACATGCAACTGAGGAAGAAAAGACAAAACTATATAAAAATCAATCAACATTTAAGTTACGGAATAATCTCTCACACCGTCTTTTCCTACCTTAAACACCTGACATCCAGGTGCTCCCATGACGCCCTCACAGCAACTGTAGCGGGTCTCCACGCCACCTGGCACTGTTAACAGTTTAATTTAATAAATTTTATCTACACAATTTTCTGATGGCGTTCACTGTATGGTAAACATTTTGAAACGTTTGGAAAACATAAAACTATGATATACTCACCTTTATTTTTAACTCCTTTCCCATAGTGGTAGTTACACTCCTCCTTACGGGTGTGTTTGCCCGTTTGGCTCACAGAGTATGTGGCCCCACACCGACAGCAGATCCTCTTGAGGGCTTTATCCAACAAAATAGAGGAGGAAAAACAAAACACACATCAGAGTGAAATGTGCTGAGAAAAGTCATTATCAGTACAGCACAGACAAGTGTGCCCTCTAGTGATATAATATGAGAATAGCATCAAACTGTCTTGCAGCTGCAATATGATGTTTTCACTCACGGTCTGCGTTGCCCTTCTTATTGTCAGCAAAAAGAACAGCACAACCAGATTTCTCTGGGTGCTGGACAGGATAGTTGCTCTCAATCAGCTTTTCCTCAGTCAAAATGTAGTCCTTTAAACTCTCATAAAAGGCCATATCGTCTGCTGGAAAAATTAATTCACTGAGAAGCTGTCAAAATATTTGAATGAAATGACAAAATCATAAAAAAAAGAAACAAATTCTCACCGTTTCCTTTAAACTTCTTCAGGTTAAGTGGAATGTTGCCTTTGAATCTTTGGCTGCTCACGTCATTTTCATCTGCACAAGAAAAATATAAATGGATTAAATACAACTAGTCTCAGCATCATGTGGCTTTTCCCCAGAGATTCTCACCTTTTACAGCAGCACCACTTTGGTTCTTCAGCTTCTTCAGTGCATTCACTGCAACACTCAGATATTTGAGTTTGTTCACACTGCGATTATACACAGTCCTCTCTTCAGCAAGAGCCTATCAACATGAACAGGGATGGAAATTAATATCTAGACTATAGTTGGTCAGTTAGGAGGATGACATTAAGTGGCACAAGCTCACCTTCTCAAAGGCATCGTTAACATTGGCTGTCGTTTTGAGGAACTCCTCCGTAAACATGTTAATATAACGCTGACGGATGTCATGGGGCACTTTGTCTTTGGTGGCCTCACACTGCTGCTTCAGCTTACGTTTAGTAGGCACTGGCTGAAAGAATATATTCATTATTAATATTAACCAGATAAAAACCATGTCCCACTTACACCAGACACATGTTTAGTTATAGTAATTGAATTTGGCCCCAACAAAGGCGGCTTTTAACCACTCACCTTAACAGCAGCATGGACAGGTGTTTGAGGAGTAGTGGAAACAGCCGGGTTTGAATGTGCCAACGCAAAAGCAGAGGTTAGTGAAGGTTTACGTGCCGGCGCAGGGATGAGCACAGGCGCTGTTGTGCGGTATCTTTGCAGAGGGGTGACTGAAGGTGGATGGTATATTTGTTTAACGGCGACAGTGCTCATATGCACTTGACTGATTGGGGTTAGAACTGAAGTAACTTGGCTGGAGCTGGAAGTAACAGGCAGAGGGAAGGCGCCCTCTGGGAGGATCAAGTGCAAGTTGTTGCCTACTTCGATCACAGCAGTTCCCAAAGGTACGTAGTTAATGTAAGCTGCGGAATAAGTCATAAACACACATGCAGATATGATGCATGCAGACAAAGCTACTAAAATACACCACTAGAATAAGTTCTATTTAGAGTTTTGCATACAGCAACAGAAAATAAATGCTGCTTGATCTACATGTATGAAAAACAGGGAAGGTCTCACAAAGTTTTACTGGCAGACAGATACGATGAAAGTAAAATATTTAAATTTAAGGAAAAGCTTCAATTTTTGCATTACGCAATGATATAATGTTTTTATATTTAACATTTTATTTTACGCTTGTGTTGGGACACAATATTATGTAAATTTTTTTTAGTGGTAATCTTTCCAAAAGAAAAGAAGAACAAGACCCTAATAAAACCTCATCCACTACAGCCAACAGAAGCTTACCATTTTGCAATGGAGCAGGCTGCACGTTTTCAAGGGTTTGAGCCGCAGGAGAAGGCGCACTCTGGGTCTCTGGCTTCTTCTCACAGGTGGAGGAAACAAAAGCCTGACCACCTTTAACCGAAGCAGCCAGCATGGAGGCTCTCTGCTGTACCTGCTGGAACTTGGAGGCGGTGGAGGGCTGGGAGTAAAATCCTGACACCGCAGGCCCACATAGGGGAACCAGCACCTGGGGCTGAGGTCTGCTCTTTGCCACTGGCTGCAGAATTGACCAAGTAAATAAAAAAATGTGCTGAAAATACATGCAGCGGTAGTATTCAATTAACCCTAACTAGATTTACCTTTTAATTTAGTACAGGAAAAAATTAAAATTCCTTTTTGGAGATTGAAAGAAGCCTTGCAGTGTACAGTATTTGTATGTAACATGTACCTCTGTATATCTGGCTTCATGAGCCACCCTCTTCTTTCCTGACGATGCTTGGGGTTTGCTGTTTAACTCCGGCTTCTCCACATCCGTAGATCCAACCTAAAAACGAGCAGGTGATGGAAGAGATCTTTACACTGTTGAAGACATTTCTTCATCTTGGATTTGGAGCGTCCACAGCATACTTACAGACACATCAGGCTGCTCTTCATTTCCCTGATCCTTACTGTTTGCCTCCATGAAGATCCTGTAGCATTCCTCCATCGGGTCACTGTCAGACAGCTCCATTTCTGAATAGTTGAGCTCATTTTCATCATCAGAGCTGGAATCAATGATTATTAAATCCTCAGTATCCTCTTCTTTCACCAAAAGCTGCTCAGTTGATGACTCTACTCTGTTCATCAAGCTTGATGCTGACAAATTGTGCCAAGCCTGACCTTGGCTGCTGCCTGAAGCTGGTTCTGCCAGCTTCGGGTAGCTTGCAGGGGGAATAGTTTTACCCTGCATCTGCCCTGGCATTTTGCTTGACGTTTCCTGGCTATGTGGCCACACCGAGGGTACACATTTTGTGGAAGACCACTGATTACTAACTCTGTTCTGAGCTGGCTGCTCTGTAGTCAGGGCTTGCTTGGTGTGTTGCCTGCATGGTGAGTCTGGGTTAGCGGCTGGGGCTTTATAAAAAAGTGAATTCTTTGGTGAAAAATGATGTGGCTGCACTGGATTCATTTTCTCAACACTATGAGGCAGCTCACACGGAGGCAATTCAATCTGAAACTTGTTTTTTCCCTTTCCACCACCAGCTTGTTCCAGTTTGGATCTTGCTGGACTGTGGTTGCAGCAGGACTTGCAGGTTCAGGACTTTCCTCCACTTGTGTTTCAGCAGCCTGAAAGTGATTACTAATTTTCAGACTTTCACATGCCAGGTCTTCTAAACATCCAGTTATGTCATCTTCATGCCCATAAACGGGTATATTTTCATATCCTTTGTTCTCATAAAGATCAGATGGACCTTTATTGTTTTCAGCAACACAACTACTATAAACTCTGTTTTTTTCTACCGTTGATGAGACCTTGCACACCTCACTGTTTGCAAGGTGCGGTGGAGTATCAAGTAAAATATTTGTTGTTTGGGCGTCCTTTATTACCTCTACTTTATCATGGAGGGATTTGCCAGGAACAGAATCAACAGGTTTCTGAGCTCGCAGTCTCTTTTCGTCAGGCGAGGGAGGAACGTCAATAATCAAGACGCAGTCTTCGTTAGAGTCATCAAGTGGCTCTGGAGATCGGGAAAGCTGAGCCTGATATGTGACTGGCTTCTTTTGGTCACAAGATACAGCGTTTCTTGCCCTTTTCAAACCTTGTCCATTTTTCACTTTTTGCTCTTTACCCGATGAGCTGTAAGAACGCAAGCCAGCAGAAAAATTGGACAGAGGGTCATACTCCAAATCAGTCCTTGGTTTTGAGTTGTCAACCACGTACTTCCTTGCTCGGGAGCACGTTTTAGTAACATTTGTGGATGAAGACAGTCCATAAGAACCTCTGTGCATATTTTTACTTGTAATGTCAGACTTGGAAACAGAGGAATTAAGCGCAGTGTGTGTGCTGCCTGCCTGCACAGTCTGGTACCGGGACAGTCGCCTTTGCTCCTGCTCCACCTCGTGCCTTACAGTTTCAATCTCCTTATTGATCCGTTCCAGCTCCTGGAGGCCATCTTTGGGGTCATCATTCGCTGGTGCTCCACAGACAGCGTGTGGATAGCCATTGCGGCCTGTTCAAACAGAATATGGAAAAGGACTTAATAGCATTAATGATATTGTTGAAATAGTACAGGGTGAGATTGGGTTAAATATAAATAAGTTGTGGGTATTTAGGGCTCTCTACATGCAACAAATTTAGCCACATATGCCCCTAAAAATAGTAATTTGTGCACATTGTGCTGGGAAAACGCTTAGTGCCCTGGTAATGCTGGTGTGGTGACCTGTGGCTGCACGCAGGAGCAATCGTTGTCTTTACACCAGGGGCTCTCAAAGTTCTCAACCTGAACTGACACATATTAGACCAGGGACCCCCATCTGATATGCTTTTAGTTTTTGGATGTTTAGTTGCAGAAAGTGTATCAAATCCATGGCCACAATAGTCATACATTCTGTCACTTATGGATAGAAAAATATAGTGAAAATAAATTAGCACCTTTTTGCTGACCCTCTTTTGAGAACCACTGCTTTATACTACCATAATTAGTTTTAGATTGTTTTAAGCTTCTCAATTCATTTATTTGTGTTTTTACATTTAAAGACTTTATTTTAAGACAAACTGATCTTTGCTTAAAAGTATTTAGAATTTAAATCAATTGTTGCACAAAGAACCAATAATGCCAAAACAATTCTCATAAAACCATTTATTTTCCTTACCTGCCTTGACAATAGCTAAGCTTAATTGTATTTTTATTCTCAGGTTAAGTGTGATACCATCTAATTTTGAGAGTTTTTAACAGTTAACGTTATTTGAAAACAAAAAGAGACAGTCAGGACTTTTGGTTTAAGTGTGAAGTTGCTTCATCTTTAAGCTAGTTCAGTAAGTTTTAAACCCACGTCTAGCCCACTTTATACTAAAGTTACACTGTATACATATATGCAAAACGTTTAACAGGCAAGACTACAAGTTACTGCAATCTGCAAATTATGGTTAGATAGCAATCCTCAAAACACTGACCTGCAAAGTCAACTATCGATGATTTATACGAGGCAGCACACATATCCCGCACTTCTTCTGTGGCATGTTTGTACAAACAGTGTGGCCGCTCACAGAGCCCACTTTTTGAAAAAGGACAGATTATGTCAGCAAAAAGACCAGATGAGGGAAACATCAGCAAAAACCGCTTGGTTAAATCACTAACTAACTGTCGGCCAACAGGTGGAGGCTCCAACTGAACCCCGGGTGACGTCAGCCGCACTTTATAAATGCTCTGCTCAGGTCGCGAGACGACCGTTTAATTCATCAAAATTAGTATTTGTCCCGAAAAGCGTGTATTTTTCGAGAAATTAAACCAATTTAATCCCGAATATATACATAGGCCTATGGTACATTTCGAGTCATGAGGGTTCATTTAAGTATTTGTCCAGGTTGTTGTAGTCGTAGTTCACCGTGTCGCAGTAATCCCTCCACGTCGGCGGTCGGCGCTGCTCCACTAAACAGAACTTGGATCCACAACGAAAGAGTATTTTCAGTGTTTGGTGCACTTTTCCAGGAACGTTTACCCACCGCACCTAAAACAACAACAACGGGTCTTATGTGGCATATTAAAATCACAATTTGCGTTATTTGAAATGGATGATAGCGAGGAAGAGGATGAAACCGAGTGGGAGAACAGTTTTGTTGATCCGGTCGCTGCTGCTTCTGGTAAATTATGAAGACTGTCATGTGGCTTTCTGACATGCAAAGAGAAACACGGCTCTGCTCTGTCTATAAGCTAAGTTAACGTTATACGTCTCATCTGGTTATTTTTGTATGTATATTCTCTGTTTCAGGATCAAGTCTCAATAAGACATCAGCACAAGCACCTGCACACAGAGTCATTCTGCATTTTGACCTGGACTGCTTCTACGCTCAGGTGGAAATGGTCAGAAACCCAGCACTGAGAGAAGTCCCTATAGGTAAACTGATTTGTTATAGTAGAAGCTCAGAAGCCCAGGATTTGTGTGGCTCAGTGATGTTTCTCATATCATTAGGTATTCAGCAGAAATACATCATAGTCACCTGTAACTATGTGGCAAGGGAGCAGGGAGTCACCAAGCTGATGTCTTTGACTGATGCTAAGGAGAAATGTCCTCAGCTGGTGCTGGTCAATGGAGAAGACCTGACGCACTACAGAGAAATGTCCTACAAAGTGACAGGTAGGTTCTTTTCTGTTGCAATACAAAACTATAGTACCTGTATTTAGTAAATTAGCTAAGCATTCAGGATTTAAGTATTTAGAGTAAATTACTCCTCAAAACGTGGCATGTGACATGAAGTTATTTTCAGCCAGCAGCAAGCAAACTCTGTAGCAGAGAATAACTGAGCTGTCTTATGTTGGGTTTTGGTGTCGGTCTAAATAATGAGCCAGAGATTCTTTCTAGACTCTCTAGCACTTTCAACATTTGTCCAGTTACAGTAACCTCAAATAGCCAGAAGTCAGTTAAAAGGCAAGACATTTGGCATTGCCTCTGCCTTCCTTATTTCCACATACATTATAACCCACATCATATATATTATTTAATATATTTATGTGCTCTTCTTTCTTTACCTTTTCTTGTCCTCCATCCAGAGCTGCTGATGTCCTACTGTCCACTGGTAGAGAGGCTTGGATTTGATGAAAACTTCATGGACATTACAGAGATGGTAGAAAGAAAGTTAGCTGAGACACCAGAGTCCAACAACTTTTCATTTAAAGGACATGTCTACAACCATTTCAGTAAGTCACATACCTGCCTCTGGTGTGTAGCTGTACGTCAAAGTACATCTGGCAAATGGAAACCAGGAAATGAGTTGTGAAACAAGCCAAGAAGCTACTGTTTTTAGAATATTTGCATTGCACTTTCAGTTTCCCACAACATGAAAAGTTTACTTTTGGATCCTCTTGAAAGAATGTCAGGTTTTCACAACCACAGAGAACCTAAACGTCTGTTTTTCTGTTCCTGCTCAGGTGCAGATGTTGAAGCTCATGATCATCCAAGGTTGGCTTTAGGTTCGCACATTGCAGCAGAACTGAGGGAAGCCATCCACAGCAAAGTGGGTCTGACTGGCTGCGCTGGCATCGCCTCGAACAAGCTACTGGCCAAACTGGTGTCGGGCACTTTCAAACCCAATCAGCAAACCACGCTGTTGCCGGAAAATGTCAGCGACATCATGGGCTGCCTGAGCAGTCTCTGCAAAGTACCAGGTACAGATGTTCACCTTATGTGTAAATTAGTTATTCATCAGTAGACTTTTTTTATGCAACAGTTGAAGAGAAATAAATTCTGCTATGTTTTTTGTAAAGGTGTATTAAAGGTTCAGTGTGTAATATTTAGGAGGATCTATTGACAGAAAGGCAATATAGTTCACATAACTCTGTATTCAGTGGTGTATAAATGCAGAATCACGTATTGCATACAGATATTCTACAAACATGTAATTTGTAAAATGGTTACAATGGTTAGTTTGCTGTCCCTGTAGAGTGAAGTGTTGTAGCGTCCATGTTGATTCCACGTTCCTTAAGAGCACATGAACACGCAGAATTCGGAAGAACGGCTTTACAACTCAAGAAATGAGACCATCTGAGGAGTACTTGAATGTACTGGTTGCAATTTGCAACCCTCACCACTAGATGCCACTATAACTTACACAATGAACCTTTAAGTTTGAACAAAAATGATACTCTATAATAATAATAATATATAATAATGTCATTATCTCCATTTTACTGCTTAATTTGTTACTTTGTCATCTTTAATATTTGTGTGCAGTATTGTTTAAATATTTTTCACTGCAAGTATCCCCGACGATATATTTGTGGTCCCGTATTCGTAGGGGTGGGTTACCAAACTACTAAGAGACTCCAAGCCCTGGGATTGGTCAGTGTGAAAGATCTGCAGCTCTTCCCACTGAATGACTTGGTGAGAGAGTTCGGAGGTCCCACTGCTCAGCGCTTGAAGAATCTGGCGCTCGGTGTTGATGACTCACCCGTCACCCCTACAGGGGCCCCTCAGGTAGGCTAGGAAATTACCCGTATCACCTTAAACTGAAGGAGCATTTTATCATCTGCTACTGTAGAAGTAGAAAGAAAGGGTTAAAAAGGGCTCAGCTCCGTAATTACAGCGTTGCCAGCTCTCACACTTTTGGCTTGAAACATTTCAACACTTTCTATGACTTATGTCTGTGGCCATCAAAGAGCAGCAGCATCGATACATGTGTTCCCAAATTGAGAGAGGGGCTGTGCGCAATTTATGAGGGTGTCACAGCAGCTTCATTGGTTATTTAAATTATCTGATGTGGCAGTGTGATCTTAGGTTAGCCTTATTAACCTAAATAAAAATAATAGTGGCAGAAGTGGCATTACTGCACGCATGGAACTTAAAAAATAAAAATAAGGCAACAGATAGTAGGTTTTATAATGAAAATATAATTTAGTGTACTAAACTTATACTCTGATGATTCTGTGCAAAGACATTTCTGTTTTTACACATGAACAGGAAATTCAGTGTTTTGTGAACCATACATTGAAAGGAAAACAAATACAAATCTATAGTGTATTTGGGAACTGGCCCAATGCCTACTGTATATCACTAAGGTGAGATTGTCTTTTGAGACTTCACAGCACTTCACGTGAGGTTAACTTTTTCCCCTTTAGATTTATTCAGACCGTATTTGTTTTCTCAGTTAGTATCCTCTTCATGTTTCAGTCTCTCAGTGAAGAAGACTCCTTCAAGAAAATCTCATCAACTAAAGACGTTTTGGAAAAGATTCAAGAACTCCTGAGCAGTCTGGTGGAGAGGTGGGATACTTTGTTAGCTATTTAAATGGTCACTATGTGTTTTGTTTATGCTAGAGCCACTGTAACTAACTTTTTTTTTTTATCATCTGTTTAAAAACTAGGATGCAAAAAGATGGCAGGCAGCCTCAAACCTTTCGGCTTACAATCCGTAGATTCTCAGCAACCAACAAGTGGTTCAATCGGGAGAGCCGGCAGTGTCCGATCCCCAACCACATAGGACAGAAGATCACCTCCGGTAAGCTCGTGGACACTTAAACATACCACCTGCACAAGCTCTTGATGGCATTTGTAGACACTTAATCAGGGTTTCTACTCACAGTATTTGTTTGTGAAAAAGAAAATGAAGCCTTTAGAATTGATTTCCATGAACATACTCATATTTCAGATTCAGATTCAGATTATGTCTCTCACAGTGGACATGCACCTACGATGACAATTTCAGACCCCTCCATGATTTCTAAGTGGGAGAACTTGCAAAATAGCAGGGTGTTCAAATACTTATTTTCCTCACTGCATATATATAATTTTTTTTACCTGTCCTGCCCGGCAGCCTGGTATGAGTATGAGGAGCTGGATACCATATTGTGCCAGACAGATTTTACTTTAACAAGAGAGTATTAATATACTCCTTTGTCTGTATTGTTATTTATTCAAATTAATTTGTCAACGGGCCAGACAGGGGACAGACATGGGGATGGGGAATAGAAACAACACATAAACAGACAGCAGGGCAACACCTGCAAGAGAACGGGGATGGGGGGTGGGGACAACAGGAAATAGCATAAGGAAACACTACCGCAGAAGACCCCGACCCGACCAAAAAACGCCAAAGACACCGGCCATCCAAATGCCAGTTGACAACGCAATGCCGTCTCATCAATGCTCTCATCAATATTTTGATATGAAAAATGGGTCAAATGTAACATGTAGAGGAGGCAGTGACAAACCAACAGAGAGTCATCACCAACTTTGCAGTTTCCCTCAGCTTTATAGATTGTTTCAGCATTATTCAGCTCACTGTTTCCTGATCTCCAGATTTGCTGTTTTTTCATTGTTTCTATCACAGCAGGCAGGTGTTTTCAGAGAAAAGGCTAGTGAGATAGACTCATTGTACACTTTTTGCAGACAAAGACAGACAAGGTTAGCAACTAGCTGGTGAACATAGTGGAGCATTTAGCTGCTAAAGAGCCAGATGTGCCCCTCGGGATTTGTCGGTGACCGAAAACGGAGCTAAAAAGCAGTATAAACACTGGAGGTGGGCAGAAACAAGACTTCATTTAGACGCTACTGACCCCACATGGCCAAAAAGTAATTCAATGCATCTATAAGCATGTTTTAAAATGTAAAGAATTTTCTGTTTAAATATAGCTCCTAGATAAAATTTCTCCAATTTGAAAGCAGCACTGTTTCCAGAGGAAACCCATGTAATGATATTTGGGATTATACAACAACAAATTTAAAGTCGATACGTTCAGCGTGTCATAAACACAAATGAGAGGCCCCTGTAATGTCTGTAAAGGTCCTCAGTCATCCAGGTAATGTTGTAGTCGTTAAATTTTGTCAAACAAGAACTTAGAAATTAAAATGTCTTTATATTTGATTCCCCGCGACCCTGTACGCAGGATAAGCGGTTGACGATGGATGGATGGATGGATGGATATATTTGATTCAAAACATCCCTCTGTGGTTGTTTTTTTACAGCCTTTGAGAAGGCAGTGGATGAATCTCAGCTCAGTTCTTATCATCTCCATATCCCGCTGTCCAAACCTGCCATTAAAGCTTTGTTTAATGTTTCTGTAGGCAGCAGTGATGATGCTGTGGTCCAGCTGGTCCCGTTTGCCATGAAGCTCTTCCACAAGATGGTGGACAGCAGCACCACTTTCCACCTTACCCTCATCAACGTTTGCTTCAGTAACCTTCAGATTAGGGGCACTGCTGTCGGCGGAAAGGGCTCCATAACATCTTTCTTCACACAAAGAACGTCTCCCGGAAAAACACAAATCTTCTCATCGCAAAGCCAGGTAGTACAGCATAGTTATAATCTGGCTTATTAGGATAAATAACGTTATCTTCGTCAGGGTATCTGCAAGATCAAAAAGAAAGGCCTTAAACGATAAAACATCTTAAATTAAATTTATTATTATTTATTAATTAAATTATTTGTCAGATATGTTACTTACAGAAGGTTTTTGCATGCATTTCAGGGCAGCGAGACTTTATGCACTCTAAACTAAAAGGTACAGGCACATAACCTCACAGTTATTGAGATCATTGGTGCATCTGTTGATTATTTCTTTCAAAGAATTAATTATTTGGTCTATGAAATGTCAAAAAACTCAAGGAGCTCAAGGTGACCCCTTTTAAATGTCTTGTTTTGCCGTCCAACAGTCCAAAACCCAAAGACATTCATTGTACTTTTATATAAAGAAACAGCAAATTCTCACAATTGTGAAGCTGAAGCTTGACAATGTATAAACATTTTACTGTATTTCAAAATATTTGCTTGAAAAATAAAAGGTTCGATCAGTTCTTAGGGTAGTTATTTTTCTATCGATCAACTAATCAATTTATTGCAGCTCTAGATTGGTGCAACAATAAATAGTTCACACAGAAGGCTGTTCGGTCATAAAGTCCCTTCAGTCACCACCATCAGACCTGTAGCAAACCCTGTCACTACTGAGGCTACTGTAGCTACCGTCCCATAATGAGCAAATTAATTATTTTTAATATTTTTTATTAGTTACCCATCCATATTTTATACACACGCACACACTGCTGTGTGTGCCATATCTGGTTTTCCATCTTCAGATGGTATTATCGTGAAACAGGTATTAAATTGCATTTTATGTGGTATTAAAAAGGTCTTATATTTAACATGGTGAACCCTGCAGACACCCTGCTTACATCACACTGTGCTGTTACATGATGTGTACAGAATGATCCCTTCTTAGAAATAGTTTATTACTCAGAATTTCCTGAAATCATTTGTGCTCCTCCTGTTTTATTCTCCAATAGGATGGTCTTTCTCAGAGTGGGGATAGTCACTGCATGGATCATCAGTTCATTACTCAACATGCCTCACAGAGCTCTGAGGCAGCATTACATGGGGTTGAAAGAAAACAGAGCCCTGTTGTTGCTGTAAAAGACCCTCCACTACAGAAAGTATCCTGCAGCCGAGCGAGGTCAGACCCTGATAAAACAGATAACATGGTGACACATCAGTTGCCCCCAAATGTTGACCCAGAAGTGTTCAGGCTTCTCCCTGAAGACATCCAGGAGGAACTGTTATCTCCTGCCTACACAATCTCTCTCCCCAGCACCTCAGTGAGCTCAGTTTCAGTCGTTGATGTCTCCCACTTAACAAAAAACAAGTATCCACAGTCATCTACAGACTCGGATCTGACCACAGCGAATCACCAGAGTCCTGCAGGCACAACTGTATTTCCAGGAGAAAACATCATGGAAGAGGGGAGACTATCATTCCCCTGGTCTTCTGACTGTGAGTTTCCAGGAAATGTGGACCCTAAGGTGTTTTCTGAGCTTCCCCCAGATGTTCAAAGGGAGCTGATGTCTGAATGGAAGCAACAGAAGCCGGCCCTGAAGACCCCCTCATGCAGGAAACCAGGGAGAAGCTTGATGACCAAAGACAGAAAAGCTGCAGGAAAAGGCAGTCAGGCAAACAATTTGTTCAAGTATTTCAAACCCAGTTAGAGAAGGACATTGCCAAGTTATTTTGTTACGTTATTTTTCTTAAAGATGGAAAATATTCAATTTCCTATTGTTGAGTTCTCGTGATATGACATACTTTGTAATTGATTGTATTTTATTAAGTAAAATCTTTCATTAAATCCTGTTTTTATTGGCCAATCAGATATCTATGGAAAGCATGCCTTATACACATATATAAGTAATATTAAGTTGAATACCAGTTCACAGTGTGTGTTGTTCTTTGATAGAGGTGTAACAGGCAGCACAACATTAATTACAGATGTACAAATTGGTCAGATAGCCACAGCTTGATTTCTGATGCATCACTGAAAAACAGTAAAATAATGTTCAGTAACAGTAAAGGTGTTTTAAAAATCATGCCAAAAATAAGAACTGCACTGAAACAAAAGAGAGAATGTGGCTAATACACCAGCATTAACTGACACTATTAAGCAATGTGATTTAACAAACTACTTTTTTAGTTTGAAAAATAAAACTAAACGGAGGGTTGACTTTTTCATTTTGAATTAAAATTATATATTTCAAGTTTTTAGTGGGGTGTTTGTTTTTTTGTCCACCCCGTATGCCAGTGTTAATATGCATATCAGTTGCCTTTTTGAAAATACGAATATATTGTAAATAAAAAGCTTATTACAGATTTCATTTGACATCTACAAACTGCTTGATTTTGTTGTGCTTTGAACATCATGTGTGAATTCTCCCCTTATCTGAAGTGACCTTGTTATGTTACACTTTGTAAACATGGATCAAAATAAAATGGATCAACTAAATTCCAAAATCTTGTGGGGACCTAAATTAAGTTTTTAAGTTCACTGTTTCCATATTCTTTACACATTATTTAGAGAAGCAGGATTACTTCGCTGAGCTTCTGAAAGTGGGGCCCCGTCCTTGGTTGGACGATTTCCACTGAATTCCACAGAGCCGCACATTATTCGTCAACAGGACACAATCCAGTTTAGAAGGAGCCTTTTTTTTTTCTCATGAGAAATACCAGAAAACACAAGGTCTGTAAGCACAGCCCCGCTTATTTCTTGCTGGCATGAAACTCCTCCCTGAATCACATGTAAGACGGGGGAAAGGTTCAGGATATGCCATTGCATCATGATGGTAATTATTTTACTTAATCAGGACGAGTGGAGCGACCTCTGAATGGACGTAGCCACTTCCTGCGGAGAGACTGGTAAGGTACTTTACTTTTTTGTCACTTTAAAGGAGCTGTGAAGCCGTTTGTGTTGGGTATTTTAGGAAGTCACCAAAATACTGTTTGATGGTGTTCTCATAAACACAGTGACAGCCGTAGGTTAGAGGGTTCATTACTCAGCCTCTCCTCACTCTGCTGATTGCAAAGAATCCAAAACCAATAATTAATTAATTATGCACATGGGGAATGACTCCAGATTTCATGGTAGTATCCCGTGTCCTGTCACTGCTGTGGTGCTGGAATCTGAGTTGCATGAATGTTTCCTGAATGCACACTTGCACCTTAAAATCTTGCCAGCAAGTAGGATTTTTAGAAGACACTAATGAAAATAAATGGTGTTCTTTGGGATTGTCTGTGCCCAATGGGGTCTCTCAATCATCTCTTACATAACAATTCTGATTTTCCATGCAGCCTTTATTATGCCTGCCTGTGGTAATCGAAGCATTGCAGTGGCATCATGCAGTGTTGAGCTGTCTGCCCAGAGCCCTTCAAGTCAATGAAAGGAGTTCTGTCTGCCAAACAGGCTGTGTTTTTCACTCTGCAAAGTCTGAGAAAACTCTGGCAAGGCATTTGACCGCTCATGTGTAATTCAGCCCCAGTCATGTGCTAGTCCCTCTCTGATCAGTGCCTAATGAGTGGGGAGGTATGACGTCCTGCTAAGCCTGTGTGATGGTCCTGTACATTCAGACTGAGGACTGCAGCTGGAACTATTTCACCTTTCTTTTCTGGTTTACTCCCTCTAGATGTATTTATGTAGCCTAACCCACCTGTTACATTTCTCCAAACTCTTATTGTTTGCTACATGACCCATCAAACCAGCATAGCATTGTACTGTGAGTTCAACTCTGTGGCAGGTTGAGTGCTCAGCTGCACAATGGTTGACGCGGACTATGACTATCTGATCAAGCTGCTGGCACTGGGGGACTCCGGGGTGGGAAAGACCACCTTCCTCTACAGGTACACCGACAACAAGTTCAACCGCAAGTTCACAACCACAGTGGGCATTGACTTCAGGGAAAAGAGAGTGGTGAGTGTTGCTCAGTACCTAATACTGTATGTTTTGCTGGACACATACAAGGCCTCAAATGCTGTCTTCACTGTGTGATTCTTTACTTAAAATGTATGTAACTCAGCTCAGGGGTTGGATGGAATCGTCATGAGCTTTGTGGTTTGGTTCAGATGTACACAGGGACAGGTGCCGATGGGATGACTGAGAGGAACTTCAAAGTCCACCTTCAGCTTTGGGACACAGCGGGACAAGAGAGGTAGATCTAACCTCTTGATCACAATATATATTAGACATGTTAATTTGAAGCCCCAAAGGGTAGGAGTTGAACATTTCTAGCTTTTGCAGTAACAGCAGTGTTCGTGTCACTCCTTCAAACAAATTAAAACCTAGGGACACCTGAGAATCAATGGGAAGAAAGTAAGCAGCGTATTGTCCATGATTGGCACATAATTAAATTAAACAAAAACTAATACCATCAGAAAAATTAGAAAAATGCCAGAACCACAAAAACAAGACAAAGAGTCTGCTGCAGCCAGACATTTGCTAGTTAGCATTAAACAGAGAAAAGGGCTTATCTTCCTGGGAGCTTGATCGTCTGTACGAAATGCTGTGACAATAGATGAAGAGATATTTCTGTAAAAGGTAAAAGTTACAACCTGCTGGTGCCGCTAGAGAAGACAAGGGGTCGCCAAAGTCAGTAGGATTCATCTTCTGGGGAGCATGAATGTCTGTCTGTCAAGGCAATCCATCCAACAGGTGACAAAATATTTCTGTCAAGACCAAATGGAGGACCGACCAACTGTTAGCACGAATAAAAATCTACACATGGGAGTTTTACACTCTATGACAAAAGTTGTCCATTTGTTTTCAGGTTCCGCAGCCTCACCACAGCTTTCTTCAGAGACGCCATGGGCTTCCTGCTGATGTTCGACTTGACCAATCAGCAAAGTTTCCTCAACGTCAGGAACTGGATGAGTATGTGTCATCTCAGCAGCCTGCTCTGCTACAGATCAATACTCTTCTCGATCAATGTTTTCTCTCCTGTTGCCACTAAGAGTGAGATGCAAAGCTGCCTTTTCACTCTTGAGTAAGGGAATTCCTGAACAGTGTTTCAAGTTTGCTCATGCATGTCTACTTGCCTCACATGGGTTTTTAAGTGACTTCCTCTGTGTTGGTTCAGGTCAGCTACAGGCCAACGCGTACTGTGATAGTCCAGACATTGTGTTGGTGGGCACCAAGGCTGACCTCCGAGATGTGAGGGATGTTCACTCCAGACAGGCTAGAGATCTGGCAGACAGATATGGGTGAGGCATTACATCTGGGCTATTGTTTAGTATAGTGAAGTGCAGTGCAGATGAACGTATGTCACTGCCTTCTCCCACTAACCCAGGCATACATCTCTTATAGCACAAGAAAACATTTCACCAGACTCTATATATTCTCTTTACGTTAGAAAACACTCAAGTCAAACTCAAAGCGTAGGTAGATTTTAAATTACCCTCAGTTGAGCCACCTCACATGCACCAGACTTCACTCCACACTGGTGCAAAAACAACAACAATATAATACATTTCAATTTAATCTAACAGATGACCTGTTAGATTGAATTGAAATGTATGATATTGTTGCTTATTTTATTTTCCAGCAGTAAGCGAGATAACTGCCTTTAAGAAAATGAGTAATTATTTAAACTAAAATGCACAAAATTCACAGGCTACTGTAATGAAAAGATTTTACTCTATAATATTACATTAAATATCATTGTTTTTTACTATTTAGTGAACTTAGTTCAAAGGGAATTAAAGGATTTATCAGGAAACAAATTAACAGGTTAATGGATAATGAAAACATTTGTTGGTTGGTTTATCGCAGTTTCCAGTTTGTACTTTTACATTTTTGTAATTTTGGTGATGGGCTCTCCCATTGTTAACATTTGTGTGCCTTGACCTCGTCTCCCGCTGCACGTCTGGTGTGGTCTGTTTTAGTTTCAACTTTTTTAATGTCAATTCTGTTTGTGTTTGTCAACAGTTTCTCATGATTTTGAGGACTTTCTCCCTAAGACATGTTAAGTAATGTTATTAAGACATTTTCAGGTGTGTTTGTAACTTAAGTAATATTACTTAAGTGTTATTTATTCAAGTGTTTAGAATATTTTGTCCACCCCCACTGTAGATGACAAATGACTAAATATGCGTACACCACGGGACGGTGCTAGTGAGCTGTGTTCAACCCTGCTCCACTGATCTGATTTGATTCAGCACAGTGGGTTCCAACCTGTGGGTCAAGCCCCCCTCAGGGGGTCGCAAGATACATGAGATTAAAATAAAATACATTAAAATACTTTAAAATACATCTTATAAATCTTTTTAGACTTTTGCTGTTTTTGCCTTTTTGCAAAAATAAAATAAATTAAAATCACTTTTTGTTTGAACTACTCAGGACTAATAACCATATGCAAACTGTGACAAGGGTTACAAGTAGATTTTTCTCTTTTAGGAGTCAAAGAAAAATTGATTCAGCAATCACACACATACACACAATATGGTCACTAAACATCAGCTTATCCATGCCCCACTTTCCTAACCGTTTCATAGAAAACTACTCTCCCTGTTCCCTTCAGCATCCCCTACTTTGAGACAAGTGCAGTGACGGGGGTTGATGTGAACCAGGCAGTCACTGCCCTGCTCGACTTGGTGATGAAGAGAATGGAGCAGAGCACTTACGGCCACAGCTCTGAACCCAACGGCAGCCCCGTCGCCAGTCATGAAGTGGAGGAGGCCCCTGTCAGGAGGAGGTGTGCCTGCTGATGTTGCCACCAGCAGCCACTCTTTTCACGTTTGCCCCAGTTTACACTGCATTTTTAAAATGATACAGTTTTCTCGAGCTTGACTGGGGTGTCTGCTAGATGAGGCAGAAGATCACTTGAGATTGTAAAATCAACAAAAATATAATCCATACTTGAGAGGACTAGTACTTAGGAAAATTGGCCCATTTCACTTAAAGCAATATTATTAGAGTGTGAATTCCTCTCTTAGTATTTGCTCTCTGTCATGTTATTTATTCACAGCCTGTGTGTTGTTAAGTGAGTAAAAGAGGGGAGAGGGTCAGTGCCTTTAAACATTCAATATAGACCAAATGGTTGAGATACAGCAAAAACAAAATGTAAATAATCATCTTCAAATGGGTCATATCAGAGAAAAATACTGTTTTTATTTGACACATTTAGGCATTGATGGAAGGAATATGCAGGCACATAACGTATATTTATCATGACGTATAATCAAAAAACATTTAAGACATTTCTTATATGGACGATCATTTTTGTTAGAACAACCAAGATAGCAAAGTCCCTTACATGATTTATGACTTTTTTACGACATGTACATAAGCAGCCAAGCTTTTTTATGCATTATGGAACAAAGTTGCCATGCAGATCAAACACAAGTACAAGAATGTTAAAGGGTTGTCGGAACAAATCCTGTATAGTGCTGCATATGGAATAAAGACATTAATGTTATGTTTAGGTTATGTATGTCAATGTCTTGTCATTTAAATGTAATGCACAAAGAGCTATATTGTTATTCTGACTGGAATTACAATCCTCACAGACTTGTTAGCATCATTATCGTTTAAACACATTCTACACATTGATTTTAAAAATCAACAAAATCAAAAAATCAACAAAACTTTTTGGAGAAGGAAAATGTCACAAATAAATTCCACCACATTACTTTGGCTGAAGCCAAGAAAGCAAGAGATTTTAGATGATTTTGTGCCACAAAAAGTGATATTTAACATCAAATTCAACATCAAAAAAAGAGATATTCTACATTTTCTATAATAATACTCCAAAATAAATTCCAAATAAATAAAATAACATTTCTCCTTTGAACACGTGGTCTTTGGTGTACAAAACATTCCTAATGAAGGGACTACATAAATTATTCTTAAATATACAAACCTATGACATCAATTAAATTGCCAGTTATTCAGCTATTCATACTTTTTTCATCAGATATGTGTTTTTATGGTTGTGTGGTGACTGCACTGTGATATGGAGACAGAAACGTCGCCCAATGAGACAGACAAAAAACGCTTTGTGTGAGACAGGATGGCACACAAATGCCTGCCACGCTTAATATGAATGAGCACAAAAGCACACACACTACATCTGGAGAGTGTGAATGACTGCATTGCTCTGTGTATTAAACCTCCGCCTAAGCCAGAATTTGCAAGAAGGAGCACATGTTGCGGAGTCATGAGATGGTCATGTGGCAAGCTTTCAGTGTTTGGGCCCAGTTGTCCTTAACCCCATATCCGCAAATCTGCTTCAGTCTGGCATGATACAGTATTTTGAGAACCCAAGGTTATCTACAATTACAAAAAATAAAGCTTGTTCATTTTTAAGTTGATTTGTAGATGTTTGGTCCCATGTGGAATAAGTAGTAGGGTTCTTTTCTAGCCTTCAAAGATCTCTCATACAAAGACACTGGTGGCATTCTTAAGGAATAGACCATCAGAAATACAAACAATAGCAAATAACTAAATTTTACCCTCAAACAATCATCAAAAAGGTTGTATAAAACTAGCCGAAAATATTTGTTAGTGCCTCACATGCGATGGCATTTAAATGGATCGTGCTCTTCATACAAGATGCAGTAAGTTGTATAACATTCATTAAGTTCTCTATTTCATGTCACAAATATTGGAATTGATATGGCTACATGACGAATAAATATCTGTCCCCCAGTCAACAAAAGCTCTGTAATAAATAGTGTATTCTCTTCATTAGTATTTAATTGAAATAGTGGTAAACCTCAAGATCAGTTGTTGATATATCTTGAATAAATGAAGAAATTGTGTCCAAAATGCTGTATTTCCTGATGTTTTTAGCCACGCTAGCGCCATTATTTAGGTCACAAGTCTGCTAGGTCGGATCAAACTTTACATTTTTTGCCCCTTTATTGTTAAGAATTGCAAAATTGTCTCTCCATTTTTCATTAATGAGCCAGTAACAGCTGTTCTCTAGTTTGCGTTTACTAAGTGGAGCTTTACACAGGACTAAATGAAAAGTTTCACCATACAAAGTAGTTCTTAGGTAAATATCAGTTGTTACTAAATATTTTCACCCACTTAACTGTCAGGTTATCCAGCTAAATGAGAAAGGTTAGCTTGCACACATATGGCTGGATTAGATACAAGGGTAGAAGAGATAATGTGCAATTCATTTAACTCTGTTAAAATGTAAACTTGGGAGATTTGAAATTGCACTTATAATACACCTCAGATTACAAAATGTTATGCCAGTAACATTAGACATTTTATGACAGAATAACATCAGTTAGGTTAGCATAATCGAATATTTGCTAATCAAACTGCATGAATGCTACTAGCTTGTCTCAAACACATAATTTCTCTGTGGATGTATACAAAACACAAAAGTCATACCTTCATTTACTGAATTGGCAGTTGTTTGCCCCCCTAAAACCGTTGAAAGTTATGTTATAGGTTACATTAATAAAGTATTTACTAGCTAAGACACAGTATTGACTGTGTTTCGACAGTTCGTGAAATAAGCTTCTTGTGAGTTGGTCTGTAAGTTCAGTATGAAGCTGGAGCCAGCAGCCGGTTTGCTTAGCTCTGTTGTAAAAAAGCAAGGAGATATGTCATTAACTGCTCCCTGAATAGTAATAGTAGCAACTTTAGAAGGTTAAAATAGTTGTTTTTTTGTCGTGCAGACTAAATAATAAATTTGAAATACCGTCAGAACAGAGGTAATTGTTCTGCTTTATCAAAGACCACGGGGTATTTATTTTTTGTAAAATCAAGGCTCCATGACTTGAATGTAGCCGCTAGCGTGGCTATAGTCTACTGGAACATATTTCAAACGTCTTACAGTCTCAGAACCTAATGGCCGATACCACTTTCTAAAATTCAGTATTATAATGACAACACACTATCGTCTGTACACGAATTTATGGCTTATTGTTGGAATGTTGATGTTTGAAGAACCTCAACACAATTTGTCACATTGTCTACAGAGAATAACATACACACAAGTTTTTATATATATATTTATGTGTGTGTGTGTGTGTGTGTGTGTGTGTGTGCATGTATCTAGAATATATATATAGTACAGTCTTGTAAACAAATACCATCTTATCTTCCAGAGCAGTGCAGATTGTCTGACACCTCGTGGGGGAAAAAAGGCCTGAAAACAGGAACCACACCTCTCTTGAGGCATTGAATCTGATTACAAAAAAACACTGATCTAACTCCTTCCCTGAGATTAGGCAGTGATTTCAGTGTACAGAATCAGTATACTGTTGTAAAAGGCGATTAATCAATCGATACTGTGTTAAACAGAACTGGAAGGTTTAACTGTTTGTGTTTCCACAGCTGAATCCCCTGCGGACTCCAGTTAAAATAGACGTTTGTTCTGTTCAAGCTGTTTAACCACGGCCAGCAGCCATGCAGAGGAGAGTAATGAAAGCAAATGAGCAGCTTAAAAGTCCTAACTGTAGTACTGAAGACAACAAAATACCGAATGAGCAACAATGCTGTGACATGTCTGAGATCTACATCCGGAGTGAGCCTGACATCTTCAAAATGTGAAACTACAGCGTGATGTGAGTGTGTGTTTGTAGAGGGAGGTTGTCATAAATTGCCTTAACACTTATCATGCATTCTGGGTCACAACAGAAGTTTGAGCTGAGCTGATGTATCTGGGACACGGTCTCTGGAGTCACCGCTTAAACCAACCAGCACTCATTGGACGTCTAAGAGCAGTGCGTCAGGCTGAGTTTAATCACGCCTTCCCTGTGCAGCTTGTAGAGCAGCTTGAACTCGCTGGGTAGCTGGTGGGTCTCCTGCCACTTGGTGGTGAATTTGGTCCCTTTCTTGTCGTAGTAGTGGTAAGGCAGATCCTTGCCCGTATTGGGGTCCCAGCCGAAGGGCCAGAAACCATAGAGATGGATCTCGTCGCACATGGCGGAGGCCAGCGTGTACATGAGGATTCCAGTGCTGAGACGCTTAGGGGAAAGGTTTTTAGTTTTCCAGTATCTGTGAGGGAAAAGACAAGTCAGTCATGCAAAATCAGACATTGAATCCAAATACCTTTTCTCAGAGCAAAGTTTAATCCTTCATCACTCTAGTCTGACACAATCTCATTTATTGTATTGTATGTTCTCTATCTGATCTGTTTTTTTCCCCTGTCAGTTAATGTAACAAAATTATACTCAAGGCCATAGGAGGATCACAAAGCTACATATTGTATGTGTTCAGTTAAAGTTGCTATAATCCATATTTGTATATTAACAATCGATCAAATTACTTTTTGTATGTAAAAAGGGGTTGCTTGTAGTGACAAACCCACAGATATTATTAGTGTCAGTAAGTTTTCCAGCCCGTAATTTTACTGTTTGGCTCTCATCAGCATTGTTTCTGGAGACACAAAAAAATGCTGTCTCTATATCAACTTATAAAGGCTATAATTCGCAACCCCGCAAGTGGCCAAAGAAGTCAGTTAATGCAGATTTAACTGCTAGATAAAGGTCTAAATGCTGTTTCTGAGTTTGCATATTAAACTAGTTGGCCAAAAAGTAGTCAAATTGAAGTAATTAAACTTAAAGCAAATCCACCATGTGTACGTTTGTAATTGTTGGATGTAAAGTCCCTCCGGGTTGCAAAGTCACCCAAAGTTGCAGCCCTTATAATTTTTTTTAGTCAGTTTGACTTCAGTTGACAAAACTCTCAATTCAACAATCAGATCAACACTCTTACTTGTTGACATCGTGCATGATGTTTCCTGGCCAGGCCAGTTCCACCTTCAGCTGGCCCTTGTGCTCCACAAAGAAGTCTACCAGGGTCCTGGTTACTGTTGCTGAGGTATGGAGGAAGAAAGCCGGGATCCACAGGATGGCTCCCTCCAGCTTCTTCAGGTTGAGGAAGAAATTATTCCTGTCTTGAATCGTCAGCAGGTTATTGTAGTACCTCTCCAGGATGCTGGGGTTAAAGGTGGTCAGGTTGGTCTTCCTGCCGACGTCTTTGGAGTAGACTTCCGTGGGGGCAAAGTTGCAGCGGAAGACAAAGTCAGCCTGGTCGATTTCTGGGCCACAGTGGCTGCCAGTCAGGATTCCGCTGTTGCCCACCACAGAGCATATGCTGTAATGCTTGTTGTGGATAGGAGAGGTGTCTGGGAGCAGGGATTTAAAGTTGTTGCTGATGGAGAAGACATACTTGTGGCTGGAGTAGTCAAAGTGCATCAACTGGCCAACACGCACACTGTTCTTTGTGAGGGAGAAGTTGGTGGGAATGTCGATATAGTTGAAGATATCTTTCCTGTAAATAGAGAAACACTTGTCACACGCAGATATAGGAGATGTACATTTATATATTTGGTAGCGTGTTGTCTTATTTCTGTAGGTAAACTACACTTGCTATCTAATACCATAATGTCTTTGGAACACCATCCAACCAGCACACAGTAACAAAAATGCAAAGACACCAATTTCATAACTGACCACATCCTCAATAAATAAAAATGTGATGCAGCCACAAGACATGTTGCGTAAGTAGCTATCACTTACTGACAGAGTTGCAGCCATTAGTAGATAATTTGATCAGTACAAATGGTTCTCCTTTCATCACAGTTGAACTGGTGTGCCGATGCCAAGACTCTTAAACATACTAGAAACTGTCTTACAGTAACAGTGTCACAGTATCGAAGAAGGAACTGTGTTTTCATCCAATGTCTTAAAAATCTTCCCTTTAACTGAATGGCCACATTGTTGCCCAGACTTCACCTTAGGCTGAGCAAACCCTGCCAATAACCAGAGGTGCAAAACCTTAACGAAATACAGAAAATAGTTGAGAATTCAAATCTCTTACCTCTGCTGATAAAAAGCAGTCTTGTTGAACTTCCATTTGGACGGTTTTCCTTGGAGCTCCTCATTCAGGGCATTAGTTAATGGGATGAAGGAGGGGTCCAGGAAATTCATGGCAAACTGAGACCTGCAAACAATCATGAAAAATAACAGATTTTAATTGTTTTGAAATATCTGCACTGGTTCATTAAATATAAATATATAAAATTAATGTAGTGGAGTAAAAAGTACAATATAGAAAGTAAAAGTGACTATTTACTTTGAGATGAGTTTAGCACAGTAAATATTCCCCCTGAAATGTGGTGGCGTAGAAGTATAAAGAAACAGGGGATGTAAATACTCAAATTAAGTGCCTCGAAATTCTACTTAACTACTTGAGTAAATGTTCTTTTTATCAACTGTCTTAGAAGCCACAAAAACTATATGTGATGTTGATGAACAGTTAAATCAGTCATGTAGTGTCAGAAAACAACAACGTGCAATAACCCTTTAAATATCAACTGTACCTATATATGATAAATGATGTATTTTAAAAAGTACATATCATCATTATCTAAGCAGACTGTATATAGACCTACTGTATTTAGGCTCTACATGTTTACTGTAGCCTATATAACCACATAATTGTTGTCCTTATTTCTGTCTTATAAATTGGAACTGTGTGTAAGTACATTTCAGTAGGCTACAATTCCTTGTTCATGTACAAATACTTGGCCAATAAAGATGATGCTTCTGATTCTGATATTACATTAACAGAATGTTTACTTTACTTTACTGTATCAGCATCAGCACCTCGGACAGCTCACGGTTCGAGTGACAGCAAGAATATGGCCCAAATTGAAGGGAAAGTGATGCGTTCATCTCGTGCATCACATCCAGGTTGAGTCGTGCCCACTAGGCCTGCCTCTGTTTATATTTACAACAACCCAGGTCGGCATCATATTCCGCTACCTACAATATCTTCTGGGTGGGGGAAAAAAAAATATCACTCACCGAAATCCTGCATGAAACATAATCCTCGGACCTCCCATGTAATATTTAGAGGAGCTGAAGAGGCTGTCTTTCCTCAGGGACACATAGCTGATGAGCGACAGTATGAGCACAGCGACGCACAGAATAACCAAACCCAGGGCCTTGGCGATGCGGACCATCTTGGGAGCGTTTTCATTCCCTGTATGTAGCTGCAGCGAGGCGTTGGCCTATATTGTCATCGCCGGGACCGCACACTGCCTGTCTGCAAGGCACAGACAAATTGGCGCTCATCGGCTCATGTAATCGTATAAAATGGACGGCTGGTGATGGTCGGCTGCATGGTGAAGATGCCGCGGCTCGGTCCGCTCTCATTCCTCTGCCTGCCTGCCTGCCCAGCCCCCCTGACTGCTGCTGCTGCTGCGACTCCCCTCCGGGCTGCCGGTTTAATCAAGGAGATGGAGCAGAAATGCGTGTCAACACATGCAGCCAGCTAAAAGACAAGCCCCATCCTTCACCACCACCAGCAGCAGCATCATCACCAACCCCACACCCTTTCTTTCCCACACACCCACCCAACACACACACACACACACACACACACACACGCACACGCACGCACACACACACACACACACACACAGACACACACGCACGCACTCGCGCGCACGCACGCACTCGCGCGCACACACGCACACACACACACACACACACACACAGACACACACACAGGGCCAGGCTTCTCTGCAGCATAAAATAAAGCTTGTGCGATAATAGCCTACAAGACACCCTGCCTGGTGTCTTCTGATGTTTAATCTGAGCATCAGAGTTGGCCTAAGTGATGCTACTTTATACCTACTCCACTAAATTTCAGAGAGAGAACTTTTTACTTCACTACCTTTGTTTGATGGCTTTAGTCACTATAGTTCAATTGCAGATTCCGATAATTAACACAAAATTAAATCAACAAATCAATTATGAAGTGTGTTTATTATTAGATACACTGGTTGACTAGATGAGCCTTTATTAATGTGGGAAATGTTGCAGCAGCATGACAGAAACAGACCTGAGTAAATAGTTAGAAGTGTATAAAATAAAATAAAAAATAAGAATAAAATAAGAATAGAAATAGTAATAGAAACTACACAATCCAACTCAAATACCCATGACCAGTGTGCGCTTAATTAATAGTGCAGTACTGTCTCAAAGTGACATAGTGGTGTGTTTAATGGCAGCAAAGTACATGTCAGAGTAATGTGATACCATACACTGTAACAGCACACAGCAGAATACTATATAATGTGATTAAGTAATAATACTTAGTGCAGGTCTGTATTTATATAGAAATATGATGTAGAGCATCATGTAATAAAATAGTATAACATAGTATAATACAGCAATATAATATAAAATATTATAAAGTATAGTATATAATAAAGTATGATAAAAATGTTATGTAAGTAAGTAAGTAAACTTTATTTGTATTGCGAACACACGAAGTGCATTACAACAACATTAACATTTACACAACAAAAAAACTGATAAAGAAAAGAAAATGACCACTCAAGCTATAAAACAGCCTTACATAAAAATACATAATAATTGCCCAGTACATAGTAAGATACATGATAAATACACAGTAAGTGGTAAAATAATTCACAATCTGTATAAACAACATGTTTACTCTTGATTACTTTTACTTTACTCTGTGTTATTGCTACTTTTACTGAAGTTAAGAGTGAAAGAGTTGGCCTACTTCTTCCACCACTGCATGTAGGCATCTTGGTATAACTTTATGATTAATGTACAAAACACATGATTACAACTAACTGAACGTATGACGATTTATTGCAGATACATCATGAATTCCTGAAATAGTTGTGTGATTATTTAACACTTAATGGATCATCAATAACAAGTTACTTCTCATTTGAATTTGTTTATATTCCAAATGAGCAGAAATCCAGGTACATAGATATCAGGTGTATCAGATTCATGCATTTTAACAGTTTGATATTGAAGCTGTTTTTATCATCATAACATCTACATATTGCTGCATGACCCTGCTGTCAACAAAACAATCTCACAATTCACAATAAGATTTCTGACGGAATATTAATATACCCAGAGCTGCCCTGATTTGTACACCAGCACCTTCTAGAGGTTTTTCATTTGGTGGCATAGTTATGCATTACTTAAGCAGGTATTTTGTCCCAGCATCATTGTTGTTTAAGTAATTATTATATGTGGTTTGGGTTTGTCTTGACTACACAGATTATTTCTATATGTGGAGAAGTCAGCTGACGTTGCAGTTCTTCAATAAACCACGTTTAACCCTACTCAAGTGAACCAGAAAAAATGTGTTTCCGGTTGTTCTCAATGTGCAAACATGCACATTGGATGCATGCATACATACAAATCCTGTATATGTATACATGCAGATGAGTGATATGTAACCGTCCACTTCATGTATATAGTCATGTTAAATTAGGCATTCAAAATTTATTCCTTTGCACTATTTGTTTATAATTTACAGTTTGACTTTTATATACAGTGTTGTTGTTCATTGTTTGTATACACACCTGTTTTTTCACCTACTTGTATGTACATAGTAATTCTGTTCACCTTTATCTATGTTCAGCTTTGTTGCTTTTGGCTGTATGTCTATTTCTATCTACCTCTAAATTGTTCTTGGAACTGTGTGCAACACTGAGAGCAACATAAAGCTTACATTCCTTGTATGTGTACACATACTTAGCGAGTAAAGCTGATTCTGAATCTGAATTGAAACAAAGAAAAAACTACTGGTAGATAAAAAGCTTTTTTTTATTGGGAAGGATTATTTCTGACCCTTCCAACATAATCCACATTATATCCAAATACAACACACATTATGTAGCATTCACGAAACATACAGGTTTTTCTTATTTTTTTACATGTTATGTACATTTTTTAAAAAGTTTTACAGTAAGCTTATCTTTGAAAACATGAACAACATCCATTCATAATCACAAATTTCAATTTATCCATGCATATACAGTCTGGTATTTTCACACTACAATGTCATATACGTCACATTGTGTTTATCAAACAATTGCAGAATACTGTATATATATGTGTGGCATTGAGTATAAAAAATACAAAAAAAGACTGAGGATGTGCTAGTATGTTAGCTGGTATTCAACAGCGAGTGTACCTCATGACTGACATCCATAAATTCTCCTTTGTGCTTCGCTATTTTTCCTGGAATGTGTCGAGTACGGACACAAAGAAACACTAAGAGAACATCTTGGAAAAAGACATTCAGATGTATTGCCATCAAGCTGCCACGATATTGCAATTTTCCATTTTGCATTATTACGATATGTTGGGGTTTTTTTTATATTAAAGAAAGAGACGGTAAACTGAATTAACACAGGCACTTAATGAATCACTTGGCCTACCTAGGTTGCGCACGGTTTGACAAGTGAAACACACAGGTTTGCTCTGAAACACGGTGACCACCTTAAATCAGTTACAGTTAAGGGGACAAATACACATCTGTCACTACTGCACAATGAGGACTCCTCACTTTCTGCCGTTGAGAAAGGCGGAGGGGAAGAAGGCTCCTTCGCCGTCACTTCCTGGCGAGCCCCACGGGCTGTCTTCTCCACAGCTCATGTCCTCACAGGAGTCCTCGCTATGAGAGAAGAGGCGGCCATTATTACTCGATGCTGTGTTTAATCCACCCTCATATTATAATGAACTATTCTACTGCTGTTGTGGGAGCAATCTGTGTTCAAAACCCTTATTTCATCTTATTAGGTTTATCTTTCAACACTTATAAGTAACTAACAGCTAAAATAACTACAACTCAAATATGTCTAATCACCTTTTGTTGGCTGAGAAGGAAGAAACACAACAGAGGAAGCCTAATTACTGTGAGTACAACCTGAGCGGCAGCTAATTAAATATATCTGATAGATTCAATTGGACTTCACTTGCTACTGTCTTTAAAACTTTAAAAAAAAATGGACAGAAAGCCTGTTACAAACAAAAGAAGTGTGGCGCTTGACACCGGGGACTAATAGTCAGGGTATCTCAGGACAAACTTGCTACAATGCCCCTTTATTCTGCCACAATTTGGTAAAATATCAAGCACAAATATCAAATATTCAATGGTTCCAGCTTGTCAGACGTGACAACAGCTGCTTATCACTGTTTTGTATAAATGTAAAGTGAACATATCTGTTTATTGGACTGCTGATCGGACAAACAGACATGTGAAGACGTCAGCTTGGGTTCTGGGAAACTGCGATGGACATACTACACTCTTTTCATGGTCAGAGTGATACACTGACATATATATAAATTAAGGCTTAGGTTGGTAAGACTATCTTCTCCAGTACACATTTAACCATACATGGATTCAGTTCAACTCTAAAATGGAACTTTTTATTTTGTGAATTACTGTTAGCAGCTGTGTCTGACTCGTGAATTGGAGGACTCCATTCAGGAAGGACCACTTTGTTAATATCTCACTATCACAGCACAGCATATATTCAGTCAGACGAACTGCTGAATGAATGAAAAGAAAATACTGGACTATTAACCTCTCGCTGTCGCCCCAGCTCCCCTCAGGAATAGTTGGCAGACCAGGTACACTGAAATGATTGGCCTGGAGATTCTGTGCTGTTCTCCTGGACACGATCCAAACAAGCTTTTTGTTGTCTGGTTTGTTACATTCGCTTGAGCGGTATTCAGTCATGCACTCGGCCACAAGTTCCTTCCAGTGGAGCAGCTCGCTGTCGCTGATCTGCGAAGAAGACAAAGAGGAAACATTTGAGAGGCTGCAGGCAGAAAGTCTTCGAATATGCTGTCCTCAACAAGTCAAGTATTTTTACACCAACACGTGGTCAGGCTGTGATGCTGTCATGCCACCTTGTGCAGTTTCAACACAAGTATTTGTAATACAAAGAAAAGAAATGTAAGAAATGCTGGAACTGGAGGTGAAAAGAAATAAAACTTTAGCACATTAGCCATATGAGAGAATTAAGAGCAAACGATACTGATGAATAGAGAAAATAATCAGTTGCAGCCATACTCTTTTTATACCTTAAGATGTCTTTGGAACTGCTGCACAATCTTCAACAAGGTGTTGGACCGGAGGGCCTCAAACTCCTGAGCAATTAGGGACAGTGCCAGCACAGATGGCTGCGAACAAGAAAAAGAGCAGATGAATAAGTACCAGCACTCAAAATTAATGCTGCTATGCTGTGAAATGGTCGCCTGAGAACAATCCTTACTTTTGCTTTAGAGAAAACAAGCCGGCATAAGCAGGCTTTTAGCTGGGCTTCCAGTCTCCCAATGCTTGGGATCTCCTCCCTTAAAATATAGAGGGAATCCTAATGTGATCCTCCAGTACAAACCTCATAAAGCAGACTCTATTTGACCAACTCCATGAAAACTGGAGCAATGCATCAGTGATAGCAATAAACGTGAGCACAAAAAAAAAATGTTTACCTTCCAGCAGAGAGGGATGTGAAGGCTGAGTAGTAGAGGTGTAGAAAGGTTAAGGCTGTCACTACTTCTGGCTCCACACTCAGCTTCTCAGAGATGATCTTCTCCATACGACTGAGGTCTGACACAGTGAATTTGCTTTGGCTGATGCGAATGAGTTCATGTGTGGGTGAGACATTGCTCTCTTCTTCGATCATTTTGGCTGAAATGTGAAGACAGCAGACTCCAATACAGGGCAAGTGTTTGGGCTGCACCTGTCACAATAGCACAACAGTGAGAAGAGTGAGTCAACATGATTGAAGGTCAAACAAGGTCATTGTTGTTGCGCTTTCTTCTTACTGGTGGTCCAAAAGTGATACAAAAGTACGTTAAAGAAGTAGGTGGAGTTAAAAAATGACAACAGTACACAGATTCATGTCGTAGGTTGAAACAACATTAAATCTTTTGTTATATTCCTACCTTCATGATGGTGAGGAATCTGTCAAGCAAATTGACAGCTTGAACAAAGGTTTGGGTGCTGTAGCCAAAGAAACTGGTCAGGCCCCACAGTTCCTCCACTCTGGTGTCTCTACATTTCGCAGACACTCCACTGTGATTCTGAAAATGCACCATTATATAGACAGATAAACATCAGTGGAAATAGCATATATTTTTAGAAAACCCACATGCCTGCACAGACAGCCAAAAATATAAAATTGGGTCAGTGGGTCACCTCTGTGGAAGCCGACTCCATCAGCTTCAGGCCAGTCTCTCTGGGAAGAAAGTTGTACTCTTTCGCACAACACGACTTCAGCTCTTTCAGGAGTAAGCTGTCAATGGCTTGAAGATTCCTCATCCTTGAAAACAACATATTTCAGTGGTTCTGCCTGGCAATCACAGAGAGAATCAACAACAGTATGGCGCAGGGAAACAACTGTGGTCCCTACGAGTGTTACGAGTGAGGAGAAGAGGGCATTATGTCGTCTCCTAGACCACACCTACTGGGTGTCAGCTATCAGTGGAAGACCCCTCAAACGCCAAAACCCTACACATTCCTGATCTTATTTAATCATAATATTGTTGTTACAATATTACAAACTGGTTAAAGGGAATACTGTGTAAAAGGAATGTCCTTAAGTAAAATAATTAAACAAAAAAAAAATCAAAGTTAATGTTTACATGAGCTAAATGTCTACTGTCCAAGAGAAACTAACGTTAGGTCACGTAATCAATCATGACAGGGACGCTATTGCACATTTCAGAAGAAGTAGATTTAGAGTGTTAACTTGAAAATATGAAGTTAAGGTAAAACAACAATAAATGCCCAAAAAGCTGAAGGCGTCACAAACCCACATAACGGCAATGTTAGATAGCTTAACGTTAGCTTTCCTGCCAGCGAAAATCAACAACCCGTCGTCTTACCTTGCCCAGAAGCCACCGACGTGCAGGATAATAACAGCGCTGCAACTTAGCTATACGTCTCAGTCCATCATGTTTGCATTGTGATTATGATGATGATCGGAAAATGATAAAAACAAGATCCTTGTTCCCTGCTACAAAAAGAGGGTCCGCCCTGAATTAACAAACAACCGCTGACCTACTTGCAAACGACAATGACCATCATGCACCACTGGAAACGCCTTCAGCGTTACGTCTTAATAAACTGAAGGAAGACAGCGGATGTCGATTGTTTCAAAGCGTTGGCGCTAATGTTGATTTTGCCCTCATTTTGATGTCAGCTTTACTCAACCAAAGGCTCGACTAACCTGTCAGATCAGACAATGTTAAGTATGTTAAGTATTAGCGCCAAAATACACCAAATCACAGATAGCATAACGTTAGCTAGGACTTAGCCAGGGTTGCTGTTTCCATGGTGATGAAACTACGTTTAACGACAGTACTACTTACTAGCACGCTACTGATTTTAGCTAATCTAAGTTAGCACTTTAATTGTTTGCTAGACCAACAGCTTGATTACTAATGTGAACAGATATGTCATCTGGGTTTCAACCCTCCGACCCTCGGAGTGTTGAGCTTTCCAGCAATAATCACGTTTTACAAGTTGAATCTCCATCGAAACACACAAGAAAAACACAAGCAGCAGCAGGAAAAACTGGTAAGCTAAGCTAAGGTAACATTAGAGGGGGTATCCGTTAGCTAACTAACTAAGAGGACAGTTTTGTTAACATTATTATTAAATTGTTCAGTTCCTAGAGTCATTTGTTGGTCTTTCTTTACAGAGACACATGACGCCTCTCCTCGGCTGAGATTTAACAGCCTAACACTGGATGAACTGAGGTAACTTAACTTGCTAAAACTAACAAGGCAGTCTGCATACACGTGATGCCAAAATGTTTTGTAACAATTTACTCATTTAAGCTAAACCCCAACTCAATGAGCTGCCACTGCTTTAGCTCAAGATTTTTTTTTATGTGTCAATCCAAAAGATAGCATGTTGAAGTGAGAACTCTAATAGCAAACGTGGTTATTAAGGTCAAGGTTCATTTATATGTAATTTTACATCACAGAGTTGAACAATTAAATGTAAGTTGTAGTCGCTTCACACTACACGCACATAGAACACAGGAAAATTACACAATGTATCAATTACTAATGAACATATAATTAAATACCTATACATGTATACACACAGAAAGACAGACACAAAACTTGTAACAGAGAATAAACAATAGAATCAAAATGAAACCAAAATAACACCCAGACTATACCTAGTGTACGTTCCTCCATTCAAACTGTAAGCAATGATCTGACCTCTGAATGCCCCTCTTGTTTTTGTTTACTTGATTTTTAAAGGAAGGCTGTTCCATGGTGCTATGACATCACTATAAAGTATACCTTCCATCCCTCCTAATTACATTTTTTTTACAGTGAGGAGCTTGACAGGCGCACCAAGGAAACCCAGAGGCTTCAGGAAGAGGTGGAACATGCAACCAAACTGACCTTGGAGAGATTTGGCTGCACATACGGCATTAAAAGCCCACATGGACAAAGCTGCCACAACCACAGGTTTATTGTCTGTGAGTACCAGCGGCGTCAGTAGCCAGACTGATGAAAAAATGTATGTGTTAAGAAATTGGTCAGGTGAATAATCAGGCCAGTATCTGGCATTTGAGATAATTAGCGTGCGAAATTACGTCCCTTCTGACAATCTGATATTGATTTCACTCTTCACAGCACCCACATTGTGACACAAAGATGGAAAACCACCCCGAGTGGTAAAGCTGAAGGTTCATCTCAGTTATCTACGTGATTTGGTTTCGGAAAAAGATCTAAATCACTGGACTAGATTTGTAGGGGAAAATCACTATTGAAAGATATCTTTAAAAAGAAATCGAAACAAGCAGAAGCCCAGCATATGTTACTGTTACACAAAGACATGTTTCACCAATCCCTAACTTTAACAACACAGTAAATATTTTAAACTTCCTTTGCTCCTTTTGGCAGGTGATTCACCTGGGGATTGCACCATTCTTTCAACCCACCAACAGGCAGTGGCTCAGTCCCTGGTCTGTGATCTGGATAGTTTAAACCAAGGGGTGGCCCAAAAAGATATCACCTCTCCTGGAAAGGAGGTGTTGGAGAGTGCAATCGATGACTGCCTGCACCAGTTGTCTGACTTGCAGCTCAACAAGGTTCCTACTTTTATTTCAAATATGAATTTATTCATTTGGTACACTCTAAATTATTTAATTGGTAATGATTTCTCTATGTAATGTAGTATTTTACCCTTTCAAACACAGTCACATGATCAACCTGATCAAGAGACATTCAGTGTTGACAAAGCCATTGTGAACCTGCAGAATAAGTTGCATGGAGTCCAGATGGAGAAGGACGTCCTGTCTGACCTCAGGTGAACACACTGAGAAAATTATACTTCTGTAAAGAAAGTGTTCACTTTGACCCACAGATCTTTTTATTTGCAGATTGAAGGATTCGCAGAAACACGTCATTCAGATGGAAAAGATGCTGTGCATGTTGGAAGAGCTCCAAAACATCAAAAGGGCCGGGGACCAGAAGCTGCAGGAGACAGAGGATGAGGCTTTGGCGCTTAACTGGAAAGTAGAGACATTGGAAAGAAACATGAAGGAGATGTACTCTTCACTGTTATCTCACGAGAAACAATGTGGACACAACTCCATCACCAGTCCAAACGTCGCTGCTAGTTCAAGACAGCTTTTCCCGTCTGCTGAGTTAACTGAGAATTTTATCGATGAGACAGAGAAGCTACAGGAGAGACCTTTTTTGGTAAGTACTAGAAGTCAGTTATGGATCACGTTCAGTGTATTTTGGACTTCAACTTATACTTTTTCTCCTATTTTGTCTGATTGTTTTTTTTCATCTGTTTGATGGCAGTCACTAGAACATCTGAGAAGTGAAGAATCCAGTGGAGTAAATAAGCAAAAAGAAAGGTAATTTAATGTAGAGCTGCAATCATTAGAAACAGAAAATGAATCCGCAACTATTTTGAAAATCGATTAATCGTTCCAGCCAAATATTCTTTTAGGTTTCCGCTTCTTAAAAGTGAGGATTTGCTACTTTACTTTGTCATATATGATTGCAGTGCACTTGTTTTGTTGATCTGATAAAAACAGAAATTTGAAGGCAACACGTTGTAAATCATAAACTGCATTTTTCAGGATTGTTTGACATTTTAGAGACGAAACTAAAGTTAATGGAGAAAGAAATTGTCAGATTAATCAAACATTAACATAATAGTTCATTGCAATTCCATATTTTAATGTTTACATATTAAAAATAATAAAAGGTGTTTTTTATGTCGTGTGTGTGGATCAACTATTTGAGTTCATTGCTTAAATAAAGGATCTGTAGGTAAACGGGTTATCAAGGGGTTTCACCAGTTAACCATCAGTTATCATCAAGCACCAGTCACCTCAGTGTTACAGGCAGAACTTTAATTTTTTTTGTCAACGGACCACAACAGCAACTCATAGCCAAACTAAGTTCTTGTCAGTCAACATAGTTACATTATTTTGCATTACTTTTTGTATTGTTTTTTTTACTTCATATTGGATCTTATCTGCTGCGCTCCATTGTACATCATGCCTAAAGTAAAAAAAGGATATGTCTGCCATAACAGGGTTATTAAGAACTCTTCACATTGCTTTGTCATAGAATGGAAGACCTGATTGCAAGTCTTGGCCAGGAGATGGCACTGTTGACTGACAAACTGAGCTCATCAAAAAACAACAGCGTCAGTTTAAGTGTCAAGTTGGAGCTGTTAAAGTAAGTATTATTCCCAAATCATTTTGTACCTGTATTATCCGACAGTGTTTGCAGTATGAGACCATTTACTTAAATGGTCAGACAATGTTATCTCTATGCTCAGGAAACTTGCAGAGAGACAGACTTCACTGCACCAGTGTCAGGTCATTGAACTTGAGTCAACCCTCTCCATCCATAAAGATAAGGTAAAGAAGGAACATTCATTTTTATCCACTTCACAAGATGTATCGGTCTGTGAGACCAAAGTGGTTTGGATGTTAGACAAACCCAACAGCCCCCACTTGAACCTAACAGGAATGTGCTGGTCTTACTTACATTTCAACTGTGGTTATGAATGTATTAAATGTGAAGAAGCAACACTAATACACCTGTATGAATGAAAACTAAAATTTGTTTTTTATTTGGTTTGTGAATATAATTTGTCACATTGCAGGTTTGTTGCCTGGAGCAGCAGCTCATCCAGGCTCAGTCCCAGCTGGTGGATGCACAAAGACAGAGAGAGCGATCTTTACAACTCTCAGAGGAGCTTCAGTCCCAGCTTGGCCAACTTAAGGTGCTGTACCATGAATGTGAAACCAGCATTGTGTCTCTCTCTGCTGTAATCCTACCCATAGTCTTCATATAGATGAATGTGCGCATTGAAGTGGAAACTGAAGTAGCCTAATTATGATGGAGTTGTGTAAAGAGCTGGAGGTGTGTGATCTGATGGTGAAAAAGCTTAAGGAGCTGGTGGGAACAGTCACAGAGGTTTGCCAAATGTTTACTAACTTAGACTACTACTTAAACTGACTGCCTGCCTATCCTACTAATGTTCACTATACATGTATTCTCAGTGGGGGCTTCTACATCATTTTGTGATCATCTTCTTATTTTTATATTGTCCATTCTAGTGTAGTTATTGATGCTGCACAAATTGATGTGCCAATAGTTCAGAAAAGTCCCCCAGTAGGCAGTCTATATCCCCCAACCCTGATGTGCACATTGACATTAGGTTTGGGCAGTGTAAGAACTGCACTGCAGGAAAATGTGGATCTACTCATTTCCAATAAAAACACAAAAACCTGTCGGAATCCGCTAGTAGCTCTGGTTACCTGTTGATCACTCAATCCTTGTACATTTTAAGTGGCTCATGTCCTTCTGAAGTACCTACACCTATTAATTCAGGTGGCAATGTTACCATTTGACTCTCTACACTGTGTCTCCATGTGAGTGTGTCCAGTGAGGTGTTACTTCTAGTGTAACAGAAGGGTTAAAAACATGGTTGGTCAGTCAACCATCCAAGAACATGTCAA